TCTTGTTGGACTAATTATTAAGAATTCACGAAGCATTAATCATTTCAAGAAGTGTAACGCTCGGTCAAAGATTAATACTTATTATACATTTAAGATCTGAGTTTCTCGCTCGGTAGTTATTTCTTTATCTATTGTTCAGACAATAATAATGATAACTTGCAAATTCTATAATACTTATATTAAAAGCTTCACAAGACACGTTACAATCTCTCAATTCTATAATGTAAATACAATTTTTGTCTATCTATTTCTATTACAATCGAGATTAAATACTCTTAAACTGGGATTCAAACATTAAAGAATGGTTCCCTTTTTCATCCATACAAATTTACAAAATTGACTTATTTATATCGAAATCATGATGTTTACTCATGAACCAAATTAATAAGAATATAAACTTTTGTTCAAACAATGATATCACTAACTAGACATTGAAAAAAAAAAAAGTAAAAATAATTTTAAAAATTCTTTTATTTTATTGGTGGAGCCACAGACTCGGTCTAGACAAGTATAATCTTAAACTTATAAAGACCAAATTATCAAAAATAGCTAGATCGAATATTTTTATGATTAAAGAAATTGCATGAATATAAAATAATTAATAAAGAATAAGGAGAGTAAAATCCATTTTCTATTTTTTTTTTAATATTGTTAATCTTTGAAATTATTGTAGCTCCTATGGTTATCCACCCACATGATCAATGGGTTCAAGTGGTGGCCTTGCATAACATTAATGACTTGCTTGCATTCTTACCAACTGTCCAACATTTGAACTAACAATGTTGACATGAAAATAATAATTTATAGTCTTAAGACACAAACTACATATGTTAGAACATGCATGTTTGTGTAAGATTCTCTAATGTAAGCTTCAAATTAATAGAATCATGCATGTTAGTTGATATTTGATAACAAAATTATGAAGGTGGTTGGGTGAGTTTACACTTGATTTATATTGAATTTAACAAATTAAAAAAAATAATAATTATTTCCAAAAATTTTCAAATTGTAGGACCACCAAGACCGAAAGCTAAAATGGTGGTGGTCTTGGTTTTAGGAAGCACAAGAAACAAAGACACTTCTTTTTTTCTTTTTAGGTCAAAATCAAGAGTTTTGGGGTCTAAAGCTTAAAGGTATCTTCCAAATTCTTACATATGATCCATTCTTCCATAACATGAGGACTAAGGAGGATATAGGATTGACACAAACCAACCGTTGACCCAATTATTGGTTTTGTTTTGCCACAAGGGGAAAATATTATTGTCATGAATATTAATTTAAAATTGATTTTTGTAATTACCAATTAATGACAATATCAAAATTAAAGTTTTGAGAGTTTTTTTTAATTGTTGTTAATTAATAAAATGATAACGATGACTAAAGACTTAATATTATAAATAAAATATTCATATATGAAAATTCTCGTCATTAATCCAATCTTTTGTGCGATTACTCGTAACTTTATTAATCATAAAAAGATTTGTTATTTGTAACGCTAGTTATAAAGAGGGATAACTATAAATTTGGAAATGAAAAAATTAAAAAAAAAAATTCCGTTAACACTAAACTAATTTTTTTTTTCTTGAAACATTATGTTAGTATTGTTTAATTAATGAATTATAATCATTCCAATCCGAGACAAAAGAGTGTTTGAAAAGTGGGATTATGTTTTAGAATGATGCTTTCTAACATTATTTGATGGGTACTATAATTGGCTTTAACGAAGGTGGCTAGTGCAAGAAGTCACCATTTGAAACGTGGAATTAGGTACTTTAGTTGTTATTATTTTTTTGTTGCTTCACAACAATGATTGTCGTTTTGGAAAATCTTGTAGGATTAATGAGTACATCATTTACATCTCACGTTTTAAATTCCTAAATCCAAATGCAACATGTGAGATTTATTGAATTTTAGATGATACAAACATCTCAATTATCGATCAATCAAGCGTGATTTAATTAATTTTTTTAATTATATAAAATGCGAGGAGTCTCGAATTTGACCAATTGAATTTCGAAATGAATAAAAAAATATCTTAATTTACTTCTTTTTATTAACTTTCAAGAAATTACTAGATAGATTATACTTCATTCGTTCCACTTTGAATAGCAATAAATGGATATTTTACTTTGTTTAATTTAAGTGTTCATTTAAGATTTTGAGAGTATATAATTTTTTTAAATTTTATCTATATTTATTAGGCATTTTGTGGTAAAATTAGATGGGCGAGCTTTTAATTTTAAGAATGACAATTTAGACATTCTACTATATATTTTTAAAAAATCAATATATTTCAACCATTTTCTTAATTCTTGTGAAAAGATCAAATGTTGCTGTTAAAGTAGAACGGAATTAGTAATAATTTTGGAATGAAATTCACCCTTCCATTTATTAGAATTTGACAATTATAAGTCAATTACTCGTGGTATTTGGCTCTTCTATGTTGATAACCACTCATTTAACTTATTCTCTTGGAATTCATCACCATTAAAGTTAAATGTATATACAGAATTTGACAATTATAAGTCAATTACTCGGTGGATTTGCTCTTCTATGTTGATAACCACCAATTTAACTATCTCTGGAATTCATCACCCCTTAAAGTTAAAATGTAATAATATATACTATATACATATATATATATATAAATCTATCTTACCTAATGTAATTTAATGAGTATATATAAATCTATCTTCTAATGTAATTTAATGAAGTCTAGTCATTCATTTCAAAATATTTTTTTAAGTCACGAACTTTATTAAAATTAACTACTCAATACTCATAGAAGAACAAGAATTCCTTGTTTTAGTATTTGGACCAAGAATAGAAATGGTGGTAGGTGGGTTTGGGGCATGGTGGGGTGGGTCAAGTTGGACAATTTATATATTTTAGTACCTCATACTATTATTAAAATACAAATCTTAGATATTATTATTATTAAAGTAGTATTTTTAGTTACACATCATCCGTCCTCCGACTAGAAATATAAATTCCTTTTTAGATTAAGGATGATATTTATTTAAATACCTTCCACTGATGATCGTTTTAGATTTTTAAATCTAAATAAAATTCGTCTATTTATCGATACAGTACATCCTCGTTAGACCCACTAATTTATGCAAAATGGAATGAATAAATCATTCAACAATAGTGAAAATGTCATGTTAGAACCTAATTTTTCTTTGATGTAACAAAGATGAGGTAATACATAGGTAAAGTTTAGCATGCCATAATGATGCTTGTGGCATAAATTAATTCAATAATAAATCATCAATACCTTTGACTAAAAATTTTATAAATTAAAAAAAAAAATTGTAATTTGATCATCTTTATCATTAGACAGAGGTTAAGATATTTAATTTTAAATATTTTAAGATTGTCATCAATAACTCCTAAATGCTATTAATATAGTTTTGGTACATGGTACTTATGTCAATATTAGACCATAGGCAAAATCAAATCATCACATTTATGCATTTGGAGTACAACATCATTAGATGTGAGCCCTACTTATTCTGTCCTGCCATTGACCACTTTAATCTATTTCAATTTCAAAATAAATGTTAGCCAATCTGTTTTTTCAAGTGCTATTTCTTTTTTTTTTTTTCCCCAAAAATTATTCCTTTTGCGGCTTTAACTTTTCATTTGGAGTGAAAAAGCCACTTTCTTGGAATTTTATTTTACCATTTGGGGGAATCTCGTAGAAAAATGAATTAGAAAAATTGGAATTTGAAAGGTTTTAACTTTTTATGAGTACTTTTCCATTTGAAATGATGGGGAAAATCAGATTCTTCTTGTCACATCGTTTTTTTTTTTAATTGATTAAATAGAAAATACGCAGAGGTTAGAGATAAGATAACAAACTCTTTTATAAAATTATGACAATTTTGTAAATATATTTTAATTTTTATAATCTCTATACACATAATTTTCACAATAAATGTAGGATTTTAAATATCAGCGCATTCTCCGATGATCATGAATGGAAAACTTACACATTATATAAATTTTATAATTTTAAATAGATTCGTTTATGAATATTTAAATTTAGAAATATTTAATTTTTAAAAGATCAAATTCACAAATTATGAACAAATTGTCAATATATATGGATTTAACCATTAGTTAGTTGTTCAAATTTTTGGTATTGAATTTTCAAAATGAAATATACATTGAATTGGAGAGTCATTATTGAGAACTCAGAGCAAGAGCAAGTGGTTGAGTTGGGGAAATGGAAGTAATGTTTGTAAGATTTTGTCTGGCCATGTTCTTTGCATGAAAACTATATGGGTGTCTCTTCAATAATTAAAGACTGCATGCCGTTGTTCGATTTTAAAGGCCCAATTTTTGTTGGAACAGTTATTTATATAAGATTAAGTAGCCTTAGCTCATCACTTGCTGGTTTGCCCGAGAGGTTAAGGGGGAAGACTTAAGATCTTCTGCACATAAGTGCGCATGGGTTCGAACCCCATAGCCAGCATTATGATCTTCATTTATTTTATTTATTTGGCATTTTTAAATGGGCTCTGTCGAAGGCCGGTAATCTGTATCGATGCCCATTGGGCGCATTAGGCCTGATTGACACAATGTATATTTGCTTTTAGAAAACAAGATTTATTTTGCAAAATAGACATTTAGATTGAATTAAATCACAATTTAGCATCAATTTCACTTTAATCAAATTTTAAGTATTCTATTTTTTTAGTTTCTTTGGAGAATCACAGATTTACTTGAATTTATTTTTTTATTCATTGAAAACCAAATAGTATGGAATAAACAATAAAACCTTTCCTTTTGAACAATAGGTGAAAATGATATTAACATAATTTAGAGTACAGAAGACCAATCAATTTACACCTTATTCACAGAATTACTTGTTCGGGAATAAAGGGTAAATTTTTGAAGTTGGAGCACAGATGAAACGAGTTAAAAACTGCAAGGTATTGAAGTTTTAGTTTTCATTTGGTCTATAGGCCCAAAAAGCCCATATCAAAGCCCGGTCCAAAGTAGTCACCTCCTTGCCCGTAGCACAAGAAACTCCCCACTCTGTACTTACATATCTACCGCTTCTCAAAGCAATTCCCTCCATTGTTACAAATCTTCTACCTTTCAGCTTTCGATCTCTGCCGAGATTCTTCTTTTCCAATTCCTCTCTAAAGGTGCGTTTGTGTCGAACTGCTCCTATGTTAAACTAGCACTGCATTGATCTATTTCTAGGGTTTGTACTGCAATCCAAGTTCCGATCATGTAGCTTCTCAATTCAATGTTTTTAATTTTTGTGTTCTGAGAAAAATTTAGGGAAGTAAACACACAAGTATTTCGATTCCTGGGTTTTTAAATTTGTGTGGCACTCGATTGAGTAGTTTTATCAGCTCGGAATTTTTTCTTTTTCAAATTTTGGTTTAAGGTTTTGTTGTTTCGTTCTCTCAGCCGAAGTAGAGGATAAAGAGATTAGGGGTGACTTTTTTATGTATATATCATGGTTTTATAATATAAGGTTGGCTAATTTTTGGAATTTTTTTTTCTTGGTTTTAGATCATGAAGCTCGATACCAGTGGTCTTGAATCAGCGGCACCGCTCTTTGGAGCTACTGGCGAGCTGTTTAATGGGTTTTCTACTGCGCCTTCATTTGAACTTCCTGTTACTACTGATGTGAGTTTTAATTTGCTCGTTTTTCTTTTGCAATTGTGGAGAGCTAGTGGAATTCATAATGAGCTGATTTTTTTTTTTTTCTTTTTCTGCTGTTTCAGTTTGATGGATTCCAGAAGGAAGCTATCCAAATGGTGAAGCCTGCCAAGGGGACAACAACACTTGCTTTCATTTTTAAAGAGGGTGTCATGGTCGCTGCTGATTCTCGAGCTAGCATGGGAGGCTATATTTGTATGTTATTTTTGGATGAGATTGTTGTTCTATGAGTCCTTTATTTGATTGTTTGCAACTAAGTTAAAATTTATTGTGTTCTATTTTTATTATATACTTTTGTTTGAAGTTAAATGCTTTATTAATCCCATTACATATGGGAGCTACAAAAATCTGCACTAACTGCAAGCTTAGACTCGTTAACATTTTCAGGTTATTGTAGCTTGTTTGTCTCCTCTTGCTTGTCATGCCTGCACTACATATATGTTGCACCAACCATGAGATAATTTTGTTGAAAAATATTTTGCTTCCTGATTTTTCAGCATCGCAGTCAGTGAAAAAAATCATTGAAATCAACCCTTACATGCTTGGTACAATGGCTGGGGGAGCTGCTGATTGCCAGTTTTGGCATAGAAACCTTGGCATTAAGGTGATAGACTTTTGTTGCTTTCTTAAATGTTTCTTATAATGGCTATTTGTGAAAGTGAAGAGGATGATGAGATCTTTAGAAAGGTCTCTGTTAAAATCAAAAATTGTAGCTAATATAGCGGGCAAGCATATGTGTGTTACACTACATTGTACTCTACTTGGAAAATGCCAATAATTATATATAGAAATTGGAGTCTTGTTCTTCGTTGACGTGCTAGGAAACTGCATACGATGTCATTGGCTTTCAGCTAGAATAGATTAAGTACTCCCCTACAGCCTGCAGAGCGAACTATCTATGTTCCCTATGCATTAAGCATAGTTCTCAAAATGGTGACAGGGAGTCTTGTAGCCTTTGACATTTTCATGGCGTCTTGATTCATCATATGTAGGACTAGTACATATTTTTCATTGTTTGTTCACTCATCTTAGAATTGCATCATCAAGTTTCATGGTGAAAACCTCGAGTGCTTGTGTAATTTTAGAGAGCTAGTATATTGAACTGCACTTGGCAACTCAAGAACCAACAAACAATTGAAATTATTGAAAAAATTTCCTAAAATAAGAGGATGGCTAGAAACATTATAGTTGGATGTTCTACCAAATCTAATGTGTTTTAGCCATAAGAGGCAAGGTGTTGTAAGCTTATATTTTTTGACATCTATCACGCTGTCAAAGTGTCAATTCAGCTTTCGACAACTTCATCTATCACGCACACACTGTAAAATGCTAAATTACACGAGAGTCCTTAGGCCTAAGTTTATATTTTTAGCACCTTTCTTATTTTATTAACTGAAAAGTTGATATTTGAACAACCATCATACATCTTTGTCAACTGCTTAATTTGTGAGTATGGCATAGGCATGCTTCCAAATTGCTTAAAAAGTAAGCCTAACATATTTGTCCAATCACGATACCTCTGCTTAACTTCACTAAAATTTAGCCTCAAACCTAATGGGTCAGTAGTTCCTATGTAGATTCTTCATCGTGTTTTTTGATCCTTGCTGTGAGAATATTATGTGATCCTTACTACCTGATCATCTAGGAATGGAACCAACCTGAGTGCCCATGCATGCCAAAGTGGCGTTTGGCTTGAATATGAGATGCTACTATCATTCATCCTTTAGTTTTATTTAAGTTTGGATTCCTTTCATGTTGATTGTTATTTATTTTCCAAGTACTAATGGAATTTATTGGCATGGCTCAGTGCCGGCTACATGAATTGGCAAACAAGCGTAGAATTTCAGTTACAGGGGCATCAAAGCTTTTGGCAAACATACTGTACTCCTACCGTGGAATGGGTTTGTCTGTTGGAACCATGATTGCTGGATGGGATGAAACGGTAATGACATGTGCACATTTGCCATACCTTGTCATGTTTTTCCCTTGTTAAGTTGCGTAAGCTGTATCATCTCCTTGTTGCAGGGTCCTGGATTATATTACGTGGATAGTGAAGGAGGAAGGCTGAAAGGAACAAGATTCTCTGTTGGCTCTGGTTCCCCATATGCTTATGGTGTACTTGATAGTGGGTGAGTGCTAATTTTCCTTTACAGCTTTTCCTTGAAAAACATCGTCAACTGGCACATTATTTTTGAGCTATTTTCTCACAGCAAATAACTTTCAAGCTTTTAGCGGAAATTTTCTTTCTAAGCAAACTTTTACCTTATTGTGGTTTTCCAATTAAGTAACAAGCTACTAATGCATTAGTTCCGGGTGCTTGATGCAAAACCAAAAAATTGGACAATATTGAGGAAATATCCAATGCCAAATTCAAATCATAAGAGAAACACTTAGCAGGTTTTAAATCGCAATGAGGATTTTAAGTTGCCAAATAAGGGACAAAATAAGCCTTGAAATTGCTAAGACAACTGTGAGGAGGTTATGGGAATAAGCATAAGAAATTAGTTGGTCTATCATTTCAAGTCCAACTATATGTTTGTATCACAAGAAAGGAGGTACTTTCCTTTTAAACAAGCCACAATTGATCAAACTGTAGGTACTGACACTACAGTCTAACAGCTAGGTGAATACATCAACATTTATATGTGAATTCATCAATTTCCACAGCAGCATTACCTTGAATATTGCCTTATCCAACAAAATAGCAGCATTTTCTCATTATTATTTTATTGACTCTCTGGGCTGGAAAATGTGGCTGGAATTTATGCAAAACCAAAAATGTGGCTGGAATTTTTTTTATTATTTCCATTTTCATTCTTCCTTTGTACTGTGATTGAGGATTGATTTTTACTAACATTATATGTTGCTCTAGGTATCGGTATGATTTGTCAATTGAGGAAGCTGCGGAGTTGGCTAGAAGAGCTATTTATCATGCTACATTCAGAGATGGAGCCAGTGGTGGAGTTGCTAGCGGTACTGTTATCTCCTCTTTCTCTCTTACTCTCTCTGCACAAGTGCCTACTTGCCTAGGCATATCTCTGTGTTGTTCTTTTATGTGTATGGACTCTTACTAATTTAGTGATTTAATCTGGATTGGATTTGTGTTTTTAATCAGTTTATTATGTTGGACCAAATGGATGGAAGAAGCTATCTGGTGATGATGTTGGAGAACTCCACTACAAATACTATCCTGTTATGCCCAGTACAGTGGAACAGGAGATGGTTGAGGTGGCATGAGCATAAGCATGAGAAAAACCTTGCTCAAGCTGGACCAGGTTGGACACTCCCCCTTCTTCACAGTATCTGATGGAGATGGTCTACAATGCAATCTTATGTACTAGAAACTGCTAACTATTGGTGTTGAGTTGATTCCTGGAACAGTTCATGGATTGATGTGGCTTTTTGTCAATGCCATGAAAACACATTATTGCTATTATCATTCCATTATGTAATTCTGTGCTTTTAGCTTTTCTTTAAACAAAATAGAAAAAGGGGATTTCTACAGTTGTTTTCCTGCAGGTGTTTCAAAATGTTACTCGGAACTCTATTATTGACTTTGGTGTGGTTAGAGTAATGATATATTGATTAATGGTAATGTGATACACATTGAAAGGTAAAGTTTAGAAAAGTTTCGGGCCAGGAATTTGCGCTGGAAATGCATGTGAGTTCGGCTGAAGTTGCTGAGATTTTTGCATTATGAAGTTGATGGTCTCTGTGAGCCACAGTACTTGAAGTTGCAACTTGGAAATGTGGTGCAACCCAGAATAGTTGTACTCTCAATTTCTTTTCAGGTTTGTCAGGGCAAAGAGATGTCTATGATTAGGAGCTTCTGTATGATTTTGGCTTTAAATTGTGGGGTACTGCATTATAGTATGGAAAAGTCGTAAAGAAGGGCTCATCATGAGCTCTTTAACATAAGCTTTCTTATAAATTTCTATACAAAATGGGACCTCAGGTAACTATTGTTGAATATTTATTTATACACGCAATAGAGTTTCAGAAGACCTATTGTATACTTTGTTAAACCTCTAAGGTAAGATGAGTGATGACTGAACTAATTTGCTGTGCTTTTGGGACCCACTTTGAATAACCAGATGCCAATCAGGGAAAGAATGCACACACCAAAATTATCAGTTACATATCTTTAATAATTTTCAACAAAATAATAATAATAGTAATAATAAAAATAAAAGAAAATTATAAGTACTCCATCCCTTTAGTAGGAAGCAAAGGATGTTATAATCCTTCAGGAGTAAGGACTCTTCTATATCGTCTTTTGTTAGGAGAACTGATTCTACATACTGACCTATAAAAAATAATTTCATACTATTATTTCTCTATCAAGTGCATCTTGTATGTAGATTTGAAAAACCAAAAACAATTTGAAATGAAAGCCAATGTCAGACATATTATTTGTTTATGAAGTGTACTAATATAACCTGCTACTTTTTTTTTTTTTTTTTTTTAATTTTTTGAATGAAAGCCAATGTCAGACATATTATTTTGTTTATGAAGTGTACAATAATTACCTTGACCTACTTTTTTTTTTTTTATTTTTTTTTTTTTTTTTTTATTCATTGGGAGATTTAATAAGTCTTTTCACTTTTCCTATAAAGGAGAAGACTAACTAAATTATACGTGACTAGATACAAGCTATTACTTTATATGCCACGGTCTCAGCCTTTTATGCATATAATAGTATTATAATTGCATACCAAAAGAATCAATTACAATCCAAACAACATCTTATGCGTAAAGATAAAAGAAGGCATAAAGATAAGAAAAAAAAAAGGCATAAACCTCACTTTTACTAATCTGAAATCATCCAAAATTCAATCTCCCAAAACAAAGAAAGCTAATCCCTTTATATAGAGTAGGGGTGTACAAAGTGACTAAATAAAAACTAAAACAATAATTAAAACCATAAAGTGGATAGCTCTTCAACTTCCATAACTACCTTGACTCTTCATCTTCTACTTTCATGTCTCTTAGTTTTAGTGATCCAAAATAAGCCCAAATGGGCTGTCCAACCTAAATATATGAAAGAGACTGATCTCAAAATGAAGCTTCCTAATCATAAGTACAATTTTTTTGAGCTTGCTCAGTAATTATCTCTGCTAATTTAAGATTTATTGTGTTTAGTATCAGAACAAAATCTTCCCACTCATCAAAACTAATTCTTGTGCGTTCAATTACAAAATCCAACTGCTAGTTACTGTAATTGAGCATCAATGATAATAATGTTAGATGTACACATAACTGGGTTTTCTAATTCTAGTATTAGGTACCATATAGGTGAACTGAACTTTGAACTGACTTGGGTCCCTTTGGAATCACTTGTTATCTTCCATTCTCCTTTGATGGAGATAGTGTAGCACAGAAAGTCCTTGTCATTTGCCACTTGTCATTTGCTATTTCAAATGAATGTGAATTTAATTTAATTTGTTTTTCTAATTAAAATTCATAAAATATCAATGTTAATGTCAAATTATAATGGAGTGGTTCTAGTAAGCGAGGAAGGATAAAATTATGTTGTTAATGGAGATTAGTCATTAGACATGGTAAGCATTAACAATGGGAGATACAAGGTTTCAGGTTGGATTTCTCCTGTGGCTTTATAGTTAAATAATTATTTTTATAGTAATATATTATCACAATATTTCTTGAAAAAAAAAAAAAAAAAATTTATAGTAATATACTTTATCACAATATTTTTGAAAAAAAAAAAAAAAAAAAACAGTAGTAGGAGTAGAAATAGCAACTTCTTCACTGTGTTTTTATGTACGTTTCTTTTGGCGGGAGCTTGGGTCCCATTTCAATCAAAAATCTCGTTCTTCCTCAAGTCCTCTTTCTCAATAAATCCTACACACACCAACCACCTTCCCCTCTTCATCTCCACCTTCTTTTCATTGTGAATATATCTCTCTCTTTGAAAAAAAAAAAAAAAAAACAGTAGTAGAAGTAGAAATAGCAACTTCTCACTGTGTTTATGTACGTTTCTTTTTGGCGGGAGCTGGGTCCCATTTCAATCAAAATCTCGTCTTCCTCAAGTCTCTTTCTCATAAATCCTACACAACCAACCACCTTCCCTCTTCATCTCCACCTTCTTTCATTGTGAATATATCTCTCTCTTTCTATTCTTTCTCTTCTCCACCAAATACAAACACCATTTTAATACACAAAACAAAGAACCCATTTAGAAACAATAACAAACACTATCAATACAATGGGAAAGTGCCAATCTTCAACGCTTTTCTTCTTCTTCTTCTTCTTGTTTAACTTTAAATTAAATCTTTCTCTTTCTCCTGATGGCCTTTCCCTTCTCTCTTTAAAATCCGCCGTCGATCAACCATCGGAGAATTCTCCTTTCGCCGACTGGAATGAAGACGACTCCACTCCTTGCCGCTGGACTGGCATTTCTTGCATGAACATAACTGGATTTCCTGACCCGCGTGTCGTCGGAATTGCAATCTCCGCGAGGAATCTTCGTGGGTATATTCCATCGGAGCTAGGAACTCTAGTTTATCTCCGGCGACTCAATCTTCATAACAACAACTTTTATGGGTCAATTCCGGCTGAGCTGTTTAACGCTACTTCACTTCACAGTCTCTTCCTTTATGGTAACAATCTTTCAGGTCCTCTCCCTCCTTCGATCTGTAATCTTCCTAGACTCCAAAATCTCGATCTTTCTAACAATTCTTTGTCGGGTCCTTTGCCGGAGAACTTAAACAATTGCAAGCAGTTGCAGAGGCTAGTTTTAGCGCGAAACAAGTTCTCCGGCGAAGTTCCTGCTGGAATTTGGCCGGAATTATACAATTTAATTCAGCTTGATCTTTCCTCTAATGAGTTGAACGGATCAATTCCCAATGATCTCGGCGAACTCAAGTCTTTGTCTAATACATTAAATCTCTCTTTCAATCATTTATCCGGCAGAATCCCAAAATCATTAGGAAATTTACCGGTCACCGTTAGTCTTGATCTACGGAACAATAATTTAACCGGCGAAATACCTCAAACGGGGTCTTTTGTTAACCAAGGACCAACTGCATTCCTTAACAATCCTCTGTTATGCGGGTTTCCTCTCCAGAAACCGTGTAAAGATACGCAGAGCTCTCCGACGAGCCAGAATTCGTCCCCGGAATCCGGTAGTAATTCCAAGAAAGGATTAAGTTCTGGGTTGATCATACTGATATCATTAGGTGATGCTGCTGGTGTAGCTTTTGTTGGTTTAGTTCTAGTCTATATCTACTGGAAAAAGAAAGATGATGCTGAGAGCTGCAGCTGCGCCGGGAAGACTAAGTTTGGCGAGAATGAGAAATCACATGCCTGTTCTATCTGCTCCTGCGTTAATGGTTGCAAAAGCGAGGATTCTGAAGCTGAGGATGTAGAGAAAGAAGAAAAAGGGAAAGGAGAGGGAGAACTAGTGGCCATTGATAAAGGTTTTAGCTTTGAGCTTGATGAGTTGCTTAGAGCTTCAGCTTATGTGTTGGGTAAAAGCGGGTTGGGGATTGTGTATAAGGTTGTGCTTGGAAATGGGATCCCGGTGGCTGTGAGGAGGCTTGGCGAGGGAGGAGAACAGAGGTACAAAGAGTTTGTAGCTGAAGTTCAGGCTATTGGGAAAGTTAAACATCCAAATATAGTGAAATTAAGAGCTTATTATTGGGCTCCTGATGAGAAGCTTCTTATTAGTGATTTCATCTCCAATGGCAACTTGGCAAATGCTCTTCGAGGTTAGTAATTTTGCCTTTGTTTTTCTCCTCATTGTCCTTCTAGCTTCTGGTTTTGAAAATTTTCATCTTGGAGCACTTCATTCTGTAGGTTCAAGTTCAATCAACATGCTTAGGGTAATTCTTGGCGGGGATCATAAATTATAATTCATAGTGATTTATTTAGTTTTATGTGCACAATGTGTGATGGACAATTACATTGTAATCCCATTATCATGTTAAGCAAATGTGAAAAAGATGACAACATCTTAAATTCTAACTTATGCTAATATAAATTCAAAATTTTACAAGTAAATGTTGCTTCTTTTTGTCTGGAGCTAAATTAGTTGAAAGTGAAAGGTCTTACGGAAGTGAGGAGAAGGTCTTCAAAGGAAATCCCAGAAAATAGGGGACAAATTGGGGAACAAATTTTACTTGAAGGATTTAGGGACATGAATGTGCTTTAATTAATGGACATGGTATTAGCTATCATGATCGCAGCTCCATTGGTGAATATGGCCTACCAGCAATCATTTACTGAACCCACCCATGGCCTCATCCTAATTGTACTCCCTTTTCTTATCCATGCGCGTTGTATCCTCTCACTTTCCCTTGCTAATGGCACTGTAAGAATACAACTAGTGCAAAATTTGCTTCTGGTCCTAACAACTCTTTTTTCAAAGTCAGTTTCTTTCTATATTTCATGACTAATTCATCAGTCAAATGCCAATTCTTAACATAGAAAGTCATAATTCGATTCTCTTTGAACATTCTTCATTTATAAATCTGATTTGGTCAAGTTAATCAAATGGGGGCAATTATAAAGAAATCTTAGATTTGGATCTCTTGTTTTAATCAGGCAAAAATGTAAAAAATTTATCATGAGTCTTCATGCATGGTTTAGACTCATCAAAGTTGAGTGGAAATGTTTGGTTGAATATTATATTAATCTCAAATTTTACCATGGTCTCTAAGAGTTAGGTAGGCACTATTGCCTGTGCCTGAGATCCACCGAATGGTAGGCCCTACACCATTGGCCTGGTCATCCATGGGATTGATTGGAGAATGGTTGATGGTTCATGATTAGGGGGCTTGAGCATTTCTAGATATCCATCACTGGGTAAAGGGTCTGAAAAATGACCCTGTTCCTTCTGGGGAAGCAACATTTACAGACATTAAGTAATTGATGCAGCCCAATTTTATCCGTTAATTTGATTATTCTGCCTTTTGACTTTCTAGGCGTTGCATTTTCATCAGTTTCTTTCAAAAATTTATGCCTGGAATTCTATTCTTTAGTTAAAGTCTTAAAGATACTTTATGAGGGTTCCTTTGCATTCTTCCTCTTCACTTTTTCTCTGAATTTAAAGTTTTAACCTTTAGCTGAAACATAAGGTCTTTATTTTTTTTTTCTTACTTTCTTCCTTTCAAGTACATTTTTATTTTGAAAGAGGAAAAAGGACAACGGTTATATTTTCCATAGCCATTATCTGTGCATATTAAGCTCCCTGTTATTGGTTTAATTAACCCTGGTCATAGCAAGGATCCACCATTAATTGAGCATCACTGGTCCCAACACCATTTTCCCTTCAAGATCCTGTTGATTTTGATTTTGAATTCAGATACTGTTGCATCAGTAGCCCAACCATATTTTAGAAGCTTTTATTTGTAAAGGATCAAGATTGGGACCAAGCAGATGGAAAGTGAAAGGGCTATCACTGAACTAGTACCACATGTTGAAATAAATATTTTAGTCAAGCATTAGGTATCCATTACTTTTATATTTTCCTTTGACATACTGGGACCATATTATTTTTTCCTGTCTCTATCATAGAGCCTGGCCCCACAAGTCCAACCCTTCAAGCACACATTATTGGGGCATGAAGAAAAAGGTCAAGAAATCTAGGTCCAAAATTCCTATATTTTGTTGTCACTCAAAAGTTAATTAGAATAGCATTCATGACCTATTACAGCATTCTAGTACAAAAACTACAAGCCATAACTTCCTTTTCAAATTCCTTTTTCCTTGAACCTGCACATGGTACACATTTGTAGCGATTGGAAGCACCAAGTGATTGTCTCAGGCTTCATCAAATTAAAGACTTTTTTTCCCTATTTTCTGGGTATTATAGCAACAATCTTAGGAATTTCTTGTCTGATTGTAATGTACTATGTAGAATGTAGTTGACAATAACTTCTCTGTTTCACAATTTTAGTCATTTTCTGCAATTCCAAACTCATGATTAACCAAATTTACAGGGAGAAATGGTCAGCCATCGACAAGTCTGTCATGGGCAGCGAGGCTAAGAATTGCCAAGGGAGCAGCCAGAGGCTTAGCCTACCTCCACGAATGCAGTCCAAGAAAATTTGTTCATGGAGACATCAAACCATCCAATATTCTCCTAGACAATGAATTCCAGGCTTATATTTCTGATTTTGGCCTAAATAGACTAATTAATATTACTGGAAACAATCCTTCTTCCTCAGGTGGGTTTATTGGTGGAGCTTTACCTTACATAAAGTCTGTCCAAACTGAACGAACCAATAACTACCGTGCTCCTGAATCTCGTGTTCCCAGCAGCAGACCAACCCAAAAATGGGATGTTTATTCATTTGGAGTAGTATTGCTAGAATTGCTTACAGGGAAATCTCCTGAGCTTTCACCAACTACATCAACTTCTGTAGAATTACCAGACCTAGTAAGGTGGGTAAAGAAAGGTTTTGAAGAAGAGAACCCATTATCAGACATGGTAGATCCAATGTTGCTTCAAGAAGTTCATGCCAAAAAGGAGGTATTAGCAGTTTTTCATGTGGCCCTTGCCTGCACTGAAACAGACCCTGAAGTTCGACCCAGAATGAAAACTGTGTCTGAAAATCTTGAAAGGATTGGCACATAGAAGAAGAAAATTTGATTTTTTGAAGCTTCTATTTTCAGTTTTCTTGATCTTTGCAAATGGGCACTCTCCAGTTTTGCAGTGGTGAATTTTTTTGGAGAGATTGAGGTAGAGCTGCTTAAAAGATAGCTTTAGCCACCTTGGTTTAACTTCAGCTTTCAATGACAGAAAGATCAGATCAAAAACTATTTGGAGTCAGAGGAAGTTTTCTTAGCATAGTTGAGAAATTGGGTGTACATTTTTTTTTCTTTTCTGATATATGAGGAAGTATGTATGTAGCTGTATTTGTAATTTAAATTTTCATCCATTTCCAATGGGATTTGTTGTAATAAAAATGTCTTCCATTTATTTGTTATCTTCTATTCTTATTTTTTCTCAGCTTTGTCACTTTAAAAATAATGGAACGAAATTATTAATTCTTTCAGAGATTTATTAATTATTAATGTTCATTTAGCTAAGTCTATTTTCTGTCAGTAAAAAGAAAAGAATCAAAGCGAGGAGGAGACTTGGAGAATCAGAATTGATTTCCCACATTTGTTTAGTTAACATCTCTCATTAAAAATTTTGGACAGGATGAAGTAAGCCCAGCCCACATCGAATGTCGATGCACGTTTAATGTTATTAAAAATTATTTAAAAATATAAATCTTATATATTTTTTATTGTCAAAAAAAAAAACTTATATATTTTTTAAATTCTTAACTCCGTATATATAAGTTAAAATACATTTTAATCTAAAATCTTCACCAATTATCCTTAATGGAATTGAGAATTAAAGAATATTGTAAAAAATTGATGAAGATCCTTTTTTTTATCTCAAATTTTAATCCAATTTTCAGTTTTCCTTTTCTTTCAAGTTTATCATTTAAAATTATATATATGAGAATTAAAGAATATTGTAAAAATGTGATGAAGATCCTTTTTTTATCTCAAATTTTAATCCAATTTTCAGTTTTTCCTTTTCTTTCAAGTTATCCATTTAAAATTATTATATATATATATATTATATATATATATATAATATAGTCATCTTTTTCCATTGTGCCAAAACGTGGCAGCATTACAGATTTGGTTTTTTTTTTTTTTTTTAATTTCTTTTTTTCTTTACGCTGCAAATTTACAGTTTACACTTATGGAAGTTGAAGCTAAAAAAAGCGCTTCCGCTCTTTCTTAACTTCTCTGTAAGCTCCGGCGAAGCCTGGATCTAAAATCTAGCAATTTTTCGCGGTAAGTCCACTCAACAACTGTCTTACTCCACAGTCACTCTTTCGCTTTCGTTCAAAAACCCTAGCTTGTTTTATCGATTCATTTATTCTTTCGGTTTGTTAACATTCATAACTTCTGCAAACTTTTATTCTTTCTAATTAATCAAACAATAGTCTGTTTATTTATTTTTTTTCCCCTGCTTGTGCATTAATTTTGTTATGCAAGTGATTCCTAAAGCTGGCTGCTTGTAATTTGATTGTTAAGTTTGTTAAATTTGAGAGGAGGTTGGTTTTTATTTGTAGATTGAAGGAGGAAAAGTGATCAGTTTGAGGAAGATAAAACATGGTAAAGTGATTCTATGTTTTAAGAATTGGATTTCATTTAATAATGTAGTTAATATTTTGACTTTTTTTCTTTTTATTTATTTCTTCAGTCTGCACTCTTTAATTTTCATTCGTTTCTCACGGTTGTGCTATTGGGAATTTGTACTTGCACTTATGTGAAGATGCACTTCCCCGCTATCCTAGAGCAAAGAACAGGGTATGAATCTTCTATTCATTTTTAATTTTAGTTTTTATTTCCTAAGTTAAGTTGTAAGAAAACAATCATGTTTCTATTGTTGTCACAGTACATTACACATGAGTGAGTCTCTGAGCTTTCGATAGTACTTTTCCTGAGCGTATAATTTGCAGCATCAGAACACCCTAGCCTTTCCCTTACTTAAAGCCAAACCCAAACATTGGGCGTGTCAAGCTCAACGGTCTGTACTTTGATCTCTTTGAAACTATTATGTTTTAGTTATTCTCAATGGCCATCCAAGTTGACAGGAAGTATTGAATTGCATTGGACAAGTTAGTGTTTAAGACAAAGGGTTAGATTACAGCAGACAATAATAATGCCAACTGTGTTATATGCATAAGATGTAAATTTTTGTGCATTGCTTGGAATGCCAACTGCAAGGGTGCTGCATAAGGCCTTCAAAGGTGCATGTGGATTTCAGATTTCAATTGACCCTTTGAAAACGTCAGGCCTGCATTAGGCCGTCCTCAATAAACTTGTTTAGTACCATTTCGCTGTTGGGAGGCTGAGCTCATAATCACCTAAAATGCCTTTGCCTCATATCCTTTTCGAGCTCTGTCCCTCTCATAATAAACTAAGATTAGATCATAATTGTATGCTTTTGATTATTCTTGTAAAATCTTATGTTGTTTCTTCTTTACATTTGGTTAGATAACAAAATATTTGCCGACTCTTTCCATGTTGAGCACTCCACTGTTGTTACAGGATATTCAAAGTGATCTATTTTGTTGGCATTTTGGTTTATCCATAGGTAGCAGTATCATAGACTACTGACTACAATAAGCTTTTTGGACAGGTTTCGAGGGTTTTTCTGGAAAGCTGCCAGAATAGGTAGGCCTCCTTATCTGAATGCTTTGCCATTACTTGATGGACTACTATCATTTCTGCACAACCTTTTTCTTTTGGGAAATATTGTGTTTCCATTCCTCCTTATATTTGAATTCGTTACTATCATGGGCCTAAAATTTTCAAGTCAGCATGTGTTTTGGCTGACTGAAAATATATATATACTATGAAGCGAGTTATAGTTTTAGTTTTTTCAAGCACCCTATATATGTATCAGGATTATACATTTCAAGCACCCTAATTGTTTTGTTTCCGTCACCATTAGAAGGGATTGTGTTGCTTCTTTCTTGTATTATTATACTCTTGATCTTAGCATCTTAAAGCCAGTTATATTGCAAAATGGAAAATTGAGAATACTATTGAGGTTTACGTACTGAATTGATGGTGTGGGAATAAGCAAACATAAGTGCAGTGCAAACCTAGTAAGACCATGAAACCATTAGGTTCCTGCAAGTCTGTGACAATTGATGTATTTAAATTCAATAATCAAACTAGTGATCATGTCAAATTATGTGAAAGAAACTTAGAACTCAATGTGTATTCTAATAGGATCTATGTTTGTTCTGATTTTTATAACTTGAAACTGCATGCATATAACAGTAGCATTATTTACAATCTGACAGCTTGTGTGGTTGCTGAAACAGGTGAGCGTTTGAGCCCCTGGGTGGCTGCAGGGTGCTTCACCATGGGTGTGTCAATTATATTTTTCTAAGGAGAAGCTTCTTGCCTGTGTATTTTGAAGTAAGCTCCATCCTTTTTATTGTTCTGGGAAAATATGTTGCCCATTAGAATTTGATGTCACTAAATATTTTCTATGATAGGAAGTGTATTGATAACGTTGTTTCATTACCATATTATGGACCGGTTTTGAAGGCATTTTTTTGGCAAACATGGTTATTGATTTTGCTATTTATTATACAACTGCATTGATCATTAAATTGATAAATTCTTAAGTCTTTTACTGGTAAGATTCTGTTGGATGGTGAATTAGTGTATATACAAGTCAGATCTGAGCTATTTCTTTGATTGTGTTTATTTATTTATTTTGAAGATTGGTCATCTTCTAATGCTATAAGGTGTGGCGTCTATCATCAGCCCTTGTTACAAATTCCCAGTTTTAATGGAGTGATTATATCAAATTTCTCAAACTATATTACTGTATGGTATGATTTTGAGTGTCAGATACATTTATGGTTGTACATGACTGGTGATTTGACTGAGAATCTGCAGCTAAATAAAGAGGCATCTGTTTTCCTGGCTTGTTAAGTTGGGCAACAGAAATTCTACTGTATGTATTGATTGTTTTTATCTAATACATATATAGGGTCTTGAAAACTTAGAAAGTAACCATAAACGCATACTTTCTGCATAAGATGACAAAAAAAGGTTAGAGCTCAAGCTGAAATTAGGGCTGTACGGGGCTTAAAGTTAGGCGGGATACAAGCTATGATGTAAACTGTGAACTTGTGCTTGAATCTCTTCAAGACTACAACCTTCCCTTCACCCCACTGAACTATTGACAGAAATAATTGCTTGATTGGTTTCTTCTCAGAGTTCTCCTTGCTCACGCTGCTTATCTCCTCATTCGCTATATTCTCCTCTCCATCCCATTGAAGGGGATAGCTTCTCAGAAACACCCTTCTGTTATTGTAGTCTTCATAACGGAAGCTCCTTGTCTTCATCCCATTTTCTTTTATGTCTTTGTGATCCATACTTCAAGAGGAAGTTTGCAATAGCCTGATATAGATGGAGATGACTTTTTATAGAGACTATTTAGAGGAGAAAACAAGATAGGGGGCAAGATGAGATTTTGGCAAGGACATGACAACCTGAGGTAAAGGACACAAGGCCAATAATAATTAATTTTGTAGTTGAAAGTGATGGTAACCCTTTATAAAATGCTGTTTTGTTGTTATATCATATATGTTATCCATGCGACATATCTCGATTGTTGGATTGTTTTTGACATTGTAAACTCTGTTATCATGAAGTACTAACAGTCTATACAGCAACATCTTATGCTCTTATTGTTTGTTTGTTAACGTTAGTCACTAGTCATGTCTGTTAAATATGCTCTTTCTATTCTCCTCACAAGCACCAAGAGAGGATCATCCTCGTATTAATCCAAGAAATGCCCTTGTTTGTGTGTGAAGTTGAGTAAAATCTGGATACTCAGGTGACAATTTCTAAGTTCTATAAATCTTGATCTTGTAATCATCTTTATTTTGCACGCTTGGTATGAATCTCATGCATTTCTAAGGTTCCGAGTCTAAGAATATTGCACATATTCATCTAAGTCCATGCCGATGCTAGTCGTCGTGGACTTGCAGGCTGTGAGATGAAGGTTTCACATATATGTATATGCACTTTGAATGAAATTACGTGTTATTTGAAATTTTGATTTGGGTTTTATATGTTTTATTGGGGAAAACTCTATTTTCCGGTGAAGGCACGTCATTAGTGATGTTGATTAAGCAATTTAATAGAGAAGTAGACAATATGGGTTAATCTTCTTATTATTATCATATTAATCATATTCTGATTATTTTGTATTTTTAAGTGAATTTTACGTGTAGGGGTCCAAAAGAAGTATAGAAACACGTGTGTAAACCAAACAAAAATATTAGAATTATGAGGTTGGTTTAAATAATTGGAGTTCAATAATAAACTAACTTGAAAAGTCAAAAAAAAAAAAAAAAAAAAAAGCAAATTTAATAGAGAAGTAAGACCTAATAATTGGTTAATCTTCTATTATTATCATATTAATCAGGATTCTGATTTATTTTTGTATTTTGAAGTGCAAGTTTTACCGTGTAGGGGTCCATAATGAAGTATAGATGAACACGGTGTAAATAACACAAAACAAAAATATTAGATATTATGAAGGTTGGTTTAAATAATTGGGTTCAAAATAATAAACTTACCTTGAAAAAAGCAAAAAAAAAAAAAAAAAAAAAAAGTAATATTATATCTTCAGTTTAGAAACTTTTTTCATAAAAGATAAGAAAAAGTTGAGAAAAAAAGGCAGCAACATTAAACTTTAATTCAAGTGTTTCGATGCGTGGCAATGTTACAGTTTTTTTTACACGGAAATTCCAAAGAAAAGGTAATATTACCTGGTTTCTTCATTTTTAATTTTGATAAAACCGTCCAATACTCCTAACGGCAATTGCATATTGAAAACAAATCCAAAAAAAAAAAAAAATGTTTATTTGTTAGCATTCTCCTTTTTATCAATATATTTATATCATTGTTGGAAATGTTTTTATGTAAATATTATCCTTGATCTGAATGTGAAAATATATGCAAATAAATATCTTTCATATTCTAATTATAAAAATTTTTTTTTTAAAAAAAAGAAAAACTGAAATGGCAAACGGATAGAGTTTTCCAACTTCAACTTCAGGTCTCGCCAACCTGCAAATGCTTAAAAAATATGCTGGCTTTGGAGTTCCCAAAAAGTTAAAAGTTATAGATATATATGTAAAAAAAAAAAAAAAAAAAAAAAAAAAAAAAGATTCTATTATGTAGGTTACAAAATCTTATTATTGGTATTTCTGTCAAATAATAAAAATATCATTCATATTATAATAAAATCAAAATAATGAAAAAAAAAAAAAAAAAAGAGTTCTATTATGTAGGTTACAAATATCTTGTATTATTGTTATTTCTGTCAATAATAAAAATATCATCATATTATAATAAAATCAAAAATAATGTAGATTATTCAAAAATCGAACTTGATTCATGAATCACTGCTCTTCTTATTTTGTAAAAATACTAAAATATTTTAAAAAATAATTACTTTTAAAATTTTTGAAATATAACCTACATCTTGATTTGAAAATATTATAGTTTAAACCTTTTTTTTAATTAAAAAATTAACCTTTCATGGGAAAAGGAACAGGAAAAATTATTATCCTTCTCCATGTCCAATCCAACAAGCCCAAGCTGCTTTGAATTTAGGAGGTAAAACGTAAAAGAAGGTGGATCTACCAATAAAAAGAGATTGACATTATGCTCTGTTTTTAAAAAATGAAATTGTTTTGTATTTTAATAATTCTTTTCTTTCATGTTTTTGCTGTACTATGCACACGTGGTTGGTGGTGGGAGGTTGAACATGCCTGTTGCTCTTTGAGCAAATTGTAAAATACAAAGCATGAACTATAACTGACAGACACAGACATCTAATATAAATTATGGCAAAATATCCAAATTGGTTATTACAGCTTGATTATAATTTTTTTTTTTTTTTTGGTTTTTCATGAATTTCCTGATTTCTGATGTTGTTATTTTATTTATTAAATTAAAAATATTGTTGTTAGGTGTTCCAACACTTAAATGTATGGACTGATTGGTCATTCATTACTTACTAGTCAAACACATAGATCTCACACATTGGATTAAATGGAAGACACAATTCTCTATACTAGTAGGTATGAGAAGTAGGGTAGCCAATACTTGGCATCCAATTGGAATTTGACATGGTTTCAATTAGTTTTAAAAGTCAAAATTCAACTTCTTTTTTATTTTTATTTTTTTAAAAATTATTGAAATGGTTTGATTTAACTGTTTCATGCAACTTATATCTAACAGTTAAATACACACATGTGATAAACATTTTTATAAAGAGCTAATGGCTTATAAAAGTTCCGGTGGTTAGACCGGACCCGAAAATTCTAAATATTTTAATTTTAATTTTTGATTCAGTTCCATTTGATTTTTCTTCTAGTTTCCAGTTTCTGGTTTGGTTTTGAACCGTGACATGGCTCCTGTTATTGCACCTAATAATTAATTTTCTTTTTCTTTTCAAGAAATTTCTTGGCAAAAGATTGAGTGTGGCACCCATTCCTAAAGATCATCTGATTTTGAGCCCAGTATCTCATCAAAAGATTAAAAAAAAGTGGTCTAAAAAGATATGAACAGAAGCAAAATCATTGAAACTGCATTAAAAAAAGAAAACGACCTTTTTCTATCCCATCTTTCTGTTCCGCTCTTACAGCTACTGCCACTAAAACAATAGTACAATCACAGCAAGTAAACTATAGGAAAGGAAAAACAATGGACCCACCTCAGCAAATGTCATTACTTCGCTTTCAAGACCAATCTAATTTCCTGTCCAAATTGTAGTTGGCATTACCAACTTTATCTTCTTCAAGCATAAACCTACTGACAGAAACTTTCAAGTTCTGTAATGGAAGAATAGAATCTAATATTTTTATAGACATGGGTAATTGCGTTCCAACTCAAAAAAGCACAGAACCAGCTGCTGCCATGAAGCTTCAAGACTCTGTCAATCATTCTCAAGAAAACACAGTCCAAACTGAATCCCTTACTGAGGAAGAAGAATTCAATTCCAAGCTTAAATTCACTACTCCAGTTCCTTGTGAAACGAGTATTCAAGATTTGAGTATGATTCTAAGTTTATTTTCCTTAATGTACATTTCATTTCTTGTACATTTTCAAATCCCAGTTCTTATTTTGGATATTCTATTCTTCAGTGACGAATGGTTTCTCATATGATTGACTGTTTTACTCTAGAAATGAAAATGGAATGCAAATAGATTTCAAAAACCAATTTCTAAAATTGCAGTAGATGATATTTAAATCCATATTGCTTGTTACTTATGCAGGTAATAGAGAGGAAATGTATTTTGATTCTGAGCCTTGGCTGGATTCTGATGTTGAAGATTTCCTCAGTGTCAATGGAGGTAAATTTAGTCTCAGAAGCAACTTTAAAAATATTTTTCCTTACAAGAAATTCTTAACTAAAATGTTTCCAAGTACTTTTTAGTTTATGACTAGGTTGTTGTATTTACGCAGATTTGACCCCATTAGGTAACTCTAGTCCTCTTCATCAGAGCAACTTGACAACCACTCCTCCCTGTGAAGAATCTACTTGCATTGACAAGACTGAAAACCCAATTCCTCAAACTTCTCAAATTGATATGAAGAAGCAACTGATCGAGTTCTTTCGCGAAAGCTTCAACAATAATGGCAATCAAAATAATATACAAGCCAAAGCAGAATCAAAGCCTTCCGAATGCAGAAATACAAATCCAAATAAACAAGAACGTTCTGCTCAATGTTGTCTTCCAAATTTGGTGGGAAGCCTTAGCTTTAGTGAAAGGAAAAAGAAAAGAGGCTGAGCTCTGAAAATAATAGAGGTTGGTAATTAATACAAACTCTTCATTTCCTCTATACGTGTTAGTGAAACATGAAGTGGGTTTTGTATGTATAAATATATTGTGTAAGATCATATGAAGCTTTACTACTAATACTTGATCAAAATTATGAAAGTTCCAACTGTTAACTTTTTGTTTAAGTGGTTATGGATGGGTTTTCATTTTTATTTTTTTGGACATCATAAATATTTAAAAGAAAAAAGCCTCTACAGGTTTAAATTCCGGCGTGCTGTGTTCTAAAACAAATACTCAGTCACTGTAATTCTAACTTTTAGTTAAAAAATTTTGAACTGCCCTCTTTTTATGAATTGTTTGGTGGTGTTTGTAAGGATCTAAAATTATATTTGTCTAATTGAGGATATGATTTAGTATTTGGGTATTAGAATGAGAGATGTCATTAAAAAAACCATGATCGATCGAAGACTTGTCTACTAACAAATAAATATTTAGACAGAGAAGAGCTCTTTGCCCCTTTTATGAGTATGTCTTACCTGAGTATGATTTGAATACGGATGTTTAAAATAAAAAAAAAAATAAGTGCACAGCTAAAATTCCAAACTAAAAGATACACAAAATTGCCAAAATACAATATAAGCTACTGCAAAATATCCACATCACATGATATTGGTCCATGCAACAAAGTTGCATAATCAAGATTAGAAATAAAAACAACCTCTAATTCTTCACAGGAAACCCTAATTTGTCCCCTACTAGAAAAACCACTCTTGGCAGAATTTGTGCAGGTGAAATTAGCACTCAAGTTGAATGTCCATGTTATTGCGCCAAATGCTTTTTTTTGAGCAATAAGCTCGGCTGCTAACGTTTGGTTTATATATAAAGAATAGGCAGAAACATTAGCCTGAACCAACTTTTCTTCACCTGGTGATTGGGAAAAACGTCCGATTGATGAAGAAGATATACTTTGGTTCTTGAAGAGAATAGAAGCCTGAATATCATCATAGGAAAATAAAGAGTATCTGTATGTGTTTGCGATAGAAAAAGAGACGTTCCAATTGGCTGTTATGTGAGTAGAAGATATGTTGAACTGCTCAAGTGCCATTGATTCCACAGAAACTTGGAATTTTGGGGTTTGAGATGCCAAGAACACGATAAAAGTAATCAGTGACAGAAAACTAAAGCAACTGATAAGCTCGCATATGTTTATACCACAAATGCTATCATGGCGATCGTTGGGATGAAGGGAGGAGGGAAAGCGGGGAGAAACCTGCTGATGGGGTTTGTTTTCTTTCATGGATTGAGACGACATTGAAATATTTAAACAAGAAGGAAAGCTTTGAATTGAAAGTTGAAATCATTTACAAGCTAATGCTTTTATAGTTAATTTCTTCAAGTCCTGTTTCCCTTTACACAAAGGAAAACTGATATCTAAATTGATTCGGTTTAGGAGTTCTTAAAACCGGTATTTATTTCAATCCAAAATAAATAAATAAAATAAATGAATTAGCTAAATTTTGTTTTTTCACATTGGGCTCTCAATGGCTTGCGAAATTAGAAATTGGCCCTTCTTTAATGTGGGCATGGCTTGATGAGTTGATGCTTTACTGCTATTGGGCTATTTTGTGGGCTTTTCATTAATCCATTAGAATGGTACCAACGATGGGTCGTTTATTTTGGGCTTTTAGCAAATAACTTATCGGAGTGGTCAATGGCTGGCTGATAGGTTATAGTGATACGTAGTTTAAGTGAAGGACAAACACAATCTACTAGTAGCATTGAAGTATACTTCTCTAAGATTCAAAATCTCTAAAAAAATAATAATAATAATAATATGGCTTATTTTAGATTACTTTTTTTTTTAAATATAAATTTTAGATTATGTATTTTCTCATCCCTAAATCCCACCTAGTAATCTTAGTTAATCTTTTCTAGAAAATATCATCCAAATTTCAGAACTGACCTCCATGATTTAACATATGAGAACATATTTTAACTTGCTTACCAAGAAATTGAGCTCAACACTCGCGAAGAGAAAATCCTATAAGTGTTTACAATGAAAGCTAAGTATAAAATGATTAGTCTTCTCAAATCTCTGTACAAAAGTTGCTATAAAGAAGTGAAGAGAAAACAAAAAAAAAAAAAAAAGAAAAAGAATCCTATAAGTGTTTACAATGAAAGGCTAAGTATAAATGATTAGTCTTCTCAAATCTCTGTACAAAAGTTGCTTATAAAGAAAGTGAGAGAAAACAAAAAAAAAAAAAAAAAAGAAAAAGAAAAAAAAAAATGATATACGTACCAAAATGAGCACCAGTCTTCTTAATCCTTAAATGCATTTTTCCATTTTAAATTGAATTTTTTTACCAACACTACTGAATATCTCCTCTATAAATTTTGAGCATAGTTATCTTTTTTTTTTTTGTTTTCTTTTTTTTTTTGGTTTCTTTGAAGTATTTTGACCGGTTGGTGAACATCCTAGGGTTCGATTGAAAGGAACAAATCCGAGGAGAACAGTCATGTAAAGCAAGTTGTTCGGGAAGTATTAGAAAAGCCAGAGTTGAGATGTATCCTCATGTTGGTATGCGAGTCTTTTTCCATTCATGAGGAGGATTTTCATTCCCATCTGTTGAGTTGCATCGAACTCTATCTTGGAAATATCCCCTCCATTTTTTTTTTTTTTTTTCTTTTTTTTTTTTGGTTTCTGATGAAGTATTTTGACCGGTTGGTGAACATCCTAGGTTCGATTGAAAGGAACAATCGAGGAGAACAGTCATGTAAAGCAAGTTGTTCGGGAAGTATTAGAAAAGCCAGAGTTGAGACTGGATCCTCATGTTGGTTATGCGAGTCTTTTTCCATTCATGAGGAGGATCATTCCATCTGTGAGTTGCATCGAACATCTATCTTGGAAATATCCCCTCCATCTGTACAATGGACGTGTCATGTTGGTTGGGCACTTTTTCTTTCTATCTTTGTACAATGGACGTGTCATAATGTCACTTATCAGTTTTCAATGAGCTTATTCTTGATTCCGATTTATAACTTCATAATGTAGAACTGATGGATTCTAGAAAAACAGTTTGACCTCATCTCAAACAGGAGTGTACGTTGTGGACTAACTGGGTTCTCTTGCCAAAACCAGGTGATGGTTTCCGTAGCCTAGTTATATGAAGATGTCTTTTATTTTAGTTCTTGATACTTGTTTGAGGGATTATATTACTCAAATATGTATGGAATGTGATCTTGTATTGCACAGTTCCCTGCACATGAAACGCAACACAGAGCATGACCCACCCTATTGGAGAGGTCCAATTTGGATGAACGTGAACTACATGATTCTTTCTGCACTCTACCACTACTCCAAAGGTATCAGGTGCCTGTCTCATTCAACTCTTGCAGAAGATAGACCATACAGAGATAGGGCCAAGATAATCTATGAGGACTTAAGGAGCAATTTGATTAAGTAAAGGTTTACAGTTTACCTTTTTTGTATTGATATAGTTGCACGTACGCTCAAACTGGATTAAATTGTCGTCTGATTAAATTGTTTTTGCCGTTTTGCTACGGAGATGTGGTTCAGAACTATCACAAAACTGGGTTTTTGTGGGAGCAATATGATCAGACTAGGGGTAAAGGAAAAGGCGCACGCTTGTTTACTGGTTGGACATCACTTGTGCTGCTTATAATGGCAGAAACCTATAGCTGAGCTAACATAGTTTACAAATATCTTATCTGATGTAATATTGATTTTTCATCAGCAACAGCGAAAAATATCTTGGGTTTTACACAGAATTAGGAATCAGTTTCTATAAATTATGCCTTTTTGGTTGATTAATTTTGTATTAGTTTTTTGTGCTCTTTCTAAGCGTAATATCTTGGATGGAAGGATAAAGCAAAAGAAAGTATATTACAAATTACACAGAAACATCACAATACTCCTTTATGCGCTATTCTCAACATGCAGTATTTTCTCAGCATAAAAATTAGGCAGACAGAAAATGGTCAACTGGGGTCTGGGATCAGGGGAAAATGTAAACTCGAACAGCTATTTGACTATGGCAAGAATGCTTGTGCTCTATCAAACAATATTTAGCAACAATCAGTTCTCATTATCTTCTCCTATTGTATGGCAAGAACACACGCACTACTTTAAGCCTCATATCTTTAATTTACATCTTTTGCCATTTCTGTGTCCTCGGCCATCATAATTTCCATGTCTCTCATATCGCGCTTCAATACATTACCCAACCTTGCAATGGCCTCTGTCTGCTGCTGTAAGACCTGTCACATATGCAGCAATCCTTTATCACTTTATCCAATATAATCCTCTACGATCATAATCAGCATAACTAATTGCACATGATTTAGAAATATTGTTTGCAAACTAATCAAACTAGAAGAGTGATAACGTCCCGCAGATATTATTAAACATTAGTATGGTTTGTATGGTACGGGTTCGAGTTCGGGTTCATTTTCAAATCGTTTAATGTGGATGACTGGTTATATTTTGATAGACAAATAATGCCACATCCCAGAACTCCTAAGCATGCCCCACTCTTACCTCCTGCATATCAGCAAGACTCTGTTCATGTATTTTGGTTGATCCTGGGAGATAAAATGAACCACCAGCTCCAATTCCATTTGCTTGAACGTGAGATATGGTTAGTAAGTTCTGAACCCTCCTAGAAAGTTCTGCTCCAGATCCTTTGAGCTGAAAATACTTCAGCTTGTTAAAAACCATCTCTGACAGGCAGCCAAGTGAAAAATAAAAGCATAATGGAGGGATACAGTACAAGAAACACCTACCTGTCTGGTTATTGCAGCTAACTTTTCAGCCAATTCAGCTTCCCCTTTCATTAAGGGCATCCGATAACCCTTACTTTCCAAAGCCTCCATTATTCTCATTATCTTCAATTATACAATAGGAGAAGTTAGAGATTAGAATTGAGCTAACCAGTACTAAATAGCATTGCTCACACAAGACAAACAGGTGTTTCAAGCCCAGGCCTGCACACTTGCAAAGAAAAAGGCATCTGGCAGTAGCATCTCAAGCAGAGTTTAAGCACTTCTCAACAGAGCAGACAGAGCAACCGACCACAAAAAACATATAGAAAGGCTTTTTCTGAACCCCACAGATCCATAAAATTTTTAATTCAAACCAGATTTTCAATTGGGATTTAAACCTCATAATTCATTATTAGTGCAATATTAAGCCTCCATTGATTTGAGATAACAATTATGATGGGCACAGAGATGCAAGACTCATTTTCCCAAATCATACAAGAGTTTTGTGATAGAACATGCATTAGAAGGCAATTCGAGAAAACTAGCATTCCATCCAAATTACATGTTGCATTGCCTGCTCCTAGGTAAAGTCAAAACAACAATTAATTTCTCCAACATTGCCCCTTACTTTATATTGTCTTATCATAAACATGTTCTGACTTGAATAAGTGCAAGTTTATTATTTCATGCATAATTTCGAGTACTAGTTGACTGAAAGTTAATATTGCATAAAAACGGACTCCTTTTAACTAAAATTTCAGGCTCAAAATTGAAAGGCAGTGAAACTACAAGCAGAGAATTCAGAACATATTTTTTGCCCTAAAACACAAAAGCAACAGAAGAATGGCCATATATTCTGAAATTTTATCTCAAAAAAAACTATGCTTCAGTTATCTTGCATTCAGTAGATATGATAGAAACAATAACAACTCATGCAGGCACTGAAAAATTGATGATGTAATGGATAGACTTATTATGTTCATTCCTAGTGGTTTCCCCATAAAAGGGTGGATATTGTTCTCACCCTTAAAAGACGCCTTTGAAGACTTTGCTCTTTTTGCCTCATTCTTTGAATCCATGGAAGAGTCTCAGCTTGAAAATGCCTTTGAAGCTGCAAAAGCACTTATATATGAAATACATACTTGAAAACTAATATACATGAAGATAATAGACAAAAAAAGTACCATCTTCACGTTGCTTTGGGTCATCCGCAATCGCTCAGCATCTGAAACAATAACTTCATCTTGAAGCTGCATTAATTCAAAATGGTAATGTCAAAAAGTTAATAAACCAGACTCCTCCAGCAAATATAATGATGGCAAGGAAGAGTGAATAGAGCATAAATCTTAACAGTAGAATGCTTAAAGTTATTTCAATTTGTAATTTACTCAGTAATTGCAGATCAAAGAAGGAAAAAAACAAAAAAAAAAGAGCAGGTTAGCTACTTCAGCCTGAATAAGCTTTCCACCTTTCAACAAGTAGTCTCAACCTTCTTTTTTTGTGTATATTCTCCACCGAAATAATCTTCGCCTTCTCTATGTATAAAATCTTTAACCATGGGTTTTCTCAGTGGTAAACAGAAATCTATCCAAATGTCTCTCTTTCTCTTTAATTCTATGTCTGCCTTTTCAATATGTTATTCTCCTTTTAAATAAACTTTACCTTCTAGATCTGAATATATAAAATCTAATACAAAAATATCTCTCTGTGTACCCTCCATCTTAATGAAAAAAGCATGTAAAATATGAAACCTATTTTGGAATAGGTAGTAATGGTTGGCAGTGAAACTATATCCAAAGTATTTAGTGGCCAAATGATTATATGTCAACTGGTTTGGAGCCATATTAAGTAGAATAATGAAAAAAGCATATGAAAAATGAAACCTAGTTTGGAATAAGTAATGGTTGGTAGTGGAGCTATCTTCCAAGCATTTAGTGGCCAAATGGCCATATGTCAACTCTTTAGGAGCCATATTAAGCAAAATAAATTTCCTCTTACTAATTCAGTGTCTACCAGTAGAAAGAAAATTGCAATTTGCGACGTAAAACCTTCAAAGCTCTTAGCTCATAAACTCATACTTCAAATTTGATATGTATAAAATTTCAACTGAAATTGATTCTCTGCAGCAATATGAATATAGTGGTTGCTTAAAACAGAAAACTAAATATCCTAGAAGTTGGCAAACAGTACTAACATGTTTTTTACATTAATGAAAGCATTCATCCACACCTATAAGTAATAGTAACTACCTTAAGCCGGTGAGAGAGATCTTTGAAACCTTGAACAAGCTGAGGCCACAGACGTTCTCGGTCTGAACTCTCCATAACCTCTAGCTTTGCCATAGCCTCTGCCCACATGATCTAGCAATGCAAACTATTCTCCCAACTTAGCCAAGTATAAACTCAAGAAGAAACCATTTCATGATTTAAACATGAAATTAGTGATAACAGAACAGCAAAATGATAAACTCACATCTGAAACACCAGCAGGCTTCACTCTATACTGTGGATCAGTGACACTAAACAACAAATACTGCAAAATTAACACCAAATGTCAACATTCAAAACCACTAATTCTTCGCTCAGTTAATCTGAAAAACTATACATAGACACACATAATAAAACTCCAATTTGAGCTTGAATAGAATTTCGTATACTTATATTTTGAAAACAAATAGTATAGAATGATAAACCTAATTAGCCTTTCTTTCACCTCAGCTTTCATAGCAACCAAACACTAACGAAATGTGACAAGCAATGAAACAAACCTTAAATGCATACTTAGGGTTCCCCAGGTCTTCCTTGTAAGCATCCACGATTGCCTAAAAAAAGACGAATTTAATCAGAAACTGAGCCATAATAAATAACCAGAGGGAGGAATTTTAGTAAGATAATAAAACCTGAATATCACGATCTGCGAGAGAAAAAGGAACCGGAGCCACAGGGGCCATCTGAGTAGTTAATTGCGCATTAGGGAAAGGTGTCGTTTGAGGAGCGCTAAATGGAGTCTGGAATCCGAAACCAGCAGACGGTTGCAGAGAAAAAGGAGTCTGTTGTTGCTGCTGCTGTTGCATTTGAGAAGAGAATGGGGTGGAGAAGAGGGAGGAGCCAAAGCCAGTAGCGAAAGACGGCGTCGAGGGGGTCCCGAAGGCCGGAGTTGAAGGCGCACCAAAAGCCGGAGTTGAAGACGGAGTACCGAAAGCCGGAGTTGAAGACGGAGTACCGAACGCCGGAGTGGAAGACGGCGTGCCAAAAGCTGGAGTGGAAGACGGCGTGCCAAACGCTGGTGTGGAAGAGGGCGTGCCAAACGCTGGTGTGGAAGACGGAGTGCCAAATGCAGGAGTCGAAGCTTGAGCACCGAACATTGTTGCGATTACAGAAAAGTGAGCTAGCAAGTGTAGAATGCGGAGGCTTTCTCTGATGTTTTAGGAAAAGGGCGCCATGCACTGGGGTTTTTTACGGTTTACTAGCATTTTGCTGTTCTAGTGTTCGACCTTTGGCCTTAGAGAGAGGGTTTATTTTCTTGGGCGCTTCAAGGAAAAGTGATTTCGGCGCTTCAAGGAAAAGTGATTTCGGCGCTTCAGACGGTGTCTTTGGTGTTTCGATCCCACCCGTCAATTTTTGAAATAATGGTGGCAACTTTGAAATTTCTCGCCCTTTTTCCTCACATATATGTAATTTTGTACACCTAAAAAGCCATCTGAGCCTGAAATTAGTGATTTGTTTACGGATAATTAGCTACTCCCTCGTTTAAATTCTTCTAAAATAACATTTAAAGTTTAGTATTTTATGCTTATTTAATAATTAATGTGGTTCTTTCTTAATAAATATATTAATTGAATTATTAGACTAATTTTTCACAAATATGCTAACCAATTTCTTTGATTATTGGATAAATAATTATAATTTGATTAATTTTAATAATAATTTAATATAAATTATTTAATTTTGATGAAATATTAATGCAAAGATGGAAAAAAAATTAAAGCAAAAATTATAATTTAACTCGACTAACTAAATTACAAACAAAATGCCAGATCATTTAACAAGCAAATGAATTGCACAAACATATAATTCATGGGAAAAATTCAAAAATGGAAGAAAAAATGCCTTGTGGAGGAGAGATTCTTGGGTGCAATTATTAGTAATTTTGACATGTCTTAAAAATAATATGTACATATTGCCAATTGACTCAATTGCCAAATAAAGGAAAGAAATTTTCATCTTAGAACTGCAAAAAAGATACCATTCCAAAAGGCAACAATTACAGTGGCAAGTTCAGGTTACCTTGTACAAGGCACAAGCTAATTCCCTCTCCAACAATCCTAAAGCATATCCCATGCATAAATAGTTGACGAGCAATTAAGAATTAGAGACTGATGAATACTCCACAATGAATGAAATATGACAAATTAATGAAACTGAAAATCCAGAAAGTTAAAATGCAAACATAAATCTGTAGTATTCCTGGATAATGCATGCACCATTTCATGCCTTGATAGTCACACTGCACAAGCACAGTCCAGACGGCTTTATTTCAGAAGTCTGCCACTCTGAACCCGGAGAAGCATTAGGATCATACAACAACGTACGATAACCCGGTGTTTCCTCTAGTGAGAATAGTAATAGTTTCCCATCAAGTATTCCAAACCGAAAACCGATGTTCGTGCTACCAGTCAATGGAACTGGAACCATTTTCCATGAATTGTCCTCCGGATTGAATATAGCCAGTTTCCGCTGATTCTTCCACTCCATACAGAAGAGCTTCTTTCCCAGTACAGCATGAGCAGTAACCATGACACAACCATTCTTAATCTCACACCAAGAGTGCCTCTCAGGATTGTACACGTCAACAAACTTTGAATTGCCAATGGTGAAGCTTGACCTTCCTCCCATGACATAAAGCTTCCCTTCGAAGCTACAAGCAAAGCAACCCCACCTTGGGCGGCGAAGACTCTCTATCAGGGTCCATTTTTCTGTGTCAGGGTCATACATCTCAGCACTTGAGAGACTATCACCATCTATCCCATAGCCTCCAACAGCATAAACTTTGCCGTTAACCTCTGCACATGCAAAATCATAGCGTGCAACATTCATGTTTGGCAATTTGCTCCAACTGCAATCACAAAGGCCGTGTTACAGAACTAGCGAGAATCATGGAGAAGCTAAATCAACAAAGTGGCACTTAATGGTGTGTTATTTTTTTTTTTCTTTTTTTGAGAGGGAGAGGGAGCGTTTAGTGTATCGATTAAGATAAAACCCTACCAAGAACAATCCTAGATGCTAATAAATAATTTTCTAGTTCTAAGATTAGTTCCAAACAAGAGAAAAAAAAAACATAGAGAGGCTAGTTAATTTTGAACTATTCAACAACCAAAATTGTTAATTGTGCAATTGAGTAGTTGGTTAGACAAGTAGCAAATCTGTCTAAATTTCAAAAAATCACCGATTCATTTATCTATGTAAGGGACTTAGTTTGTTAGTTTTGAAATGGCATAAAGATGCACAATTCCGCGTTAGCCAAATATAGAAACATCACACTCTCTCCCCAGCCTCCATCCTCCAACTAGCAAACTATCAAAAACCCACTAGGCCAAGGCCAAGCTACATAGAAGGTTACGAGTACAAGAAGGAGAAAATATATAAATTTAGAGGTCAGACAGACACGGACAGAAAATTTCCTGCTTGTAAAGAGAACAAACCTGTTGAGGCAAGAATCATATTCATAAACATCAGATGAGGCAGAAACAGTCCCGTCAAGAGCTGAATAGCCAGCCATGACAACAAGCTTTCCATTGAGAACCACCACCCCGAACCCAGCCTTCATAGAACCAGGCATTGATGGAAGAAGCTGATGTCTGTGTCCCAAGCAATCCAAAACCTCCCAATGGCTTTCTTTTCCTTCAGAATCCATAGTTAGGACATATAGCCATTCCTCAAGCAACCCAGCCAATTTTCTCACAACAAGGAATTCTTTGCTTCTAATAAATGATCTCCATTTCTTGCAGACAGCTCCCATAGCTGGAAAATTCGGACGAGGAACGAGTGCAAGGCAATACTTTGCCACATCATCAGGCAGCCCAGGAAGAATGGGGCTGTCAACATCGTTAGCAACCTGAGAAGCTAATTGAAGGTTGCTCTTCGAACGAGTTGGCTTATCTTGCGCAAGTGAAGTGAAGAAAGACATATCCATCTCTGCTAATCTCTTCTTTCCACTCACAAAACCCGGCATTTTCAGGAAATGAAGAGATATGTAGATGAGTATTGTGTTCAATCTACTATATCTCCCTAAAAAGTATTAAGACTTTCAAATGACAGATGTTCGATTAAAGAAATTCATGATAACCATCACCTATAGGAATTTTACATGTCCAAGGCATAAAAAATGTTGCAGAACAAACAGCTTGAGCATTAAACGCTGATGATTTCCTGTGTCTTGTCCAGTCTGATTCATATTCCATACCAGAAATTCTGCTCTTAAAGTAGTCCCTTTCGGTTGTTTTATGCAGACTGTTCTTTAAGCCTCTAAAATAGTCTCTTGCTCCACACATTGCCCGAATTTCTGCATGCAGTATTAATATAATTAACAGAAATGCTAGAATTACAACCATTAAATTTGAATCCAAAAGCCCCACCCCAGAATCCCCTCAAAACACACGAATACATACCAGTCAAGGCCATAGAACTTTAGCAAGTCTCAGCCCCCTCTGACTTCCATTTTTATTGGAGTTGATATCTAGCTGTCCAATCACATTAAAGGAAAAGTAGTCGATTGAAAATTTTCGATACATGAACTTTAGAGAATAAAAGATAATAATGATCTTGACAGCAGTAATAAGATTCTATTTGCTAATTCATTTTTCAGGAGGATAAGAAAGTCCAAACGTATTTAGCAATAGTTTCTAAAATGCAAGAAGCAAAAGTTTCATTGGATGTTCTAAGGCAAAAAAAAACAAAATTAAAACAACAAAAAGGCTAGAAAACTTGAAGTACTTAATTTGGTGCATCATTTTCCATCACCCGTTTAAAAAAATGTGCAACTTGATTTCAAAAGTCAATAAACAAATGAAATGGAGACACCTAACATTCCCTAAACCTTATCAATCACACTCGACCTCCACGTAACTTTCAAAAGCAAAAATCTCAAGTAATTTCACCCAACCCGCCCTACCCACCAAATATACACACAAGTGTAATAATACATCTCCCATACAACCAGAGAGAGAGAGAGAGAGAGAGAGAGAGATACACAAGTGGATTAATTGAGTCCTTTTGACAAAAAAAAAAAAAAAAAAAAAAAAAAAAAAAAAAAAAAGCGCTAGAAAAACTTGAAGTACTTATCTGGTTGCATCAGTTTCCATCACCCCGTTTAAAAAATGTGGCAAACTTGATTTTTCAATAAAAGTCAATTTAAACAAATGAAATGGAGACACCTAACATTCCCAAACCTTTAATCAATCACACTCGACCTCCACGTAAACTTTCAAAAGCAAAAAAAAATCTCAAGTAATTTCACCCAACCCGCCCGTTGACCCACTCAAATATACACACAAGTGTTAATAATACATCTCCATACAACAGAGAGAGACGAGACGGAGAGAGATGAGAGAGAATACACAAGTGGATTAATTGAGTCTTTTTGACAAAAAAAAAAAAAAAAAAAAAAAAAAAAAATAAAAAAAAAAAAAAAAAAAAAAAAAAAAAAAACAAAAATTGAATGGATCAGATCACTAAATCGTTGCCCAAAAACTCCAAAGCAGAAAAGCTCACATAACCAGATCTGAAATCAAAAAACAGTTCACCAAATACTAATATTCAAATTTACAGTTAAAAAGATCTGTCCTGAACCATGAAAGATGCTAGATCTTGACTAAAGTGATACATGTTAACCAAATCAAAAGACAATCAAAGAATTGAAACCAAAAGACAAGAATGACAGATAGATCAACCAATCAAGAAAGAATTTAGTTTATTTAAACCAACAGTTCAATACAGCTAAAACAGAAATAAATTTGAAATTGGAGAATAAATCCCAGAAATTTAAAAACAAAAAACAGGTCTTTATGAGCTAATAATGAATCAGAATGCGAAACGACGTAAAATTCATACAAAAAAAAAAAAAAAAACTACTACCAAGTAAGAGAACAAGCGAATCTACCAAAAAAAAAAAAAAAAAACTACTACCAAGTAAGAGACAAGCGAATCTACCTAATACCCAGCTAGAAACAAAATCCAAATTCAAAAAAATAAATAAATAAATAAAAAGTATTCATCAGGAACACAGAGATTGCCAAAAAAAACAAGAATAAAACATGAAGAAGCATTGAAACAGGAAATGCTGATACATCAAAGCTTGTTTAGATACCCATTCATACAACAGAGTGACAAAGAGAGAGAAGGAGGGAGATTTTACCTGAAAAAGGAAACGGAATTAGTTCTTACTCGCTTCTTCGGGAGAGAGATATAAAGAGAATGATTCGGTGTTAGAGAACCGTAAAATGAGGATGTATCGAAAGTGGATAGGACTGACAGAGAGCGACCACGTCAGGATTAGATTACGAGCCGGTAACGAAGGGAGGTAAGAGACGAGACGACTAATGCTATGTGATGTTCTGTTCTTTTCCAGATATAAAGGAATGGGAAGGCTTTTTTTTTCTTTTTTTCTTTTTTTTTTGTAATTTTCAATTTCGAAAAGATGGATTTTTTGTCTGGAAAATATAATAATTGGAATTTGGGATATGATCATGTGTCTGCAAATACATAGATTGAAATGGTCCTAAACCCTAATTAATAATTCTGTTTTATTTGTTTAATTTTTATAATATGAAGGGCCTTCCACTCTCACACCACTCCTTTTTTTTTAATCAATATTGGAGATTCTAAAATCTTATATTGAACTGTGTGAAAAAGAAATTTCTATGTTTTTTTTTTAGATTTTTTTTAGAAATAAAATGGATTTAACATTAAGAATCATTTGACAAAGTGTCAACATAATTTTTTAGAAAAAATATATAAACATCTCATAAGTTATTAGTAAAATTTTTTAATTGAAAGAGCCACATATAGATTTCTCTTCTTGTTGAGTTTTTTTTTTTTTTTTTTTTTTTTTTTTTTTTTTTTTTTTTTTTTGGAATATGCAAGTGTTGCAAAAAGTACGTTTAAAAAAAAATTTTTTTTTTTTTTTTTTTTTTTTTTTTTTGAATATGCAAGTGTGCAAAAAGTACGTAAAAAAAAATTCATATTTTGTATGTTTTATACATAGGTTTATTTTTTATATATATATAATTTAAGAAAGAAATATTATAGTCGCATAATAATTTTCTTTTCATTATTTTTCTTAATATTTATATTAATAATCCATAACCGACGGAAATTTAATTTTTGAATACCATCATCAAGATAATAAATAGAATTGAATAATAGGATTATTTCTAAAATTTTTTATATTATGTATTAATACTTTGATTAAAAAGAAGATGATGAAAAATATGGAGGAAGGAAAATAATAATATCATTTTGCTTTTCATTGTTTTTTTTTTCTTATATATCGCAAAGGAAGTAAAATAAATTTATTTTATTTATTTATAAACAAAAAAATTTTAAAAGAAATAAAATGTTATTATCGAAAATTAACAATTACATCATCATTTAGTTATAAATAATAAAAATAACTAAAATTTCGCCTTTCTTCCATTATTCTCTCTCCAAGATAAAAAAAAATTTAAAATGTTTGAACATGATGGAAAACAAATGAAATACTATCTCCTTTTCCAAATAAAGAAAAACACCTTTCGAACAAAGGTTGATTATTGTTTATTTGAAGATTATTAATTATGAATTATGGAACCACTGCATTTATTGGTATATACGTCATTAAATCGGTACAAAATAGAAATTTGAATAAACTATTTATTTCTAGAAAATAAATAAAGAAAAAAAAAACCAAACCTCGATGTGTGGGATGAAAAGAGTAATTATTTAGAGAAGAGTTTTATTAAACACTATTCATTTTCTAATTAGGATTATCAAAAACATAATCCGAACAAAATCCTTAATCCTAATCTTCTAAAACAATTGTGATTAAGGTGCTCATGCCACGTCTATTCCAAGTATTTGCAATTCAAAGTCTTACTTGAAAATTAAACGTTAATAAAGATGTTGATGGCAATAAATGGCAAACCCTATCCCTTCTTGATTTGTCTGCATACAACTCAACTGAATTGAATTGAATCGAATCGAGCCAATTCGATAACGACAGTGAAATGAGAATGGTATGCGGGTTGCCGAATTGGCGTGTGGCAATCACATGCAAGCGGCCCTACAATTATACACAAATAAGGAAGTATGGTCATTTTCCCACTAGTTATTTCCTTAGTTTGTATTGTAGTTCTTATTGCTTGCTTTTCATTTTATTACTATTATTATTAATTTCATATATAATATATAAATATGGTAGGAAAAGTATGAACCGATCAAAATAATATTAGTATACAATTTATATTAATATTTGTTAATAATTAATTTATTTGTATTGCAATAACTAAACTTACTTCCTAATTTTTCTAAACTACGCCAAACTGAGAATTGATGTCCAAAAGTTTCTGTCATGTCAATTTTTCTAGAAGAATATTTATTGAGTGTATCTTCTATATAGATTACACATGCATAGATTTCATTTGAACAGATGACAATAATACACACACAAGCTCACCACCGCAGAGGAAATTAGTGGGTTTTAATTAACAAAACTGTCCGATTCCTAAGTTTCGATGTCATTGATGTGTTTGTTGTCTCTGGTTAAGCATCGCTCCTGCACTATTGGACGTTAGGCTCAGATAGAGATAGAGATTATATTGGTTGCACAGATTTTGAATTGACGTGCGTGGTTGCCACTCTCTTTAGCCATGGACACATTAAAATGTTTGTGCTGTGTTACTATAGAAATTTTGTCATGTGGTCCCAATTAAAATTGTAAAAATTATGTTTTTTATATATTTTTTTAGTTATTTAGGACTTGATTAAATGGAGTTTAGTCTGTAATTTCACGATTTAGTATTATGAACGATTGAGTATTCTTTTTTATAATATAAGAAATCGAAATTTGAAATCGCGGTATGTTTTTTCCTTTTTAAAATATGTAAAATAAAAATTAATCCAGTATTAATTATTATTTATTGAATTTAAAGTCATAGCTAATTAACTTTCAATTCTTCAACAAAACAAAATTCTTAATAATTTTTGGATTTTTTTTTTAAGTCTTTGCCTTGACCGGCATATTTGTTCGTCGGGGCTAATAAATGGCATTAGCCGCTTTTTTGGGCTGTTGACAAGGTCTTGACGTTCTGTGTAGCGTTTTAACTTTGTCAATGTTGGTGGATCTGGAGCTGTGGGTGGTTTGACTTGCTGGGTTGGGAGTCGGGTCGAAGTTGACGGAGGGACGGGCTACTTGAATCTTGATGCCACCCACACAGTCGATCGAATGTGAAAAGTGAAAATGCATTTTTTTTCATTGGTTATGACAAATATTTTTCCACTGTTTGGAAACATAACGTCAAAAAAAAAAAAAAAAAAAAAATTGGAAACATAACGTCAAAAAAAAAAAAAAAAAAAAAACTTTCCTTTTAATTTCTAATGTAAAAGTATATGATCAAAACAATTACGATGGAAATGATTTCTTTTTTTCACTCATGTTGAAAATGAAATTTTAAAATTTGGAGTCTACTATCATAATGTTACATGTATAAAAAAAAAAAAAAAAAAAAAACTTTCCTTTTAAATTTCTAATGTAAAAAGTATATGATCAACAATACGATGGAAATGATTTTCTTTTTTTTCACTCATGTGAAAATGAAATTTAAATTTGGATCTACTATCATAATGTACATGTACCTACTATTAAATTATATTTTAGTATCGTAATAAAAATAATTTTATGATATTAATTATAAGAAAATTTATATGAACGTTAATAAAATGCATATGTCGGTATAATATTGAGCAATATTTTACGATTAATATGTGTGACTAAAATATTATTCTCTCTAGATTATTTATTTAATTTACAATTTAAGTTTTAAATACAATTTAAGGTATTATTGTAATAAATGGTCAAAGTTCATGGTGAAATTGGCATATAAGTCAAATTGGAGTAAAATTGTAAAAAAATATTAAAATTTATAGTAAAATTGGCATAAATATCAAATCAGAGTGAAATTACAGCAAAACTTAAAATTGAAGGTGAAACAATGTATTAAGTTTTTATAAATAGGTTAGATCTAGGATGCGAGCTGGTAGTGAAATTTCTCTAGAATGATCTTTTAATCCTTTTACTTAGCACTTAACCAAGAAAAATACATTTTTTGAATGAAAAAACATTATAATTTATGAAATTATAAAAAAATTAGTAAAACCCATATGTTACTTTCAACCTATTTGAGCATCTATTTTTGCACATGGTTTGGGTCGGGCCAAGATCAAGCTTCCATATAAAAAAAATAGGTCTAACCCCGTCTGATATGAAACGAGTGTGACGTTGTATGGCACACAAATCCATGAACCGATGAGGACAAGATTTTTGTGTCCATAAATCATAAATATCAAATGATTAGGCTTATTCAAATATGCAATGCAATGTACAGAATTTTTCAGTTTTCCAAAACCGTCCATTTTTGTCGCCATTTGTTCCTAAAGTTTTATATTTAAAGTATAATATATATATATTTTAATTTATCAGAACCATGAACCGTTTAAAGTAACGCGATTTGGGTTTAAATGCATAATTTTAAATTGCAAAATATCAACATAAAAATATTGTATTTGGAATATTAAATATTTTATAAATTTATTAATCTAAATTAGGGGAATTCATAAAAAATATATACGTTAATATCTTCTTTTTAGCCCTTATTTATGAATGATTGAATATTTATAGGTCATCTAATTTAGTCAAATTGCATCTTTTGGTTTAAACTTTAAAGCGTTCCCACCACCCTACCTACTGCAAAACGCAACCTAAAAAAACAGTTGAGTGGCTAATATTTTCCCGCAACAACTGTCCATTCAGTTTTTAATTAAATAAATTATCAGTGGAGAAGAGAAGAGAATATATCTAAAGCTGACCCCAAATATACGTAGCAAACCAAAAGTCCACGTTGGATTAGATTTGTGTCATTTGAAATTCAACATTTTCTAACTCGTGTGTATGTGCACGTTATACTGCAATAAATAATTAATATTCATATAATTAATATTTCAAGTGCACCAAAGTATGCGTAGTGCTACATGTATTGACATTTTACAATAAATGTAGATTCGAATCTCTTTCTCCGATAGTCTAAAAGAAAATAATATTTCAAATTCATTTAGAAAATTAAATGATTACATTTAGATTTTATTTTTAACACAATGCTAAATTAAATTAGAATAAATCGAAATAGGATTGTAAAACATATTAAATTGTATTCCCTTATTTCAATTTTTTTTTTTGTTTATACAAGTATTTCCTATGAGTTGGAAATCGCAGATTCATTCATTAATAGTAATGAACTCTGTGCAAAGTTGGAGATGATATTTTGATAAAATTCTTCCGCTAGTTCAAACTAATATTCGCAAGACACACTTTTATACCTATAATTTTTTCTTTTTTTTTAACCATTCGGTATTTAAAGTTCACTTGTCCGATTAATTCAAATTCGCACTAGATAAGTTCATGAGGGAGAAAAATACTTTCTTTCGAATGTTTAAAGGAACGCCATATTCTGAGTTTGAATTTGAAACCTCTATTTAATGGAAATAAAATATCTGTTATCTCATCTCATCTTTCAAATATCGCTTTTTCTTTTTCTTTTTACGAAAAAAGAATATTATACATACTTGATAATTGACGGGGAAAAAAATTATACCTTTTAATTCAAGCCATGTGCATTTGAAATGGCATATACGAGTCTAAGTCTTAATCTTGAAAGGTGAATTTTATGAGAAATGAAAGAGACCTTGTAACTATATGTAGTTGGCAAGATTATGACTCCTAGCAGTAGGTGTAAATATACGTATATTTTTCAACATTATCACGTTACTTTCCAAGCTATTGCCTATACACCGTCCAAATTTCAAGTTGTAGGTTGCTATAAAGAATAAAGAAAAGCAGAAGTTAGAACTAATCTAATTATAGTAATAACAATGTATTTACAGAAATGAAAAAGAAAAAAAAATTATTGCAAAGTTAGAAAAAAAAAAAAATCGACTATATAAGGCAAATTAATGAAATACACTATATATCTTGAAGAAGTTTTATTATAGTTTTACTTTCTAGTAGCGGTTATATTTCTGTTTGTTGGATTAGGAGGCAAGTAAATAAAGTCGCTCATGTGCTTACATGAGTGTATTATTCTTATGCTAGCTCCCAAGTGTGATATGAGCTACGTGCTAATATAGAAGCTCTCCTTATAGCTGATTTAAATTATGCTTAATGAAATTTATTTTCCTCAAAAAAGAAAATAATATCATTTAAAAATTGAAATTTTAAAATTTAAAATCTCACAATGAATTTTAGTTTTGAAATATTTTCACTTTTTATGTTTTGAGATAATTATGAAATAATAGATACATATATATATATATAGTAATAAATGATAATTATACAAAAATTGGTAACCGTGAATTGGTAAGTATTAAGGATTAAAGAAAGAAGAAATTTTATTGGACCTATATGTAATTAGTTAACTGAACCTTAAGTTAGGGGGCACTGATTCGCTGCGTATTAATGGCTCTTGGCATCTCGAGAGGGTGCAGGTTTGTGTTACCATTATTTTAAACTTACTAATAATAAAACAGCTAGATATTTATTTTTCTTCGTTAACTCAGTCAACAAACATTTCACTAACCAACGCAATCTAAGCTAACTTAAGCAACTAATTACTTATAAAAATGCAGTCTATTTCTATAAATCCAATCACATAATGGTAGTTATATGTAACTATTTTTTATTACTGAAATTCATTTTTTTTATTCATATTAAGCATTTGAAAATTAATTAACGGAGATTAGTCAGAGTGGGAAGGATACGAGGAAATTTCTTCCCTTTACGAACCCGATGCTATGTAGAAAAGATCAACCCAAAATTTGTACGCAAAAGTAATTTTCCCAATGATTCAAAAAAGAATTTTGGATATCTTTAACACCTTTCAGTTTGTGCAACGCTTTGACTTGGAATATTGGTGAACTATCACGGATGAAACATGAATAGTTATCCAGTTATCCACAATAACAACTTTATCCGTCAAAGTCCACGTAGTTTGGATGTGTATGCAGAGAGATTTCCAGCATTCTCTTACTTTGAATATAGTATTATATTCAATCAGATGGAGTTAAATTTATGTTGTAACCTAACACTATATGAGAATATTACACTATAAGTTATCAGTTTAATATTATTTTTACAATCAATGTCTTAGTCAAATGATAAATAAAATATTAACATCCAATCTTATCAACAAATATAGATATTTAATAAAATTTCACTAACTTCAACTTTTTATTATCTCGAGAGGTAACTTAAATGTAAGAGTATTATATGTCGGCAAGTAGTTTCGCACTTTTAGTTGTTTAAAGATATTCTAAATGGATTTGGGATGAATTTGAATACAGTTTAGAATGAATATTGATTATGAGATTCTAAATAAATTTTGAGTAAAGTTAGTTCAAAATTTATAGGTCATTCTAATTTGGTTCTGAAGCCTCAAGGACTCCAAACAGTCCAGTTCTGAGCTGATATTGAACATGATAGCATACAAATGTAAAATAGTACTCGGAAAAAAAAAAAAAAAAAAAAAAAAAAAGATATTGAAAAAAAAAAAAAAAAAAAAAAAAACTGAAGAAGATATTGCTGCATAGTGCCTACAGAAAAGCCCAAGGACAGTAAGAGGCCCATTTCTGTATGTAAATACTTCCATTGCCAAGACCAGAGCCCAATCTGATTCAAATTATCTCAAGCAGAAAAAGCCCAATCAAAGCCTGTTACATATAATATTTCCATTGTAGAAATAACGAGGTTTTATTATTTTTATTTTTTAAAAGAATGAGGCTAAGCTAAAAAAATTGAGCAGTCGTATATGGTAAGAAAGACATCCGCACAGAAAGAACAGTAAGGATTGAGCAATGACACGACCAGTCGTTTGCAATCAATTTGCCGTTGCCTTGGTTTGACTATACCAGAGTAGAGTAACAGACTAACGAGTGACCACTCGTCGAACCGGAAAATGATTTGGGTTTAAATTTATACATCAAGCAGAAGGCAAATCCGTAGACAGCAAAAGAATTTAAATAAAAATGTAGTAGCAACTTTATCCAACAGTAACCGTCTTTCTCTGTTTATAGCAACAACCATTTCTATTTCAGTTTCTCTGTCCTTGCTCATGCCGATCGGTTCAATTTCTCTTTTCTGCCATCGGACGCCCTCCGTCCACCATCTCCTCCGCCACATAACCACCTTTCGCCACCTCTCAATCGCTGCAGCCAAGCAACAACAACAAAAGAACCCTAATGTTTCTAGAAGACCTCAACCCAACAAGAATCTCCTTAGAGCCAAACAGACCTTCAAGCAATATTCCTCCCTAGCTCCTGTACTCTCTCAAGATGACAAACCTCCACTCTCCGATTTCCAAGCCATCGGTACCGTGGCTGCCGCTCAAGCTAACTTCATGCGCGTAATTGTCCAATCTCTCCCTTCATCCCCTGAGCTTTCTAGAACCGTCCAGAAGAGCCAAGAGGAACAGTCTGGAAGCTCCGATGATAGTAAAATTGGTGTCGAGTTGTTGTGTGTGGTGAGAGCAGTGTTGAAGAAGATTAAGAGGAGAGTGCTTGTAGGGGACAAGGTAGTGGTTGGGACTATAGATTGGATAGACAGAAGGGGCGTGATCGAGAATGTGTTTCAACGGAATACGGAGATTTTAGACCCTCCGGTGGCTAATGTGGACCACTTGTTAGTGCTTTTCTCCTTACAGCAGCCAACGCCGGAGCCATTTTCGCTCACGAGGTTTTTGGTCGAGGCTGAGTCCACTGGCATTCCATTGACGCTTGCTTTGAATAAATCGGAGCTTGTTGACGAAGAGGTTAGCATTTGGTTAATGCTCTTTTGATAGTTATATGAATCCTGCTTCTGAGACAGTAACTAGTTCATGCTTAAACTATTGTATCATTCGATTGGATTGTTTTGTTGCTATTTAATTTGTGTAATTTTGGATGCGAAGTTGCGGTTGTTTGAATTTTTGGCAAATAACCATGGGAATCATGCTAATTTTAGGATACTGGTCACTTGCTATCGGTTAGTCTTCTGTTCTCTTGCTTTGTTCTTGAGTTTTACTTTGCACATTAAACAGAGATTAATATTTGCTGTGATGTGCTCCTGTTTGTTTTAGAGCACAGGAGTTTCTTTTGTCTTGAAAGCAAGAAGTGTTATTTCATGATGTTTCCTATACTTGCTAGTAGCATCATATGATGCCAGGTCCATTTATTGACTCTGCTTAGGTTTTATACAACCATGGAGCCAAAACAATTTATTGACTTCGCTTAGGTTTTATATAACCATGGAGCCAAACAATGTTGAGCGTGGAAGATATGCTACATTTATGGTGGTTTATTTATTTATTTATATATTTATTTATTTTTGGTAAATAACAACGAGAGTGATGTTACTACTGCTAGCCTAGAGGTAAAAGTTTGAGATCGTAATTGCTAGGTCTCAGGAGTGAATTCTATTAGGTGCATGAGAAGGTTAATGGAAAAGGGGAGAGTTATTTCCCTTTGTGGTTCATCTAATGGACTAAAAGAAGAAGAAGAAGAAGAAGAAGAAGAAAAGTCCTGAACTGTACATGATAAGGAGAGAAATATCTGAAGTGATGTTGTTGACAGCAGCATATAATGTCTTTGCTATTTATTGACGTCGGCTTAGTAGGTCATAGCCCTGGTGGCAAAATTACATGGATTATTGCCATAACTTATCTTTCTTATAGTTAGTGGTGTTAATTTCATTACAATCTTTTTCATGTTGCTCATTATAAGAATTTTTATGCAACTATTTATTGGAATTTTATTCTGAAGCCTTATAAGTATCATTGTTAATCCACTCTTGTAGTCAATAAGGCTACATGCAATATCACTGATTCACTAGTCTCCTCCCGTAACCATAAAAAGCATATTGAGAAGTAAAGATTTGTTTCATTTTCTTCCTTTCTTTTCAGTACCATTTATTCTGAATGTTTGTTTGGTTTATGTAGACATTGATTGTATGGAAGTCTAGACTGCGTAGCTGGGGCTATGAACCAGTGTTTTGCAGCGTTGAGACTAAGCATGGACTTGATTCTCTGGCATTTATTTTGAGAGGTCAAACAACAGTGATTGTGGGTCCTAGTGGAGTTGGGAAATCTAGCCTGATTAATGCTCTAAGAAACAACCCCCGTGCTTGTGATGCTACAAAAGTGGATAATTGGTTTGACCCTGTGGGTTTCATCCTTCTGCTTTCTATTTTGATTTTTCTTGGTTTTCTTTTTTGTGTGAATTTGTCTCTTACACTATGCTACTGTTCATTTGCCTTCACCAGATCTTGGGGAGCAAGTGGTTTGAGGAGCAGCGTGTTGGGGAAGTTTCAACAAGAAGTGGCAGAGGGAAGCATACTACTCGTAATGTTTCTTTGCTTCCACTCTCCGGAGGGGGTTATCTTGCTGATACTCCTGGATTTAACCAGCCTAGATTGCTGAAAGTAACAAAGCAATCTCTTGCTCAAGCTTTCCCAGAGGTTTGAGTCATTACCTGACATAAATCAGATGCTTCATTTTAGGCATTTAGACTTTTACTTGGTTGACTCTTTTGTTCTATTGCATTGTTTCAGATTCGGAAAATGTTGAGTGCTAGTGAACCTGCTAAATGTTCATTCAATAATTGCTTGCATCTTGGTGAACCTGGGTGCATTGTGAAAGGGGATTGGGAAAGATACCCATTCTATTTTCAACTTGTTGATGAGATCAAAATCAGGGAGGAATTTCAGTTGAGGACATTTGGTACCAAAAAGGAGGGTGATATAAGGTATGTCAAATTAAACAGGAATATGTGACTGAGGTTTTTCTTGAATGTGTCCTCCTTCAAAGCTCTTATTTTTCTTGATAAAATCGGCTCTGATTAGCTCAAATTTCCCGTTTTGCAGATATAAAGTTGGAGATATGGGTGTCCAGGTAGCAGAACCTCGTTTGGAACCCAAGAAGCATAGAAGACAGTCCCGCAAAAGGATCAACCAATCAATAATGGATGACCTGGATGAATTGGATGATGATGAAAACTTACTAGATGAGGAAAATGATCCCATCTTGAGGGCACTAAGAAATGAAAATCAGTAGGAAGTTTAACCTTGTCGCAGCAGAACGCATTGTAAATAGCAGTTTTACACAGACAGTTGGCCCATCTAAAGAACTGAGAAGTTGAGTTGTAAATTTCTGTTGTCCGAAAACCAAGGGGTAATGGCTGTAGTTGTAGCCTCTAGCCATGAGATCATATACAGATGGCCCGCGAACTGAACTTGTATTCCAGGGGCATGTTTCCAATCTCTCGGTGATCTATTGAATGAATCTGATTTTCCTTCCTGCACTATATCGTTCATCATATGTTTTAGATCAATATTGCCTTATATTATGCCTTCCAATTTTTCTTTACAGTATCACTGTCCGCGGTTACATGTTTCAACTGCATCCGCATTATGAAACATACAAAAAAGTGATTTGAAAAGGTAAGTTTTTTTTTCTATAAATCACGTCAAACGATCGTCAGTCAAACATGAACCATGGCTGCCTGTAATACTTGAACAAGCTAATCACCTAAGTGGCAACCCTGCAATGTAAAGCTTGGAAGTTGCTACTATGCAATTCCAAGTTTGAGATCTCGATAAAAGAGCACTACTCAGCTCAATCAATTGCACATAGATTACCCTTTTTCACAGCCATGGACCTCGAAATGTTTAGGTAACCAATTGTACCTTGATCCCCATTATTTCAGATAACGCATGCAAAATACATTATGTCAAACGAAGGCTAGCCAGATTTGAGCTCTTCAAAAAATTCACTTTTTGACTTGTACAAAAACAGGAACAAACGGAAGAAAAGCGATGAACTTAACTCCATAGAGTCAATTTACTGATTGTGTCAAATGTGATACTCACAACAAGACCTCAACAAAAATTATAGATAATTAAAATCCAGTCAATTAGATACCTGTTATTCCAACAACTATCTCAATTATATTTGAAAGAAACCAATAGATGTACTATAAATGCTAAAAACTGCAAAAAACTTCAAATACACTTTCTTCTTTCAAACACAAACAATACCCTTCTCCTATCAGTAGTATGAACTGGTCGAAACCAACACAAGTTGATTTGCAACCTCAACATTACACATTTCAATCATCACACTGTTAAAATTCGCTAAAATTCTATTAACCAACATGCAAAAACTTAAGAACGAAAGCATAAAGCAATAATACAAAAGAAATGATAAAACTCTTGCTATTGTCTAAATTTATAGCAAAAAAACTTCATTACAACATCCAATTCACCGGATAACATTCCATTCCACTGTTAATTTTAAAATAAACTCTAAAAATCCCAAGACTTCAAATTTAAAATTAAAGACCTACTTTTTAGCGGATTTCTTCTTAGAATTCACTGGCTCTGGCTTGGGATGCTTCTCGGCTTCGCTGGATTCCAGCCACTGGAGAGGATGGCGATTGAACCAAGGCCAATTGGGTACGGTAACCAGTGTAGTGAGAATCACACCGGCACCGTAAATTTGAATCATCAGCTGAAATGATCCTGTAACATAGCCAGCAACAAAAGCCACGACCGCGAATACAAGCAGCAAGATCTGCATCAGCTGCTCCGCTAACTTTTGTCCTTGCCAATCCATCTAAAAATCCCCAAGAAAAAAACACAAAAAGAACCAAAATTGCTGTGAATATAAACCCTAGATCAAAATCAAATATTAATTCGAGATGGTAAAAGATGCGAATGCCAAGGAAATTAAGGGGAGAGAGAGAGAGAGAGACGCATCAGACCTTTACCTAGAATATACGATCTTTCTCAAGTTAGAGAGGAAGACTGTCGAAAACAGAGGAGATTTGTTAGAAGTTTGTAAACAGATGTATAATAGTTGAAATTTTAATCAAAGATCTCAGTGGTTTGTGACCGTCTGATGAGTTTACTTGAAACGCATCGCAGGGACGCATGGTATACTGCCATTTGTTTATAATTTTTTCTTTTAGAAAAATAATGTTTTTAGTTCTTCATCAAATTGAAAATTAAGTCAAATGATTAAACCCACAGAAGAAAGCTACCTTATTAATCATTTTGCTGATATGATACCAAAATAATTTAACTAAGAATTGTAGAGCTTTACCCCGAAGGGAGCCCTTCCAGAAATTCTCGACGGCCAAGGTCAAGCCCTGGCCGAAGAGGGGGTTTGGAAATAGTTTTCAACCAGCAATAGACGCGCCTCGGTTAGAACCTCACTAGCTGCGTCATTGCCCCAAGCGCAAAGATACCTTTCACTTATTTGGAGACAGCATTTTATAGTACAGCACCCTTTAGCGTGATTTCTATTTACGCGATGTGGGATTTTGGGTTGTCATAACTATTCTCGTGCTACTTGATTCTGCTCCCCTCTTCGGCATAAGACATAAGCACACAGAGATATATGTTATTATAAGGTTACACTTCGATTCACTCTCTCTTGTCTCTCTGTCTCTCACACACACCCTCTCATTGCCTAGTAGTAGTAGAGACCTAAATGTGGTGGCAACCTGGAACAGCTCAGACCAAAACGAACCAGAATTCTGAGTCCCAAACATCTCCAACCAAATCTACTGAAACTAGAAGCAGAAATATTTTATGGTTAAGACAGAACGTGTATTATAATAATGTTATTTCTCTTCTCCATTTGAAGACATTCGTGTTTGAGATCGATATCTTGCAGGAGATTGATGTCTCGTAAACTTGACAATATAAACAACATGCCATTTGCATTGGTTTCATTTTAATTGCAGCATACTTTTGTGCATATTAACCACATTTTTGTATTTACTTTATTGACTAATTATCTACAGAATTAATTAAAATAATAACAATTTAGTAAAGCAAGTAGTTTCATCTTCATGATCATCTTGGTTCTTATACAAAGTAATAATTATATTTCCAACAGCAAGTAAACTAGAAGGTATTCCATCATGTTTGTCGAATTAGCCCATTGTGGATTCTAAAATTCATAAATGAAATTTAATAATCATTTCAGGTAAAGCTTACCGGTTAACATTCATAGTTCTAAAGATTGTCCTTGAATTATGTTTTGTTATTTATAGGACCCGACAGCTTCATTACCATCGGAACGAAAAAGCTTTTCAATTTTACTACAGTAGGCATCCATTTTCACTGGCGATAAAAGACTACAACCAGTCAACAAAATTTATAAGATTTTTCACCAACATATAATCAGACTCTGAAAAGTTGCTCTTTCATCCAAGTTCTCCAACAAAAATTTCATATAATAACTAAACATAACAAACAAGCTGCTCAATTCGACTAAAATGCTGCTCTTTCTAAATAAAATGCCACAAAACTCTCTTCAAATAAAAACAACACAGGGATATAAGAAAGTGCTCCTTGAAATGGTAAAATATGATTGCCACTTAAGAGGCAGCACCACTTCGTAGAGCTTGAGACTTCTTAGATTTGCTTGTAGCTAGCTGGGTCTCAGGCTGCAAAACATAAATATAGCAATCAGACAATGAGAAAATAAGCAAAAACTTTGTATCATTTTCCTGCAAGTTGCGAGTGACTCACCTCCTTCTTCACTGGCTCTTCCTTCTCGGACAAAATCAACTCAATATGACACGGGCTAGACATGTAAGCTGCCAAAGACAACATTCATATGAACCAATACAGTAAAAACAAATAAATATAATACAAAACAAGAAAAAAAAAATCAAAACATACGATTGATTCTTCCATGAGCGCGATAAGTTCGACGCCTCTGCTTCTGTGCCTGATTCACTTGGATATGAGAAATGTAGAGGGCATCGACATCCAAGCCTTTGACCTGGACAAACAAAATATTTGCAAATATAAGAAAGAAACAATGACGTAGAAGTCATATCATAAGGTTCAAAGTATACCTCGGCATTACTCTCAGCATTCTTGAGCAAATCTAGAATGAATCTGGCAGATTTAACAGGCCAGCGTCCTTGCCCATTTGAGTGCCTGTTCTTTGCCTGTGCAGTACGTCCAACCCCACCACAGAAACGTCGAAAAGGTATAGCTTGTTTGTGAGCCATAACATCCTCCAAATACCTCTTAGCCTTAGCCAAAGGCAACTTCCTCAAGGCATGGGCGGTCTCCCTCGTGTTCTGAAGTCAACATACACAGCATACGACATAAGATAATAGCGCAAATATTGGGGACTACAGAGGTTCACCCAATAACAATGAACAAAATATCCCTGAAGTTTACGAGAGCCAAATTCAAAAAAGGCAACAAGACCCTGCTTTTTGCATCAGGTTTTTTAGAATTAGAATGTAGCAAACAGGTCGAATGGTTTTTTAGCTATCATTCTTACTAATATAGATTGGAGTATTTCAAAAGTAAACCTGCCAAAGGAACAATCATGAGCAGTGAATACAATTCCAACCATAGAACAACAATCCAACAAAATGAACAAATTAGTCCTACTAATAATTATGCCATTAAATACAGAAATGTTCCATCATTTACTGAACCTTCAGTAACTATTAACTACAGAGGTTCACCCAATAACAATGAACAAAATATCCCTGAAGTTTACGAGAGCCAAATTCAAAAAAGGCAACAAGACCCTGCTTTTTGCATCAGGTTTTTTAGAATTAGAATGTAGCAAACAGGTCGAATGGTTTTTTAGCTATCATTCTTACTAATATAGATTGGAGTATTTCAAAAGTAAACCTGCCAAAGGAACAATCATGAGCAGTGAATACAATTCCAACCATAGAACAACAATCCAACAAAATGAACAAATTAGTCCTACTAATAATTATGCCATTAAATACAGAAATGTTCCATCATTTACTGAACCTTCAGTAACTATTAACTACAGAGGTTCACCCAATAACAATGAACATAATTTCCCTGAAGGTTACGAGAGCCAAGTTCAAAAGAGGCAACAAGACCCTGCTTTTTTCATCAGGTTTCTTAGGATTAGAATGGAGTAAACAGGTCGAATGGTTTTTTAGTTATCATTCTTACTAATATAGATTGAAAGTGATTTTAAAAAAGTACACAGCCAAAGAAACAATTGTGAGCAGTGAATCAAATTCTAAAAATAGCACAACAAGAATCCAACAAAATGGAGATTTTGTCTTATTACATGCCTTAAATAAGAAATGTTCCATCATTTACTGAACCACACGTCACCATTAAATACAGAGGTTCACCCAATAACAATGAGAATAATTTTCCTGATGTGTATGAGAACCCAGTTCACAAGAGGCAACGAGGCCATGGTTTTTTCATCAGGTTTTGGAATTAGAATAGGATAAATCAGTTTCTTAATTTTTCATTAGCTTTTTCAGTGATAGAAAAGAATTAGGCTTCTCACTTTAGAAAAAAAGGTACTTTGGACTCACAAGTAAAATCAAGTTATTAAACATAGCACCAAGAAACATCGTCGCAAATCATTGTGATCCAAAAAGAGTAAAATAAAGCGGCAACTAGAGATCTAATACTTAAAAACCTAACTAACATAGATTAACTAAGCGTTGTACATTCACTAGCAAAAATAAACAAACATATTAAATAGCAACAAACAAACATCACTTAAACAAATTTCAAAGCTCAAAAAATGTTCCATCATTTACTGAACCTTCAGCCACAAAGAAAAACAAACGGAGGTTCACCCAATAACAATGAAATTGATTTCCCTGAAGGTTACGAGAGACCTGTTCAAAAGGGCAACAGGCCCCTGCTTTTTTTTTTCAGGTTTAAGAATTCAAATCCATATAACAATATCACAAACCATAAGACAAACCTGGTCTCCACCTACACAACTTCACATTAATATACAACAACAGCTAAAAGAATGTGCAAAAAGAGCACAAGAAACATTGATTTATGAGATAGATCGGATCTATACCTTGAAATGAACTCTAAGGTCAGAGCCCCTGGCCTTGCAAGCTGCAAAATGGGAATAAACACAATGCCAAATCAATATAAAACAGAACCCGAATCGAGAAAGATAAAACGACAACTATAAGAGATCATATACTTACATTTGGTGGAATTATCAGGCTCTCTTGAGTACTTAACCTAAAAGAAAAAAGAAATAGCTCGTAGAATCTCATTCAGGTTTAAGCAACTGGAATTACTTCATATACCCTAATTATGAAAATAGATAAGCACAAAGGAAGAGAAGTGGAGGTGGAGAGACATACCATGGCGGCTGACGCTGCTTCTGCCTCTGTGAAGCTTGGTCTTGGTTTATGGTTCCCTCTTAACAGAAGAGAAGAGGAGGCGTTAACGATTCCCTTTATAAGAAAATGATCAAAACCCTAATCCTTGGCCACAGGTGGATATGGGCTTTATGCGAAAACATAATTCTGGTCCGACGGGCTGGACTTTATGTGGGCTGGTCCAAGAAAAGCGTTCGTTGTTTTAGGGGTATTAAACATCGATTCACCGAACGACAAGACGGCCAACTAAAGGTTTGATTATTTGTTTCTAGCGGATCTCATTTGCGCGATAAAAACGACATGACGACCAAATCTAGGTTGTTTGTATTTTTACTATTAGTTTTGCTATGATTAAAGCCACAAGAAGGGTTTAAATTGATGAAAATATTCTAGTAACGTAAGTCTTTGGGAAACATTATTAAAAATGGGCTAATTCCAATTGTTGTTCTTAACCATAATAATTTAATTTTTGGCAAATTATCCTAAAGCACTCAACGTAAACATAGAAAACAAATTGCCAAGCGGTTATTTATTTACTGCTGCAGTTTTGTAACACAAGTTAGAATTTGTTGTCAACAACAACGCGCTGCTATATTTCCAACGCATTCCAAGTCCAAGGTCATTCTCTTTATAAGCTCACGATGGTGGTTTTAATTTTTCCTTTGCTTTGAAAAATCTTCCTAAACTTAACGAGCAGTCGGTGGAAGACTGTCTAAACAATGTAACTCAAATTTCCTTTAAAGAAGGAAAAAAAAGTGCAATAAATTTACCAATTTATCCTATTATCTAAATGCACTTACATTTATATTATGAACATCAATTGCCTTTTATAATTTGAAAGCAATTTACTTTTCAGAAAGTTCGTTTGTGTATCAAACACATTCAAATTTTACTTCTTTGGATATAATTTCCTTAGAAATGAACTTTTCAGAAAGTATGTTTTCCTTATAAATAGGATAGTTTAAACTAAACGAGGCCTCTAAGAATTTCAGAAGTGCATTATCATACTGTGAAATTTTTGTTTATTAAATAAATGTTCTATCACCATATGTTTCGTTAGATCCACGAGAACTAAAATGTATAGCTAGACATAAAGCTAGAATAAGCAGTGACATCAACCCAATCAGGGAAAAGGCCCTTCAAATTTTTAGCTCCATCAAACAAGACTTGATCTACCACAGCAAGTTCCACTCTTAAATCATTAGAATTGCTTGCCTGCACATTCCATAGTCAAGAATGATCACAAAACAGTTATGAAAAATTAGTTATCTTTGTAGTCTAAACATGAGTCTTAATGATTCTGGAAAATGCCAGGTGGTGAGAGTGAAGGATGGAGAGAATGGATTCCTTTTTCTAAAAACTAATATTTTAAATGCAGCGGTTGCAAGATTTTTCAGAACACAAAAGGATGATTTTCAGTATATTGCAAGTACAGTTGTCAATTATTTGCCCAAATAAGAAAGCGTTCCGAGTTTTACCTCTAACCAGAAGGTCCATTTATCATCACTAGCTCCGCTAAGTCTACATATGTATGATGGAGGACCACCATCAATTGCTTCCGGAGCTGAAATTATTTCAATAAGGTTAGAATATGCCATAAAACATTGCTCTTCCATTCAAAACCAATGTGGAATATAGAAGATTCTATACCGGGTAGTATATTGTCTGCCAGTGACCAGCTCGATAAAGGACCAGTAATGTTAAGAACTGCAACCCAGATCTCCTCTAAGTCGCTGAAACAATATATTCATAAAGCTTTGAAGACATGGCAATGAAATATACAATAGAAAAGCATACACAGAGTTAAACATAGCATAGGTTCTGTAATATTAGCGCTATGCAGGAGGAGGAAATGCTAGTTTAAAAGGAAAATGTTAGACATGAGGAATTTATCTAACAAATAATAGAGGCACAAATAATATTTCTCGAAAGAGCATTGTATTCTTGAAGCACAAAAATTTTCATTTAGTTGAATACAGATTAACACATTCTACTTACCCTAAGGAAAGTTCCAAGTGAATTCTCCGAGATCCCTCATTAGAAATATCATGAGGTTTGTAAGTAGACAAATTGGGGAAATATCTATATTGTTTCATAACATCATCCTTCTTTGCAGCGAACTTCAAACTTCTTGAGAACAAATGAGATACTGGAAAAAGTGCCTGAGAAAATATTTTAAAAGGAAAATGTTAGTCATGAAGAACTTTGTCTATGGCATTGATGAATTTTCATAGCAATCTCAAACAAATTACTGAAAGAGATATAACTTATTCTTGCTGGACTATCACAAATACATATGGTTATTTATTTATCACTTAAACGGTAACATCTAAAATGATATAAGCTTCATGTATCAGGCTTAAGACAACATCTGCATCTATAATAAGTGCAACGGTAATGGAATTCTTCATTTGTTTCAACAATGCAGTTGAGATGGAAAACCACTCAAACATTGCAGATGGTGTAAGGAAAAGGGGATAGAAAGACTGAATAGCGAATAAAAACCATAGGCAAATGATTAAAAAAATTCTAAAGTTTGGCCAGAAGTGACAAAATTAAAAGTTCTGACCAGATTGAAGAAGACAAAGTTCAGGATTCTTTTCCCATTTCGCTTTTAGAACATTACACTCTGCTTACAGATGTGTGGAAAGAGGTTTGAGGACTATGGAAAGTCACATACCATCCAAGTATTGCGGTGAGAAATATTAGCAGTTTGGAAAGAAAAATCTGGACCAACGTGCAAAGCCTTTGCCACTTCAGGTACATGTTTAAAAAGAAAAAGCAAAGAATTGGAATCCACCACAGAAAAATCATAGCTGGAGTTGACGACTCTATTTCCATCTGCCAATGCACAAGCAAAAAGATTTCAGCACAATATAACCAGAGAGAGAGACAATAGAAACCTCAAATGAATCATGAAACTAATAAAATTAATGGATCAATTAAAACAGCATGACTGACCTAGATAATCAAAATTTTAGATATATATTGACTGATTTATTTCTTCATACCTACAGTAACAATCGTATGCTGAAAAACAGCCCTCTTAGGGGCAGTGTTGCTGTAGGGAAAGAACTGTGATGAGAGAGCCAAAGCAAGCACACTAGTGTGCAACAAGAATTGCAGTATGGGGGACCTAGCCAACCAACGACCACCAATAGGTATCAGAGGGCCCACACACCAACCGGTTACAACTCCTATTGTTGCTGCCACTAGAACATCAGTAATATAATATCCTGCAAGCAAAGAACTGATGGTTGATATTCAAGGATAATGATACTTGGAAATACAATGTTACAAAAGAAAGATAAATAATTCTTTTTGAAATTTATGATCACTGAGATAAGTGTCTTCAGCATAAAAATAGTTTAATAAAGCAATTTTAAGGTGATGAAATTTGCTATATTAATCACTAGGATCAAAGAACTAGTTCATCAATGTCCATTGTCAATAGGACAATTGTAAATAAGAAAATAATGAACCAATAAAAGGAGTATCGCAATAAAAAGATAAATTTTATTAAAAATCTTGAAATTTGAAACTAGGTCAAAGGAACACCAAGGAACAATTCAAACAGCTAAAAATACCAAACAGGAATAAGGTTTGTATTAATACAATGATCCAAGTGATAAATAATTGGTGCAGCCATACATCTGGGACAATCGATATAAACTAATAGGCAGAATCAGTTCAATAGAAGAATTCAGAACAATTTGATCAAGAATATGGTCAACCTTCCAAATTACGCAATTTCCATTTATGGGCACCAGAAGTGTAAGCAGAATTCAAGTTTTGATGATAAATAGTAAAAATGAGACTATGTGGATCCTGAGATAACCTTTTTCACCACTTCTCCAGTTAAAACAACTGAATCTCTAGATTAGGCAAAACAACTGCAAGTAATTTATTCTGGATGGGCTAATTTAAAATTATAGCATCACCATAAATAAAAGTTGAGGAAAACTAACCATAAGGTGGAGGAACAGCACCCATCATACCCATCTTCTCAACTAAAAATTGGACGAGAAATCCACCAAAATATGTAGAGTACATGATGCATGGAATTAAAGGTATCAGATAGATGACCGTTGACCTTAAACGGAAAAAGAAAAAGGTGTTAGCAGACAGAAAGTTTCATTTTTTGATGCAATTTACTATCTTTATCAATTAGAAGAGGAACATAAGTTACACCTAATGTAGATAATATCAAACCAAGAAACAAAGTTGATTAATAAATAGGAAACCAACCAAAAAAAAGTGCTAAGCAATGCTAACAGGGAAAGAGTCGTTGAAACCATACCGAAGAGATTCATGGCCGTAAGACTTGATATATACATTAAAGAAGATCCATGCAAGTAGCATGAAGGCTGACACTATAAAGGTCAAGAACCCTCCACTGAGCCCAGCTACAAGATAACCCTACTTTTACCAAAGTTAGCCATTGAAAATTTGAACACTCCAAAAGATAAGAAAGCAAAAATTAATAACTGTGACCAAACTACATACCAAAGTTAAGCAAGCATAAAATGCAAATGCTCCCCAAAACCAAGCTTCAGCAGAAAGTTCCTGTGAGATCCATGCTAGACTAATTATGTGCTAGATTTTAGTGATGAATAGTGCAGCCAGGCTTAAATTTAAATTTCCATCCAGCAAAGAAGCAAATACACTGACACAATATCACTCACCAATGATCCAACCCAACATATATTATAAAATGTATAAGAAAAAAACCAGCCACACAGATTAAGATCATGGAGATCTATAAACCATACGATAAACATTTATTTGGTTCCACATATCAGGAGAAGATAAGTTAAATAAAAGTGTCCATTCTACAGGGGAAAGAAAATTATTTTGCTGGCCTATTGGGCATGCTCCATCAATTACTGCTTTTCCAATTCCAAGAGTCCTTGCCAAGTTTAAATGTCTCATCTGATAAGATAATAGTTAAAAGTGATTATAAATCACCCAATGATTTTCAGGCGACGCCAGGTTCTGCAGTCTATTTGTTTATACTCAGTAAACAAAAGATCAATTGCTTCATGTACAAAAAAGGTTATATTCTAGTAATGCTAACCCATTAGTTGTTTTCAAATTCCAAAAAAACGGGATTCTATCCTCACTTGTCATATTATGATTGAAACTTGCACAGAAAACATTTATTTCTAAAATTTCTATAACATGTGCAAAATCAGCAACATATTATTGTTTTTTCGGCTTAAGTGCTATATTTAGTTATTTTTAAGTGCTATATTTAGTGATTTTTATTGAATACCTAAGCAATACAATAAGCTTTGCTCAATGATGAAAAAAATGAATCCCAATAAAAATTACAAGATAAATTCGGCCTATGTTTGCAATTACTTAAGAATATATGAATATATGAATATATAGTTGTACCTCCTTCGATTTCTTGAGAACTGAGGCATCCTGAGAGAGGGGGAAACAACTCCAAATAGTTCTTGGGATCAACAAACCAACAAGTGAGCAAGGAATGAACATCATGTAAGCCAGGCATGGATGAGCAAACCTACATGTAAATCTAGCATATCAATAATGAACATAATCACTCAAATCTTACATCTTACAGTAAACCCCAACCATTGATTTGTCGGCATTTGTACAAGTTCAAATTACAATGTTATTGATTAATTTTTCTTTTATTTTTGGTGAAATCATCCATCATTGTACCTAACTAAATCCCACCCTATCTTTTTACTTCAAAATTTATGAAATTGGAAAACCTCATAAATAGTAAAGCAACACAACCAGAGAACAAACCCACCAGCTCATGGCATGGCTAGAGAAAAATAACCTCAAAATGGAGAAGGCAACTGGAAAAATAATTGCCATTATAATCCCAGCAGCATGTAACAGCAATCCTGCAACACAAATTTGAGAATGTTTTATAAAAATCTTCAACATTTGCATGTTTAAAAATTGTACAAATGGGTCATAAAGGTTGGAGTTTTTTTAGTGCAAGGTATAGGCTAGAATAAAAGCATGCACAGTCATGAGAAAATCCAGCAGTAGAGACTCCACCTTTCACAAAATCAAAGAAGGTTGCAAACCCAGAACATAACCCTGAATCCAGAAAACGCAAAAAGAATGGCATAACAAGAAAGATAGCAATGGGAATGCTATGAAGTACCAAAGCTGCCCTTCTTGAATAGAAAATCTGAAAGATTCATAATTAGAGAAAAAGTATTATTTACATATTGCATATGATGCAACCAATCTGTCGTAGTCTTAATCCCTGACCAAAAAAGAAAGCATCCTAGAGCAGGTATCTTGAATTTATCAACATACCATGAACCATGATAAGTAATCAAAGAAAACAGCTCGCTCATCCTTATAATCATCAGAAGTAGCTTTCATAGCATCTCTTTCTTGGGCATTCCGCAGCTTAGAAGAATTTGTAAAGGCTTTAAGTATATTGTACAAATTGTCCCCACGTGCTTGCATGCTTCCAGGTCTGGTTTAAGAACATTTTATATATGATCAAAGGTGTGAAATGCTGTAGTTTCTGTAAACATCACAATAAGTATATTTATACCAAATAGCAGATATAATGCATACAGTAGTTTGTCCAATGTATCATAAGAGGTATGGTAGTAATAACCACCAAGAAGAAAGATAATATCCAGGCTGGGAATGTTTCCATAATCTTGGGAAAATATTCTGTAATCTGTGTCTCCGGGAATAACAGGAAAAACGTCCTACGCATTGGAAAAAAAAATTGAAGATGAATTATTTAATGCATAAAAAAAGTGCAGGGAAAAAATTGTTGGTAGAAAGAAATTGGGGGGGGGGGGGGGGGTTTTTTTTTTTTTTTTTTTTTTTTTGATAGCAATGGGATGCCTATGAAAGTACCAAACTACCGGAAAGCTTGTCCCTTCTTGAAAATAGAAAAAAAAAATCTGAAAGAAATTTCATAATTAGAGAAAAAAGTATTATTTAACATTTGCATATGATTGCCAACCAATTCTGTCGTAAGTCTTAATCCCTGACCAAAAAAGAGCATCCAACGAGCTAGTGTATCTTGAATTGTATCACAAATTGGACCAATGAACAGCATGATAAGTAATCAAGAAAACAGCTCGAGGCTCATAAACCTTATAGATTCATCAGAGTAGCCTTCATAGCATCTCTCTTTCCTCTGGGCATTCCGAAGCTATAGAAGAAAATTTGTAAAAGGCCTTTAAGTAATATTGTAGGCAAATTGGGGGGGGGGGTTTTTTTTCCCCCGTTTCCCCACGTGCTTGCATGCTTCCAGGTCTGGTTTAAGAACAATTTTATATATGAATCAAAGGTTGTGAACAATGCCTGTAGTTTCTGTAAACGATCACAATAAGTATAATATTTATACCTAAAATAGCAGATATAATGCATACAGTAGTTTTGTCCAATGTATCATAAGGCAGGTATGGTAGTAATACCAGCCAAGAAGAAAGATAATTACCGAGGATGGAAAATGTTTTCCATAATCTTGGGAAAAAATATTCTGTAATCTGTGTCTCCGGGAATAACAGGAAAAAACGTCCTACGTTGGAAAAAAAAAATTTGAAGATTGAATTATTTAAATGCATAAAAAAAGTGTTGCAAGGGAAAAAATTGTTGGTAGAAAGAAAATTGGGGGGAGAGGGGGGGGTGTCTTTTTTTTTTTTTTTTTTTTTTTTTTTTTTTTTTTTTTTTTTTTTCCCTTTGGGGGAGTTTGATAAAGCTAACCAGCTAATGAAGGATAACAACAGCCACAAATGGAATGAAAGGAAATAAGTAGGAGAGAGTGATACTTGTCAGCATGGTTTTATCTGGGAAAAAATGCCATTTTTTTTTTTTTTTTTTTTTTTTTTTTTTTTTTCCCTTTGGGGGAGTTTGATAAAGCTATACAGCTAATGAAGGATACAACAGCACAATGGAATGAAAGGAATAAGTAGGAGAGTGATACTTGTCAGCATGGTATCTGGGAAAAATGCAACAAATCCGTGTTGTCTTCAATAAACATATTTAAGATGGTATTTTTTCCCTCAACAATATTTACAACAAAAACGCCATTTTGGTTTGATGAGGGAAGAGAATAGTCTAAACTAATGTTTTTTGATTATTTGGCATCTGAGGTTGAAACTGTTCCTTCAGCTAGGTACCCTTTTAAATGTCATAAAAGTGGAAGTTCAACTGTTTTAGAGTTTTTAAGACCAAAACATGTTGAATGTATCTTTTAAATTATTTGTTACTTGTCTTTGATCAAAATATTCAAAATTTTCAACAATGTTTATAAGAAAAATGCCATCTTGGTTGATGAGGAGAAGATAAAAATATAATCTGTTTTTTATTTTTGGCATCAAAGGAGTCAATTGAACCTTTTGTTTACCCATTATGAGTAACCAGATAATAGAACACTCAACAAATTGGTTTAAAGCTAAAATTTCAAAAAAACAAACACACACTTATAGGTAAGAATATGAACCTGAGCAGCACTATGTGCCATGGGGTATATTGCAGACTGGGCATAGACTAGGGAAGGCCAAGCACTAGGTCCAGATTGGCAGACTAAATCTGTTCAAAAAATTTAACAAATCAGTATAGAGCATAATAGTATAAACATATGATTTTGCATCGTTGCAAATACTCAAAACATAAAATTTCATCTATCAACGTGGAAGACAGATTGAGCCTATTCATCATTTTAGTTCCAGCCACCAAACTTATTCCCTATTTTTGTCCTGCTGAACTTCTCAATATTATAGATTGTATCAGGTGATGTGTATGACCATGTTATACATTAAAGGACATCTTATATTACAAATTTTCCATGATTCCATCCTAATAAAGATATTCCGGATCTGTAGATCACAGACACAGGCTGCTGGCCATTTTCAGTTCTCCCCAAATGAGTTGGCATTAACCGAAAGTTTTAGAAGTATTTCAGAAAAGAACATTGCGAGGATCATATCCTACCAGGACCTCCTGTCCCTGATGCTTCCACATTAACTGAAGCTCCTATTGAATCACGCCATTTATATGAGTTCATGAAGCCATGTGCACCCTGAAACATCATATGTGACCAAGCTGGATTAAGCTTAAATGAACTAGATGCTTAACAAAAAGTAAATTGTAAGACAATGATCAATCAATGCGGACTTCTTGCAGAATAGTAGGGCTCCATTTTTGGGAAATAACCTGATTACCTTGACTTCCATAAAGGGATCTACAAGGTGTCTGCTCACCCATAATAGTATGATCATTTATGGATGATTAATGCACTACTGATCTCAAAAGGAACGAAAAAAGGAAAATGATATGCATGTAGGTTAAGCTTTTGATGTTCCAAACAGAAATCTCAAAGTAATAAAGATGTAAATGAAACTAATTAAATTACAAATGTAGTTTCAGATTAAAGCTACGATGTCATACCAACATAAAAAGCTCCTCTGCACCATTAAAAAGGAAAATAATGGGCCGAGGGGGGGTCCAACTGGAGTCTACAATAACTCTTGATAGTTCCAGCATCGATGCTGCAATACAATTTTTGAAAAAGAAAAAGGCAAAGCAAAGTGAGACTTAAATGATTGAAAACAAAAATGGCAAAATGCATCATAACTTAGGTTGAGTTATTTAAAGCACTCACCGACACATGAACCACAGTCACCAGCTCCTGGTGAACCAAGTGGACTATCAAAATGGCCATTAATTAAAACTGATGGGTCAGTGTCTTTTGAATCTGCGGAAGATATCCTGTCATTTAGGAGAAATTATCTTACATATTTTACCTGCTAATACAACACAAATATAAATTCAAAGGCCACAAACATAATAGGTCGTTCGTAATAGTCTTGTAGTTTGATGGGACATTATTAACTCATTTTCTATAAATTAGTTATAATCTTGAGACTGCTGTGCAAATGACCCTCATCACCTCCTCCCTCTGATATTTAAACCATTCAAGCACTAAGTAATAAATCCTCAGAATAATCCCCAATGTATAAATTAAAATTCAGAGTTCCTAAAGCAGGCGAAAACTATGATCCACTTCACAAAGAACAAACGAAATAGTACTTTCTGAGGATTCCAACCAGCTGCATGCTTTAATCATATACTGCAATAAATAGCGGTCCCCATTTGCATATAAAGCATGTTACACATGATGAAATAGACAAGTAACTGAAAGACTTACTTCTCATCGGTTTGATTTAATATACATTTCATACATCAATAAAAGAACCAGAACTTCAACTAGGAGCTGCAATTCAATCCGAAAAAGGAAAATGTACCTCATGACTATATTAGTATGGTTTCTGTACCCCAAAGATATGCTGTGTCCTAGAAATATCATATTGAAAGAACCATTAACAACATTCTCTTCAATCTCAATTCTGCAAAATATAACAATTCAAAAGTGAAATTGAATAAGACATTGCAGAATTAAAATTAAATTAAAAATATAAGTAGAAAATAAAAAGAACCTGACGTTCGATCCAGCTCTCTCCTTGATAATTACCAACTGCTCTTTAATATATATAGCAGCTTCTCTTAAGCCTTGACGCCCTTCCTATCAATACTCAAAGCTATTCAAAAATTAGATTGACAAAAGACAAACTAAGCCTACTCTAGCAACAACAAACTTTAGTTGAGAATTCAAAAATCAAAATGTAAAACAAACAAAACCGCATACTCACTTGGCGACCGTCTTGAGTTAAAACTCGAACGTGTTCAACGGCTCTAGCCTCGGAGAAGCGATCAAGAGGAGCGTCGATCTCTAACGGCTTAATAAACTTCATGTGAATGATAGAGTAACAAAGCGCCGACATGAGACCATACATAATCGCCAGAGAAAATAGGAACTTAAATCCGGTGACGTCGCCGGAACTGAGCCTGAACGCCATTTTCTTCAGTACCACCCTTGAGGAAGTGTGAAGAGACACGAAATGTAGAAATAAAGTAAAACTATTACTGTTATGATTCTATTATTGTGTATAAGTTAGGTAAGGGTATGACTATAGAAATGGAAGGTGCTTAAGAAGATGCTGGGTTTTGTCTGATAGAAAACTGTGAATTCAGAAGAAACCAGCGCACGAATAAAAGTCCCTCCTTCACGCTACCGCTCATAGTTAGTAAACACTGTCCGACCCGACGAGTCAACCCGAAGAACCGGTCTCAAAATGGGCCGGTTTTGCTTTTGCACTATTTAAAAAAGAGAACCGCGTTCAACCTGCTTACCCACATTTAAACTGATCGATCTGCACAAACACCAATCAACCTAGACTGGAGTTCCATATTTTAATTATTTTTATTATATTATAATTATTTAATTAACACACACCATTAATATTTATATGACCCATTAATTAAACCATTAATATTTAAAAAAAGAAATATATAATCATTTTTCTCTTTATTTTCCTTTCAAAAATCCAAACATAAATACAAAAGTTGTTTTATATTTGTCTTCTTTATTTTCTTTTAATATTTTATTTCTCCTTTAAATTACATTTTTCTTTCCTCACATGTGTTACTCTTCATTCCAAATAAGGTAAATGAAACGTGGCATACAAATTTGTTTTGTACTAGGCTTGTCTAATTGGGTTGCGGAGAGGGTTCTAGCTTCTAGGCTTATAGATTCTACGCGTTTGGATCTCTTAACAGGCTCGGGGAGTTCGAGTTGGATTTTTAAACAGTGAAGGTTGTTGGACAGTCACATCATTGAATGACTTGCGATTACGGGCTGCTTCAGCTAACAGTAGGATCAACTGGTACTTGTATTAATTTAACATTTCTTTTTTTTTACTAAAATTGTTTTTCCTCACTTTGCTGTTAGAATTGTGTACTATTTGGTTATAATTTAATAACTGAATTGAAACATAAAGTTTAATTATTTCAGTATATTAATTCATATTGCTATTTAATTTGATTAATAATATATTATATCTATTTCATAATATTTGTCATATATGAAATTTTACGACTTTTAAGAAAAATATTAAATTTGTCTAAATTATAATAAATTATTTAGTAAATTGACTAAATTGTCATTAATTTAATATTAATTTTTTAAATAATGAAATTTTACGACTTTTTAAGAAAAATATTAAATTGGTCTTTAAAAATTATAAATATAATTATTAGTAAATTGACTAAATGTCATTAATTAAGTATTAATTTTTTAAATAATTATTAAAAATAAAAATAAATTATTGATCACGGTTAATAAAAAATAAAACCTAAAAAAAATTATTATTAAATTAAAATAATAATTATTGATCACGTATAAAAAATAAACCTAAAAAAAATATTTGTTACTTTTTGAAATTTTAACCGTAGAATAACGAAGAAATTACGAAAATTAGAGTAATTATGTGAAATAATTATGATAATTTAGTTGAAAAAACAAAAGTACTCTAGTATAATTTAATGATTAAATTACTTTTCTTTAAAATTACCGTAAAAAATAAAAATAAAAATGATTTAAAAAAAGAATTTAAACTGAAAATACCGCGCAGCAGGTTTACTTTTGCTGTCACTGTGCATAGTCCATTAAGCAAGCCTTTTATTCCTTGCTGTGTCTAATCCATTAACGTCCAGTAAGAGCAATTAGAGCTAAAAGGACGTATCAGCAGCTTCAAAGTGGTAAAAACGACATACAAAAATACTTGCAAACGGCAATGGCAAGAAATCTGCCAAGATGTTTGGAAAAGTGATCTTTCCCATACTATTCATCTTCTTTCTAGTCTTCTCTTACTCCATCTTCATCGGAACCGTTGATTTCAGATCATACTTCAATCCTCTCCTCCAACAGTCACCGGCCGGTGCGCACTCGATGTGTGCAACCGGGCCGCCTCTTAAGGTCTACATGTACGATCTTCCTCGAAAGTTTCACGTGGCGATGATGAGCAAGAGCAAGGTAAATGATGATACGCCGGTAACGGCAGAGAATTTACCGCCGTGGCCGAAGAATTCGGGGTTAAGGAAGCAACATAGTGTAGAGTATTGGTTAATGGCTTCGCTTTTGTATGATGGCGGTGGAGAGCAGAGAGAGGTTGTTAGGGTTTTAGATCCGGAAAAGGCTGATGCTTTCTTCGTGCCGTTTTTCTCTTCTTTGAGCTTTAACACGCATGGGCATATCATGACGGATCCGGAGACCGAGATAGATCGCCAATTGCAGGTATATTGTCGTTCATTTCTTTGTAGTTTCAGATTCCATTTTTGTTCAATTTACAGTTATGCATCCATTTTAGATTTAGTTATGTTTAGCAGCATAAACTGAAGGAAAGAAAGGTAAGTAATTAGAGCCGCTGGTAGCTGTTTTAGGAGAAAAGCCTAAAAATTGTGATGTCTAGCCTTAGTTTCCTGGAAGAGTAGATAGATCCATTTATAATTAATTGCTGAAATTTGATTGGCAAGTGTAAAATTTGAAAATATGGAAATTATTTGGCGAAGTAGTTCAAAAGAACTGAGATTTACTTCTCTGATTGTCTTATAGTATTGAAGCAGTTTGTATTTTTGCCATGCCACTGTCCTTACAAGTAAGATCTCGAATGTACGGTTTTCAGTAATTTCATCAAGGAAGTGGTTTTATGTATAGCTGTACTATATATATATATATATATATATATATTTGGTGCAAGAGTGGAGGTTTGAGCTTCCATCCACCACCTGCACTATACGCAAGTACCCTGCCATTAGGCTACTAGCCCAATGGCAAATTTGCATTGAATTATCATACTTTATGGTCCATAAAGCATTAGGAGACACAATTAGTAACTTTTCTTTTTTATTACAACTTTTGGAATTTTAAATTGATAGCTTGTATTTATCCCTGAAACTTGTCTAAACTTCATGCCTGATAATATTGTGAACTTGACAATTATTATTGGTGTCAATTTATATTTATAGTCAGGAAATGTTCTTTTCCCCCTCACTGAAGTGAATTCCCGTGCATAGAGGACATTGAATATGCAATTTTGGTCTTTAGAATCTTCTTTTAGAAGGATAATAATATAAGACTCTATTAGCCACTGTTTTTTCCAAGTGCTTGTTATATAATGTTATTGTTATTTCTCTTCTTACTTCTCATTTCTTTCCTTTTCTGACATACCAGTCAACTCAAGGAATGAGATCATCAAAATTCTGCCTGCATCCTGCAGGAGACACTCCATCTTCTTGCCGGCTTTTTGATGCTATTGTCAGTCATTGTGTTCCAGTCATCGTGAGTGATCAGATTGAGCTTCCTTATGAAGATGAAATTGATTACAGTGAATTCTCGCTTTTCTTCTCTGTAAAAGAGGCAATTCAACCCGGTTACATGGTTGGTAAACTAAGAGAATTTCCCAAAGACAGATGGATCAAAATGTGGAGAAAGCTTAAGAGCATTTCTCATCATTTTGAATTCCAATACCCACCAAAGAAGGAAGATGCAGTTGACATGTTATGGAGACAGGTAAAACACAAACTTCCTAGGGTCCAACTTTCTGTACATAGAAGCAAGAGATTGAAAGTTCCAGATTGGTGGCAGCGATGAAGATCATCTGAAAGCTAGCTCATATGACACTGTACATTCATGATTTTTTTGATCAATCATAACAATAATCCCTTCTGGAGGGAACAATCAGAGGTAGCCGCCTTTATACTTGTTGTAACATTTACTCTTTCCACGGATACATCGAAAGATATTCCTTTCTCGACAGTGAAGACCAGCAGACTTGCCTGCACAAGAGCTCGACTTAATGCTAGAGAAATAAGTTATAGAGTATGTAATGGGATGCACTGGCTATAGACCTTTAGAATTTAGCAAAGCAAAAGAGTTATGGTTAAATTTCTTCTTTTTCTTTCTGAATCTTTATACAAATCTAATTGGAAATGGTGATGACATTCATTGATTGTGTTTATTCTCTTTTCTTGTTGAGCTATGGTAGCAACTAAATCAATTGCCATCTGTTATGAGCTATTGGAAGCTTACAGTGGACCTCAGCTTTGCGAATGATTAGGCCATATTTGAAATTTGATTAAGATTGCTGTTTTCTATTAAAATTTGATTTTAAACTATGTTATTATTATGCTACTGCCATAGCCATGTGGCAATAAAAAGGAAATTGGACGATCATAGATGGGTTAGGCGTGGGTGACATCCATGATTCTCCTTTGTCATTTTGCCATGCTTTTAAGGATCAAAATACTAGACCTAAAATATTCCTGCTCTTTTTTCTTAATTTTCTTTTTTTAAAAAAATTCGCAATTATTAGCCACGTGGCATTCAAATCAAAATCTAAAATCACGAGGAACAGTAGATAGAGAGGTGACATTAGAGCGAGTTAAGCTCAACTCCAAAAAACGTTAAGGGATTTTCTTAGTTTTTGCCGTGAATTCCCATACTAAATTTCTTGTCAGTCCTATTTGATCCACGCGCTGTTCTAGCACATTTTAAGCTTAGATTAGATTAAAAAAGAAAAATGATTCTTATCCGATGTCATTCTCCCGATTAATCTGATTTTGTACCAAATAAATAGGCGAAGAGGCAAAATACTTTTTACCAAGTTTTAGTTAAATCTTAAATATATAAACATACATCATTGATCCATAAATATAAACCATTTTATATTTATACACGCTAATCTTTTCAAATAAAAAAATAGTTGTACACGGCAATGAAAATAATTATTAATTTTATTAGATTATTAATAAAAAAAAATATTAAACTCAATCAGACATTGACTCGGATGGATGGGTCAATGGTTATCGGGTCACAAAAATATTAAAAATATATTTTAATTAAATAATTATAATTAAAATAATTAAAATATAATAAAAAATATTTAAAAATATCAAAAAAATTGGCTGAAGTCAATCGGGTATATGCAGTCAATTGGTTCAACGATAGATCAGCTAGTTCAATCTTATTTTTTCTCTTCAAATGGTTTAAAAGTAAATCAGTCTGACTTTGAAATCGATTCGTTAATTTCTTAGGCTGACATTGTTGCGGAATCCCTTCAACACGTGGGATCCATACAGATTTGAAGAAAGAAAAAAAAAAAGCAATAAATACGTTTTGTTTTAGATAGTCGACGAAGGCTGCGAAAGGAAAAGAAAAACGTGTTATTTGAAAAAGAAGGAAAGTTGACAATCTTCTTTGACAAAGAATAAAGACGTGAATGAGTTATACACGACTCATTCACTGAACTGCCTATAAAAGGAGGCAGACGAAGTTCATTTAAATGTACAAAAATAAAAGAATAGAAATACATAGGAATAGAAATACATAGAGTGTATAAAATTTTAGAAAAGGTTCCTAAAATTGAGAAAGAGAGAAAATAGTGAGGATTATAATTTTTGGGGTGTTTTTTGGAAAACACTTAGAGTACCTACTATTTTGTACCTACTATTTTTTAATGGAAGAATTATTCGGAGTTTTTGTTCCGTGGACGTAGCTCATAACAGTTGAAGGGTGAACCACGTAAATCTCAGTGTCCTTATTTTTCATTTTTCATCTGGCATTTACGGTAATTATTTAATTTTTACCGTGATTATTATTTGAATTCCATTTACGGTAATTATTTAATTTTTACCGTGATTATTATTTCTGGTGAATTCGATCGTTAATATCCAATACGTAATTATTGGAGCATTTTTCCACCGGCCCCAACTCAAGATCAGTTATAATCCCAACAGACATGTTGGAATGAGTTTGTTAAATTATAATGAAAAGTTTATTAATTTGATTAAATCACTTTTTATTTCCATCATTATTATATTTAATACATATGAGGATAAAATTAGAAAATATTCGTTAATTATTCTTAAAGTATTTAAAAATAACTTATATTTATAATAAAAGAAAAATTCTAAAATAATTTATACTTGTGGACCTACGAGTAATGCTTTGACCAGATTCATGAAGAATGCGGATGTGTTTTCCAGTTTATTGAGTGAGAGTGACGAATAGAATATTAGAATCCTCCCTTTCATTAATTGGTCTGCGGTTGGAGTTTTCTGAAGACGGCCTGCCATGAAGGCTGTATTTGGACTTGCTGTCACCAAGAAACCAACACATGTCTGCAGTCTGCTGACTTTGGCAAAACTACAGACGTTACTCCTAAAGTCTATATTGCCCTAACTTTCTTTTATTATCTTTTTTGTCCTTTTATCTCTATTCTCTGTTTCTACCTTTCATTTTCTATTTCCTTTCCTGAAATGACCCCTCGTTTTCTTTTCCGGTTCTGAAAATTCTCTCTTGCTACTCCACTTATTTCTTTTCCCCTCAAAAAGATAAAAGACAATAATAAAAAAATAATTAAATCATTTATATTATAAACAACATATTCATTAAAATTACTGTTCGTCTCATCTAATTATTTATTGAAGAAACAACTGAGTTAATTAAAAAGAATATAATAAAATGAATTAATTTTAAGAAACTTTAGAAAGCAGTATTTCGCTAATATCCACGAGGGAGTACCAATTTTCTTATGAATGAAGATGAAGAGAGGTCGCCCCATCCCACATTTGGGTAAAATCCATGAGTTGCCATATAAAGCCAAACGTCGCAAGGAATAAGGGTATTCTAGTCATTTACTTTCTTTCATCACTCACTCCCACTCGCTCAAAATATTATATCGGGACGGGACCCAAACACCCTTAAATTCTCTCTCTCTCGCTCTCTCTCTCTCTCTCACACATCAGGCTCTGCAACTGGAAGTCTGTAACTTGGATTGAAGCTTGACTGAAATGAGCATAGTTAGAACTCAAGGGAACTGCATCGCGATCCGTACTCTATCTCCTCCTACTACCGTCGCCCGATGCCCTCACGGCTCTGCTTCTTCATCCTCAGGTTCTCATTTCCTTCTCTCTCTTTGTGCAATGTGATTTCTTGGGATTCCTTTAGAAGTAGAACTTCATGTAAACGATTTTACTGATCGGTTCGTCTTTGCTTCTATTTGCTATTGCGGTGTATTTATCCGATTCGTCTTATTTAGTTCTATACATACTTTCTCTTTTTCATTGATCCTATCAATCATATTAAACAATTAATCAAACTCAACATTTTACAAGTCAGTATGTATCTATATATTATTTTCAATGGATTATCCGAAATTTTTTTTTTAAAAATGAACTGCTTCTAAATAGTGGAAGCAGTTGCACTAAATCTGTGTGATTGGTGATCTCTTCTTTAAAAAAAAATATTCAAAAGAGTTGGAGTAGTAACATCGATAAATAGTTTGATTATTTAAAATAATTTAGGCTTTTTATTTATTTTTTACAATTAATTTTCTGCATAATAATGGAGAGGAACGGTAAATAGTAATAGGAAATTCAACGTAAAATTGAAGACAGCTTTGATAATGGCGCAAAAAGAGGGAACACTGTAACTGTTTAGGCAAAGTAAAGAGGGTAATGGTTCGATTCAAACATTATCCGTCCAATGTCCATACATGGAAAGTGGGGCCAATGCGGGTCGGTCTTACTTCCTATGTAGTTATTTTTCTGAATTCTTATTGATGGTCCTTGATTGGATTGGTGGTCCAACTGCACCACTGTCGTTTGTTTGTTTGTAGCTATTAGGCGAACCAACTAAAGTTGCCAATTAACGCAACCACTGTTCTATTTCTCGCCACCTTCTGCTTCTATCTTATAAGAAAATGCCATTTTTTTTCTCTTGCCTTTTGGCTTTTGATAGTTTATTATCTTTTTGAAAGGGGAAGAAAGACATTTTACAAATGCACTGTGCTGCTTGTTCTTCTTCTTTTGATTATATGAAATCTATATTTAAAACATTAAAATTAAAACATCAAAATATAGACACTTTCGGATTTGCAGCACTTTTTTTCCATAAGTGCTAACTTTCAATTTTTTTTATTAATTCAATTATAGCAATAGCAGAATCAATTTTGTCTTTGACTCGGTCAAAAGATGGAGGTGGCCAGATAAAATTTTTTTTTTAAGTTTTTTTTTTTTTTCGTTTTCTTTTGCCTGAAGGAAGCTACAGTGAAATAAGCTCACTGGATAATTTTGGGCTCGAAACCACTGTCTTGGATCACCCTCCTACCAGCGCGTGTACGCCGTTTCCGACCACATTGGATCGATTGCTCACATGGATGCCATATGTTCCCATGTGGTCGGATTGTGGTCCCATGTTTACAGCTAAGCGCGTGGCTTCACTCTACTTACTTCTAAGTTTGTCGGGTGAACGACGACACCGCATCATCTGCTTAGAGACAGTCCTAACACTCGATTAATATATGGTACAAAATACAAATACAGCTTCTGTAATCTTACTATTATTTACTCGTATAAAATTGTGTTCATCTGTACTAGCGCGCACACTAAAGCAACCTCCCTCTTGAGTCACGTGATCTTTATCCTATAGCCGCTCTGTCGGATGGCTCTACCGCATTATTTTGGTGACAAAATGGTTTAGACTTTAGAGAGCTACAATGCCTTCGTTACCCACCAACCACTGCCAGAATCACCAAATGACACATCTTCATTTACTAGTTGGTTGCAGCAAATAATCAGTGGGAAATAGCGAGATCTATGTGGACTAAGGACCACCTGAACTTGTTCACCTCTACATAGCATTATGAAATGCTCTGGTGTAGCTATTAAACCAGGTGGCTAAAAGATTGCTCGTGTTTTTCTTTCGTTTTTTTTTTTTTTTTCCTTTTTAATTAATTTGGCTTCGATGGGCTTTCAACTGGCAACCTAGTAGTGTGGAGACCATTGATTATTGGTTTTCCTTTTATTTTTAGTTAAGCAGTGGCCATATAGTATATTTTGTGATAGTTGATTGGTTGATGGAGTGTAGTGGTTTGTATATGCACAGATGATGCAACTTGTGGGACGCCTACATGGATTGGTAAAGGCCTCACCTGTGTTTGCTTCAAGCGAAAGGGAATTTTTGAACGGATCTGCATTAACTTGACACCCCTACAGGCAAGTAGTTAATACATACACATTAATCATATAAAGCACACTTGAAGAAAACAAAAAAGAGAAGTAGTTCAAAAAAACAAAAGGGACTATTTTGTTCTGTTGCTTTTGCTAGTGCATTGTTCTTTCATTCATCTTCCAAAACTGAACTACGACTGTCCAGCCTTTAGAATTATATAAACGCACACATGGCTTGATCAGCCACATCCATTAACTCAAGGAAACAAATATATCAAATTGGTCCTATTGTTTTCTAATTTAAGATATTTGTTTCCCATTAACGGACATCTCCAAAAACTTTCAGGAAGAGAGATTGAAAAGGCTGAAGCACCGAATGAAGGTTTATTTTGATGGTTCCAGGCCAGATCACCAGGTGTGTAGTAATTTTATAATCATTTTTTGCTAATATATTATGCTTATAATTTCATCATAACAGGAAGCTTTAAGAGCGCTATGGTCTGCCACGTATCCTGATAGAGAGCTTCATGGCTTAATATCTAACCAATGGAAAGAAATGGGATGGCAAGGAAAAGATCCATCGACTGATTTCAGGTTTCTTTTCTTTCACTGCTCGTCATCTTTTTTCCTCCAGCACATTTCTTGTTCTTTTTTTTTTTTTTTTTTTTAAAACTGATTTCAGGTTCTTTTCTGCACTGCTCGTTCATCTTTTTTCCTCCAGCACATTTCTTGTTCTTTTTTTTTTGTTTTTTTTTTAAACTCTTTTTTTTTTTTTTTTTTTTTTTTAAACTCAAGCTGTTAATTTATCTTTCTTACTTGATAAACAGAGGAGCTGGATTCATTTCTTTAGAGAACCTGTTATTCTTTGCCAAAACATTTTCTGTAAGATCCTACTCTGCGTGTGAATGTAATATTTTTAAACAATAAATAAATTTGCTTGAACCTTAACTTTGTTGACTAATTATTTGTAACGTATTTTTTGCAGATATCTTTTCAACATTTATTAAAAAAGCAGGGAGGAAAGCGATCTGCTTGGGAGTATCCATTCGCTGTTGCTGGTGTAAATATCACTTTCATGATCAAGCAAATGCTTGATCTTGATGCCTGTAAGTGGAACATGAACAATCATTACCTAGACCTAAGGCTGGTCCTTATTTTGTCCTAAAATTATCTAATATTACTTGAATGGATTACTAATTTTGCCAACTCATTTATTTTCTTGCTTACAGCCAAACCTAGGACTTTTGTCAGATCAGTTTTCTTGCAGATGTTGTCAGGTAGTAACTACTGTATTGGATAAGCATTTTCTTAATAGTGGTGAAATAATTTCAAATACATGAACTTTTATAGTTTGCTATTCTTGTCTAATATTAAGTTAGTGAGCTTTGTATTTACTGGTTGCTATGGCCGCCTTGTATGTGCTTTCAGAAAATGAATGGGCTTTTGACTTGTTGTATTGTGTGGCTTTTGTGGTAATGGACAAGCAATGGCTACAGAAGAATGCAACTTACATGGAGTTTAATGTGAGATTCCAATCTTCTAAATTCTTTGTTGAATTTTTTAAGATATAGAAAGTTTAAGGTTTTTAAAATCATTCTTTGAACTAGTAAGTTTTATCTTGTTGACATTGGAGTCGGCAATGAGGTTACAGAGTTTAAAACTCTAGGTGGATCTTTGGGCTAGGAAGTAATTATTAGCAAGAAGGTTTAGGTACTAATCCGATGATGCATGTGCAGGATGTTTTGAAGTGCACTCGGGCTCAAGTGGAAAGGGAACTTCTAATGGATGATGTCCTACGGATTGAAGACATGCCTTCTTATAGCCTTCTCTGTTAACAACAACAATCTAAGATTCTGTTTGTTTTGGTTTTTTTTTTTACTTTTTTTTTTTTTTTGTTGCTTTCCCTGCCTTATGCTATTTTAAACTGCAATAGAAAGTAACTTAAGCAAGTTAACCTAATAGATCGTTCAACCAGACTAGTCCAAAACCTCTGATATTTATTTTACCCCTGAAGTTGTACAAATCCCTCTGTTATCTATCTTAATTTTGTATTTTATTTGCAATATAGGATTCCTACTAATGAATTTTAAAAAACAAACATTGCTATATGCATGCACCAGAAAAGAAGATTGCCCAAATTAAAACATGGAAATGTGGTGAACAAATTATCATATGCAGACCTGTAGTGGGGTATTATTCGTTTGGATCCAACCTTCCAACTTTCTTTGCCTAGCAATCTTCTCTTCTGCTTCCTTTCCATGTAGTTCCCAATCTTCACAATTCCTGAACAGAACACGTATACAGTCAGTTCCCAAGCTTGAATCAGCTGTTTAAAAATATGACCTTTAAATGCAGATTTTAAAATTTAATGTGGAAGAATAACTATCCATTAAGGCTTCAATTATAATAAGGTAGCTACATCAGAGGCCACTTTGCAACTAATAACCATGTCTTACCACTCCATGTATTTCCTGACCAACAAATATTAATCAATAAAGAAATCCTTTCAAAAAGTTTAACAAATGAAATTAGACTAGAGAATCTAAAATGGCAGTAAAGTTTGCATTTTGGATTGACACACAAATAAGCCTTCAAGGACTTCAGATTCCTAATCTTAGGTTTGTCTACTAATGCTTCTGCGAAATTTCAGTCAAACAAACACTCAGAATTTTCAAATCCATTAAGAATATCCCATTCATTCCAAGCACCGGGTACTTCAAGTGGATAAATAATCAAAAAGAAAATCATAAACGACTCCAAAGTCCAAACCTCGTCTCTGCCATAAAGACCTCCATTAACTGACTGGACTAAAACCAATTAAGTGAACCAACTTAGCATAGGAGCAGGTCGTAGTCTTAATAAGGATTTTAACTTCATAGGTCATAAAGCAAACAACCTAGTAATAGTGATGAAACTGAATGAATAAATGAAAAAAGTGAGGCATTTCATCACAAACACCAAATATCAAGAAATTTTCCTGAGAAAATGAAAATATCGACTGACCGTTTTATGCTAGTCTACGGTACATTGAAGCAGAACTCCATTGAGACGCTGAAAATATAAACTACAACCGAAGAAAAGAAAGAAAATGAGCCATTGAATCAGAGCTCCAGCTCATGTTGAATTTGGAGGGAAAAGGAGAACACCCGGTACATTGAAGCAGAACTCCATTGAGACGCTGAAAATATAAACTACAACCGAAGAAAAGAAAGAAAATGAGCCATTGAATCAGAGCTCCAGCTCATGTTGAATTTGGAGGGAAAAGGAGAACACCCAAAAAAATCTACGAAAAGGAGAACAAATTGCGAGAAAACGAAATGCAGAAAACAGAGGAGAATAGCTTTAAAAAAATCCAGAAACGGTAAGGATATTATTTCAAAACGATAGAAAAGCAGGAAAATTTGGGGAATTTTGTTGAATTTAGGCAAAAGTGAATAACAAATTATACTGGAAACAAAACGGGGAGAATGGAAGTTATATTTCCAGGAAGACGAGAAATATGGGAAAAAAAAATTTGGACCATTTCTCGATTTGTGCGTGTCATCCTTGCGCAGGGGCCATGCTAATCTTCTCTGTATCGTTCCAATTTTATCGGATGTCCCCGAAGGGACAGCTTTCTAATTTCTCGCTAAAACTTATATAGGCTTGCTGTCAAAACTTCGTTAACGATGTGGGATTCATGTTCTCTTCTAATTTCAAACGTCAGCATTCGTTTTAAGGCCTTCCTGCGCACAAACACCAAGCAAGTTTGAAACACCCATCTGTTAATTAATCCATGGGCTTTTCTAAAATGGGGACTCAAAGTTTGGCTGACAGGCCAAAGCCCATCTCTTTCTTCGACCGTGCAGAAGCTCAAATTTGAACCACATTTTACTGATCCTTACAAATGTAAATCCTTAAATGACTACAGAAAAGTGGGAAATAGGCGTAATCAGTGTATATGCAGTTATGCAAAATAAATTAAAAAGTAAATTTATTTGTAAGGTTTTATTTTTATTTGCAATGTATTAGAGAATTTTATACATTATTCTCAAAAATAGAAAAATTACTAAAAAAAGAAAAATCGTTATATTTACAGTTTATATTTACTAATGGTTTTGGTATTTTTCCTCATTCAAATATTCTTATTAACTTCTTTTATCTTAAGCTAATATTTGATATTTATAAAATAATTATACATGCTGCATGTGTTATTTTCAGTTGGCTGGAGATAGAACAATAATATTCCAAATAAAGATATTCATTGCACTACCCAAAAAAACAAGTGGGAAATAGAGTAAGATCTGATATTCTCTTTATCCCTTCGTTTCTCACTCAGTTCGGGTTCCTTGTTTGATGGGTCATGCCATGAATGATTAGAACCTTTGACACACTCTAGGTATCTTACCTTGCAATGCTTTATATCCCTCCCTACCTACAGCGAGTCTTATCATTGCGAGCATGTGACTAGAAAAAGACTGCTTACCACTGTTAAAAAAAAAAATTGCTACTTGTATTTTTTTTTTTTTTTTTTTTACTAAAAAAGATGTAAAAAATATAAAATTTTCAAAATAACTATACAAATCAAATATTAAATATTACAGCTTCACAATTCGACAGGATACAGACACCGATGTCCTTTTTTTTTTTCCAGCAGGAGAGGCCAAAATGGTGTTGGGTAAGGTAAACGAGGTGGAAGGTTTTGTTGAAAATGATTCAACACCAAATCCTTTATCTCATGATTAAGATGTTTAATTTAGAAATAGACAAAACATACAATTTGCAAATTCGCATTTCTGTTTTTAGATCATTTAAAAAAATGTCTTTCAGAAGAAAAGGAAATTAATTATGATGCAAATAGAATCAGAATCTAATCTATTAAAGAGAAAGAAGACGCCTAGCAATTTATGAGAACCTTTTAGGTATCTGTGAGTTGCAATTGATTTGGATATCATTAGCAGGCTACTGAATAAGGTAAACTATTAAGATGAATGATTATATGAGCAAAAGTTATTTGGTCATATAAATGTCATTAAAGGTTAATTGCAGAGTCATTAAACATGACAAAAGCTTGACAACTCAGATTGCTTAGGAATGAAGTTCACTCGAATGCACACAAAAAATCACAAGTATTCTGCCAAATAAGCAATTCATCCCTGAATAAGATACTCTAACTTTATGGATATATTAAAAGAAAATTTGGATGTCTCAAAATTTAAGCTATAAGAGAGTGAAAGGTAGAACCTGGGAATCAGTACTTGATAGGAATAGCTGATCCTTGAACCCAAAGCTTCAGTGTTACCAAACTCTGCAGCCTTTTCCTTTAAGCGAATACCACACCAAAGTTTCAGGCCACCACACTCACATATTCTTTCTTTCTCTCTCTGTACTTAGTTGCTTTGCAAGGAACTTAAACCCAATGCTTTCAGTTGCCAGTAACTGAAGTATTCGACACAGAGCTCAGAAATTGTAGTAATCAAAGTATACACTGAAGCGGCTATCAGATGGGATCAATCCAAACACCTATTGGAATGAGAAGCTCTGCATTACTAGAAACATCATGTGGATATCTACTCCAGGAATTGCAGGCAAGAGTATTGCTATTCAGGAAACAATGAGAGTAATTGGTGGGTGAAAAATGATTTATTTGTTCTGAATATCTTTTATCTTTCCTTTCATGATTTCAAATAGATGATCTGGGATGAAGTTGGAGAGGATCAGTTTGAAAGAGAGAAAGTTCTGCTGGATTTGGAACAGGAGTGTTTAGAAGTATATAGAAGAAAAGTTGACAGTGCAAATATATCGAGAGCTCGCCTGCATCAAGAGTTAGCAGAATCTGAAGCTGAATTTACCCATCTTCTTCTGTCACTCGGTGAACGATCTCTCCCAGGACGGGTAACTTATTCAATCATCTGTATTCATTTAGTAATTTTAGCATATTAGAAAATACAAGTTAAGATTGTAAATATAACATTGAACGCTCATACTTTGTTTGGCATTGCCTTAAGAATAAATGCATTCAATTAAACTACATCCTTTCCATTATGGTAATCTCAAAAATAGCCTAAGTGCATACTCAGGGATCTTTCTGCTGTCAGCAATTATGCTTATCGAGAAAAGGAAAATACACTGATATTGAACAGAGTTTAAAGAGTAACTATTAGCAACTACAATCAGAAGTCACATTCAAATCTACTCCAAATAAATTTCCTACGTCACTAATTTTGGCGACAAAGGCCAATAATTGTAACTCTTCCCATTTGCATTCATCAGATGGTTTTGAAACAGGAGTATTTTGTTACCTTATTAAATGGTTGCCATATTAATAATAGGGTGATGGAAGATCGAGACAAAACATACTTGAATAGATGCAAGAAACTTTCATTAACTGGCATGCATTGAGAATAATTAATAATGCCTGTACAGCCAGAAAAAATGTCAGGAACACTAAAGGAGCAGCTAGATGCAATCACCCCAGCTTTGCGGGAGATGCGGTTGAGAAAAGAAGAAAGAGTGAACCAGTTTCGAGCTGTGCAAGGGCAAATTCAAAAAATTTCTGCGGAAATTGCAGGTCAATCAGTGTATGATGACTCCATAACCAATGTCACAGTAAACGAGAATGATCTTTCATTAAAGAAACTAGAGGAACACCAAGTTGAGCTACAAAGACTCCACAAGGAAAAGGTAAAAGAAATGGTATTAAGGAATTACTTTTAGGAAACCATGTTTTCGATCCTAAATTAATCTTACTTTTTGTTTTTGCTTACTTTAAAGAATGACAGACTCCAGCAAGTGGAGACATATATAGATACAATCCACAGATTATCTGCAACATTAGGGATGGAATCCTCCATGATTATAACAAAAGTTCATCCAACTTTGAATGAATTGTGTGGAATATCCAAAAACATAAGTGATAGTATTTTGGCCAAACTCAACAGCACTGTGGAATCACTCAAAGAAGAAAAACAAAAACGACATGAAAAGGTGAAAATTATTTTTATGTGCTGCTAACTCTCTACTATGCAAAGATCATTGGCAGGATCCAGTACCTCAGCTATAACAGTAAACACACAGTTATGTTTTCTAGTGATCAGGTGATGAGCAAATACAAGTACAAATGTTGACATATAGCTAGACATGTGAATAATGAGCATTATTCAATATTCTGATTAAAAAGACATACAAATCCAATAGTTTGAATGCTAAAGGTTTTCATGCTATGAACAATTTTTTTTCTTTTAGTTTAAGAAACATATTACCTGTCTGATTAAAGAATGACATAACATAACACTTGTAAATTTGGCAGCTTCACTATCTAGGAAAAGCATTGACAAATTTGTGGAATCTCATGGACGCACCGTATGCAGATCGTCGACTGTTCTCCCATGTTACTCGCTTGTTATCTGTCTCATCAGCCGAAGTATCAGATGCTGCAAGTCTTACACTAATTATAATCCAGCAGGTCAGTATATAAGATCATTGCAGCAAATTATCAGAAACAACTAATATGTAACAGCTATTTAAAAATTTTTCAAGGCTGAATCAGAAGTTAAGAGATTGGATCAGTTAAAAGCAAGCAAGATGAAAGAGCTTTTCTTCAAGAAGCAGAATGAGCTGGAGGACATATGCAATAAGTCACACATGGACATCCCTTCAAGATCAGAAATGGATAATATAGTTAAGCTTATAAATTCAGGTAGGATTAAAAGAACGATCTTTCACAGTTATCCATTGTTATTCAAGTTTAAAACTATAGTTGTCTGCATACTGACATATTAAAAAGGGGAGATTGACCATGCCGATCTCCTCATGAGCCTGGACGAACAGATATCAAAAGTAACAGAAGAAGCTAATAGCAGGAAGGAAATAATGGAAAAGGTCGAAAAGTGGATGTTAGCACGTAATGAGGAGCGTTGGTTAGAGGAATATAGCATGGTTACTTTTCTCACCCTATATGATTTATTGGCATTTATCCATTACTGTTTCCACATCATCTCATATATTTCATGAGTACTTTCAGGATGAAAATCGATATTCAGTTAGCAGAGGTGCTCACAGGAACCTGAGGCGTGCAGAACGTGCTAGAGTGATAGTCAACAAAATCCCAGGTAAGAAAAAAAAAAAAAAAAAAAATCAAGGAGCTTTTCTCTCTTAAAAAGAATATAGTTGTGAAGGACCTGGAAATGTGCCAATCAGCCCAAAAGTTAACACAGGCACACACAATATTAAGTACCAACCAAGTAGATTATTAACTGGATGAATGGCCAACACTCTCAAGATGAGGCATATGGCAGAGTTGAATTATGTTAGGGGAGTAATTATATAGTGCTTTCCTCTCACTTTCTACCTGGCAATACATGTAACCTCTTGAATCTCAAATGCTACAGCATTAACACATGCCAAATATTTATATGTAATATAATGATCGGTGATGCAGTTCTGGTGGCCTCACTTATAGCAAAAACCAAGAATTGGGAAGACGAAAGAAAGAAAGTGTTCTTATTTGATGATGTAAGTTAAGACACCAGTTGTTATTATATATTGACTCCATGAGCAAATAGTAAAAAGAAACACCATGTTATCATGCACTTATCTATATTAATTTCCACGCAAACTAAATGAATAATCATATGAATGGTTATCTAGGTACCCCTGTTGGCAATGTTGGAAGAATATAACATGTTGAGGCAGGAGAAAGAGGAAGAGAAACAAAGACAAAGGGTGCGCAGTCTGAAACTGTAATGACAAAGAAAATGATATTTACAATGGCAATGAATAGATAATCTGGCACGTTAAATGAATGAAAGAAATTCACATTCAGCAAATTACTTTTCTAGTCTTACCTTTCTGACAAGCTAGCTTTTGTCTCGCAGGAAAAGAAGAAAGTGCAAAGCCAGGTAGTAGTTGAGCAAGATAATGCATTCGGGTCCAGGCCAAGCACCAGTAGTAGACGACTTCCAAATAGGAGCTTGAACGGAGGCTTTAACAATGCTACCCCTTTAAACAGAAGGCTTTCTCTGAGTATCCAACAGTTGGGAAACAACAGCATCAATTCTGCAACTCAAGGAATATCCTTCTTAAAAGAAGGAAGGAAATTGCAGGCCCAAAAGATGTTTCCTCGACCTGGACTTGCTTCTCATCTTCTGGATGAAACAGCTTCAGTGGTCTCAACATTTTCTGGTCCTGTATCTCCCTAAAATTTCAAGTCAGATTGTTTATCTTCACAAGAATTGAGAAATCATTAAGTATAAGAGATTTGATTAGGCATATTGTGGAACAACCCGATGAAATCCATCAGAATAATTAATTCAACCACCCAGGCACCCATTATGTCAGTTTGAGAGAACATTTATTTATATATGCCCACCGCCCCATCAGTAATCAACCCACATAGAACCTCAGGGAATCATCAGCAAAGGAAAATAAAACAAGTTTAGAAGTTTTAAGATTATTGTTTTCATCTTGTTGCAGATGTAAGGTCCAGTTTGCCAATAAATTAATAGCCATAGGTATATGTAAAGTATGTTTGTAATCAAGGAGTTTTGATTTTCGAAATTGATTGATTTATCGCCCACAAATATTCTGTAAACAGGGATACGCTCCACAGCGCAGCAGTAAACTACACCCTTGAGTTTCAAATGTCAGATAAGATAAAGTAATATTAGATACAAGCAATGCCAACTGCATAAACACTAACAAAGGTAACTTAATCAATAAAGAAAGTCAGATTTATGTCTCACCAGGTGACATTTATTCTCTATAATTTTTAATTTTTCCTCAAAATTAAATGCTAATGCAAGCTAACAGCCTAACAAAATATAAACAATTAGGATCACATTTCGCCATTGAAGCCATCCAACTGTCATATACGTTTCAATTCCTAATGTATCTAAACGCATCAGAGATGTATTCAAATCTTCATAAACCTAACCAAATACCAGATATTTACACTCCCTTATCCTTTCAGTGGCAGCCACCATGCAGATTGTTAAAGACAATAGGAATCTTAATAAGCAAATTTTTTATGTTATTTCACTGTTATAGGTCAAATCACCAAATTAAAACCAAAGAAAATAAAATAAAACAAAATATAAATTCGTTTTATTATAAAACTAAAATATCTTCTGGTACAATCTATCCAATTAATTAAAGGTAAAATAAAATACGTCTAGCAATTATTTATCTGAACCGGATCTTCATTTGGCGATTTGGAAAAGAAGTCGTCGATTCGGCGAGTACCAGAGGGGACAGGTTTATCGGCCACGGGACCTGAATGTGTCTTCTTCTTAGCCACAGGCTTATCAGACTGAGTTGGCAAAGGAAGCGAGTCAAGAAGGAAATCGCTGGTTGGCTGATGCCTTTTAACAGCGGTTCTGATGTGGTCGAGTTTCACAGTCTTTCGCTTCTTCTCGACCGCTACTTCTGTCGATTTCTCGGCAATAAAGCGAAGAAATAGCTCAACAGAACTAGAGATGAGGAAGAAAGCTTCTGATGTGACCTTATTGATGTCTTTGTCCAGTTTCACGATTTTCTTGACCCGTCCAGTTGGAAATTGAGGTCGGATCGTCTTTTCTACGTTCTCTTCTTCGGCCATTGATGATTTTGATTGGCAAATTGAAGGGTTGTCCTCTGAGAAGTTCGATTTTTAGGGCTTTTGAATTGGCGGGAAATCGAGGCGGGAATTTTCCCAGAATGTAGATAGACGTTACTACCCTTATAAAAATTTCAGATTTGTCTTCTATTCTTGTATAGGTTTCAGTGTGTTTTTGAAGCATGCGTAAGGGTATATTGCTACCGCTGAAAATTAGCCGCTATGACACGTTTTTTATTTTTCGCGCTCGAGAGGGAATTTTTATCTGCTACTATGGTGTACGTAATTTGCATATGTGGCACTTCATTGGATGCGATTATATACAACTAATGCTTTTTAGGATAAGCTACTCAGTCTCAAGTAATGCCAAGTAATACTCTAATTAATGGAATGCGTTCCAGTAATATTCAATGGCAGGAAAACTTTTCCCTCGGACAACAAGAGAAAAATTTCATCCGTTGGAAACTGCAAGCAGCATGTTGGATTGGGCCATTGGGATCTTTAAACCCAGTCCGTTATTACTTTGGTCGACAGGAAAAGGGAACCCAACCCAACCAAATTCGCATTCAACCCGGATCATCCTCTCACTTGAACCATACCTTCTTAAATAAAATACGGGTCCGATAGCTTCTGCTCGTTATTCTCTCCACCGACTGACACCGCTTAAAGCCTTATAAAAAGCTACAAAAAGAAAACGATACCACGGCAAGCAAGCAGAGAGTCATCCGAGCGCCGGCGATCAAGACTCTAAGAACAAGTATTTTAGTTCCCATTTTGGACGATCACAAGAATATTCAGTTACTGGTAGCTCCGGCAACAAAAATGTCTCAAAAGTGAGTGTCATTACCAAATATCAGTAAATATTAATTTATATACTATCATTAATACATGCATGGAGGATGGAAGCAAATACTCAGTATTTAATCTCTTCTCGTTAGAACTGGGAGGCGTTCCGTCAACCGCCCACCAACGCCTGTTTCAAACCAGGTTCTTGTTAATCCAAGCCAAGAGCTTACCCTTCAAGAAATTATCAATGTAAAGGTAGTCTCTTTTTTAAAAATGATAGATTGTTTGTTAATTTTATGCTTTTCTTTTTAAAATTGTATTTGAATTTGGTTTAGTTGTTTCTTGTTTGCTTATGCAGTTGATTGAGAGTGGAGAAAGAGAGAGACTGAAGCAGCTTTTGAGGGAAAGGCTTATTGAGTGTGGTTGGAAGGATGAAATGCAAGCTATCTGCAGGTTTATTCACAATTCAATGTGGCTTTAGTTGTTTTTATTGTCTTTTGATGATAGGAAATTATCAATTACATTTAAGAAGTAACCCTGCAACGATGAGTGGTATTATAATATGTAAATTTACTTCGAAATGTCTATACGTCTTTTGAGCGATGCTCAATTTGAGGGAAGGTTGATAACATTTTGGAAATTGTATCTTGGTCATTAGTTTCTGGTTGCTGAATAAATAATTAGAAACTGTATTTTGTAGCAAATCAAAAACATGGCCTCATCTAGAATGCTAATTTATGTTGTATGTTGATGCCTGTGGAGTCTGATTAGGCAATGAATAAATGAATTATAAAAAAAATTTTGCTTGTCAAACTGAATGTTCTGTCTATTTAGCTTAAATAGTTGACCTTAAAATAAGGAGCAACTGAAGGTGCCAGCTTATAGTAGTTACATCATGTTTTTATGCCGCAACATGATAGAAGAGTAGATTATAGCAGAGAGTAGCCAAGAATAAGATGATACTGAAATTATCTGTTTGAAAATTGCCTTATAAATTGAAAAACTCTTGTTTCTTTTCATTGATTAATTGGCTTCATCTTTATTTTTCAAACATGGTTTGTGTGTATATTTTATTCATTCCTTAGTATCTGAAAAATCTCAATGCAACTTGTTCTTAAAAAGGGCAATCACAAGGAAAAAAGGAAGGAATAATGTTACAGTGGATGACCTTGTACATGTCATCACTCCAAAGGGCAGAGGTTGGTACATCTGCTAAAGTTTCTTTCATCCATGCAACAGCAACTTTCCTTTTTCCTTTTTTGCTTAAAAATTGATCTGCATGATTATATGAAGTTGCGATGCTTGTGCATTTGTTGCAATTTCTCTATGTATAGTATTTTAGATTCTAAAGAAAAGCATTGATTGAGCAGCATATAAATAACACTTCGAGGAATTCTCACCTCTTTCTTTAAATTTCAATTTCTTTTCAAATGGAGGAGGAGGATGATTTATTTCGATGGAATGTGCATTTTTCCTTTGGGTTTAGAAGAGAGAGGGAGCCTCAGGGTAGAATGTGTTTGGCATATATTCAAAAAAAGGAAAGTTGCATGTTGTTTAACGTGTCAATTATACATTGCATTAAATTTTTATCCATTCAATTGTTTAGAATGATATTGTTGTGGTATATTAATAGTTGGAAGTCAATTTTGAAAAATCAAATTGGAAATGAAGCAGCCTACCACAGTTGCATAAGCTCTTATCAGAAATCAAAATTCTGTATTCAAGTTGTTTTATCGATTGTTCTAGTTCTCTCGCCTAGTTTTTGGTTGAAGTTGGTCAGTATTGCTATTTCCTTGTTCTTTAGTACCAAATATTCTATTGATTAGTCTTTATGAATGAGAAAGTGGATGCATAAAATCCAACATACGTGAATCACCCCTAATGCATCTCGATGTGTCTCTTTGCTCAAAGCTAATATTTTAAGCATCTTGGCCATTGTAAGGACCAGAATTCTCTTTCGGTTGCGGCCTCCTATTTCCATTTCAATTCCTAAGTCATTTCTTGATTTACATTTAAAATTGCCACATTATTTATGGGATCTGATCTTTTTACACAGCCTCTGTTCCTGATTCAGTGAAGGCGGAGTTGTTGCAGAGAATTAGATCTTTCATTGCATCAGCTGTTTAACATTGTTCTCAATAGTTGTTCGGGAAGCAACAGCCATATATTATGATGGCTAGCAAGTCATGTTCTGCTTTCTTGTAAAAAATTTAGTCAACAAATCTTTATTATTCCATAGAAAATTTAGGATCTTGTTTTTATCACAGCTGATGATCAAGGTGACATGTTGTACGAGAAACCCGTCGAACTACTGTTGGACTTGCAATGTCTATATGTAATGGTATATTGCAGTTAATATTTTGAAGCAAGTTTTTAGAGGATCTTTCTGGCAAGCAGACATCAAGCCAATTTTTTTTTCTGCTCTCCCTGAGATTGTGGTTTTGTAGATTAATGAAGTTATTTGATCACCAAATGGCTGGTCATCTTGAACTTGTTTGATCACAGTAATGCATGTATGAGTAACCTTTTAAATGTAGAGAAAATGAGAGCCCCAAATCCCAATGTCCCTTCAAAAGTGGGCTTGTTTGATAGAATTTTATATCTTTTCTTTTTGTTTTTTAGAAATAGAAATATAAATTCATGATCAAAGTTCCGGAATCCTCGGTTTCGATTTTATAACCGCCGTTCCGATTATAAAAAAAGTGGAACTGGAATTGAACCGCTTTTAGATGGTTTCGATTTTATATGGTTTCGGTTTTTCGACTTGAAATTAAATAATATATTTTATATTTTTTAAAATAATTTTTTAAGATGTGTAATTTGAATAAGTAATAATAATAAATATTACTGTTGAAAAAAATTAAATCAGTTCAATAAAAATTCTTAAAAATTAGTTTAAAAGTCTATAATAAAATAAAAATAAGTTGGTAGTTTATTTAAGAATATATTTTTTACGGTTTTAAATTGGAATCATCGATTTTAAATTAAAAGCAACGGTTTCGGTTTTAAAAAATGAAATATCGAAGTCGAACTTTTAAGTTCACGGTTTCGGTTACGATGTTCAAAATAAAACCGTTAACTACGGTTTAGTATCGGTTTTTATCGGTTTGGTTTTAATTTAGTTTCAATTTGAAATTTCAACCATGATCATCCCTAACTAATAGTATCAAATCTCAAGCATTTCAACTCTTGTGGATCAAACATATAACTCATAAACATAGTTAACGAAGTTTGTTCATTTTATAATAAACGAAGATTGTTTTTTTTTTTTTTTGAATAACAAGTATAACATGGACAATATGCAGCTTAATGAAAATTCATTAACCGATTATTGAATTTTAAATTTTTATATGCGGTTATAATCAAATTAATTGAATAGATATATTTTATAATTTATACATATAAGTAATTAATTAATCCATTAACCGGTTCATTATTTTTTCGTTTGTTTTTATAAAATAACTGAACCATTTTTAGTGATGTATTGCTCTATGATTATAATAATAATTGAGTCATTTTTAGTTTTTTTTTTAAACTTATCGTTATAAAATATTTGCCAATAAAAAACTAAATTATTTTTAAAATATTTTCCAAATAACTCACTTTTTCTTATTTGGTTGCAAGATTAGACTTAATTAAAAAAAATATATTTTTTAAATTTATAAAGATCATAAAAATATTTATAATTATAAAAATTTATTATTACATATGAAAAAATGTGAAAAAAATATTAAATTTTGAGTTGCCATAACCGGTATATTGATGACAAATAATGGCTAATGACTTGTAGCCATGGTCAATAGTGACCAAGAACGGTGGCTACCAATAATTAATGAATTAATATTTAATATATATGTATTTATAAGGTTGTAATATATTAATCAATGTTAAGACAATGTTTTTTATTTTGTAAAAAATGAACAATCATTTTCTTCAAAAATAATTTAATTTTGCCTCTAATTAGTAAAATATTTTCTGTTAACTAATTTTTCAAGTATCCCAAATATAAAAAGTTTGAGAATATTTTTCAACTAGTTATTTTTGAAAACAAATATAATTAAAAAAATAATCAAATTTTGTTGAATCTTTTATTTTGCTAAATGCAATTTCAAAGGCAAAAAAAGGGAAAAAAAAAGAAGAAAAGCATAGGACCGAGAGACAGGCGTGGTTAACACTGACACGTTAGCTAAATTTTATACGTGCGGCCGAAGGGAGGTTTTGCCGTTTTTGACACCGCTTTCGTTCACGGCGGTTTCTCAGCCGTCGCTACCTCTCCTCTGCTCATCTTGCTATAAAACCCCTGTTATCTCGTAGTAACTTTTAACAAAACCCTAGAGCTACCGATAGATTCATAACCAAAATGGAGTTCTCCCAAGAAGACTTCGATCGGCTTTTGATGTTCGAGCACGCTCGAAAATCTGCGGAAGCTACCTACGCCAATGATCCTCTCAACGCTGACGTACGTATTTCAATCTTGAAAGTATTTTTGTTTAAATTGAAAAAGATTGATTTGTTCTCTAATTTCAACTTTAGTTAGTGAATTTTTTTTTCCCAAGTGAATTGTTGTTTCAAAAAAGACTGCTGTCTCCGCAGAATCTGACAAAATGGGGTGCAGCTTTAATTGAATTATCGCAATTTCAGACTATTCCAGAGGCAAAAATGATGTTAAATGGTATTGTTTTGTTATATTTTGGATTAGTAATCGTTTTAGTTTTTCCGTTTTGTGTGTTTATTGAAGTTGATAGAGTGGATACTAACTCTACAGATGCTATTTCAAAGTTCGAGGAAGCTTTGGAAATAAACCCTGAAAAGGCTGATACATTATGGTATATTGGAAATGTATATACCTCTCTTGCTTTTCTGAATCCGGACATTGATCAGGCAAAAGGGCATTTTGATAAGGCATCTGATTATTACCAACAAGCATCAGAACAGGTAATTTAGTTTATTTCTTTTCTCTTTTTGAGATTATTACATTAGAAAGGAAGCTTATGACTGAATTTTGCAATGTAGGACCCCAGTAATGAACTCTATCGCAAGTCTGTAGAAGTCACAGCAAAGGTATGGTGGCCTTGAAGCTTATCCTACTGAGGCTCTGTCACGGAATTTGCTAACTACTGCCTTTTATCTATAACTCAACTATAAACTTGGGAGTGTAGACCACCTGGTAGTCTAGTACTTGATTTATGAGTAATATTGCCAGCTTGGGCAATGCAGTTTTGTGAATATTGACTACTCAAGGTGTTACGTTTTGAATTGGTAGATGTTTTAAATTTTCTTGGAACGTGCTGGATCAGCACCTAAACAGGCTGAGGAAAACTTAGATTTCTCTGGAAAGAAAATTACTGAAATTGCAAAAATTATTAAAAGGGCAAGCAATCATTTGAGAATGTTACTTGACAAATTGGTTAATGTGTACAATTGTTGTTTGAATTTTTTTTTTCAAAACTGAAGATCTGTAGTTTAAAAGTACTTCAGTTATGAAGTGGTAATTTTAATTACTGAAAATTATAAAGTGGTAATTCTATCATCTAGAGTTCATATAATTTGCTGTGTTTTCTTGTAAATCAGCACCTTCTGAGCCGAATTCAAAAATGAAGAGTACTTAGAATTCTTAATTTTTTTAAATAGTATATTTTGATAAATATTAATTTGTCACCATTTATTCTTAGGCACCAGAGTTGCACATGGACATCCATAAGCATGCAATTAGCCAACAGACTATGGGCCAACAGACTAGTGGTGGAGGATCTTCTGCTGCTTCAAATTCAAAGGTGAGGAGTGTTGTTTTTTGAGTGGAAACATGAGTCGTCAATGGTGCAAATTTCAACATAAAATCTTTAGTTTATAGGTATCCATTCTAATTTCCAACCTAACTGCACCATAACTGAAGCAAATTTTAAACATTACCTCACTTAAAGGTGAGGAATTGCTGCAAATAAATGTCTGACGGGCACATTGATGGGGACATTGATAGCCAGGGAAATATCCAATAGAGCAAAATGTAATAACCTGTTGAATTGAGCACTCTCCAACTTTTTTTTTTTTTTTTTTTTTTTTTTTTTGGAAATATCCAATAGAGGCAAAATGTAATAACTGTTTGAATTGAGCACTCTCCAACTTTTTTTTTTTTTTTTTTTTTTTTTTTTTTTTTTTTTTTTTGAGGTTGACTATTAGTGTTCAGATTAGTTAGAGAGGGTGGGAATGGGTTCTAGATGAGACATTATGGTTTCCTAATGTGTGAATGGAGTGTAATGATTTTAGTGTGTGGCTATTTTGTAATCTTTTCCCCCAAAAAAAATTTTGTCTAGGTAATTTTTGTTGACTTCCCCATTCCTATGTCTTCCTTTTGTCATATATGCATTGCAGGGGTTTCGCCAAGGATAGAAGAGAGGAGAGCAATGTCTGAAATTGAGGTTATTGGGCGGATGGATAGATTATTTTTTTTTTTTTTTTTTTTTTTTTTTTGAGGTTGACTATTAGTGTTCAGATTAGTTAGAGAAGGGTGGGAATGGGTCTAGATGAGAATCATTATTGGTTTCCTAATGTGTGATGGAGTGTAATGATTTAGTGTGTGCTATTTGTAATCTTCAAATTTATTTGTTAGACTCCCATTTCCTATGTCTTCTTTTGCAATATGCATTGCAGGGGTCCAAGAAGAATAAGAAGAGCAATGATCTGAAATATGATATTGGCGGATGGATAATACTTGCAGTTGGAATTGTTGCGTGGTTGGGAATGGCAAAATCTCATCTTCCTCCTCCTCCTTCGCCTCCTTGATAAGCCATAAAGTAAATATGCTGGTGCTTTTGATTGAAACCTTCAGATATCATTTAAATGGTTCCAACAGGAAGACTTGTTGTCAATTGAGTCATACATGTGGTAATGTTTGTGCAAATTTTAGCAATTAGTATGTGTAATCAATTCGTTAAGCTTTATATACCTTCTTTCATTTGCTCAGGCCAATTATACTTTCACTATTCTCCCCTTGGAAAGGGAAGTGAAGTGTTAGAGGTGAGAGACACCACTTCATTTCATATGTTATAATGACATATATATGTCATGCATTTGGATTTTCATGTTATTGTATTTCACTCAGAAATTAAAATTCGGAAATATTTTATTAGGTTTCAGTATGTGTAATCAATTCGTTATGCTCTATATTCCTTCTTTCATTTGCTCAGGCGAATTATATTTTCACTATTCTTCCCGTTAGAAAGGGAAATGAAGTGGTAGAGGTGAGACACACCACTTAATTTGATATGATTGAGTGAAGAGTAGCCTTGTATTTTACTCAGAATTTAAAATTAGGAATTATTTTATTTGGTTTCAGTGGTCACGGTTGGTCTGCCTTTTTGCTCGTTCACTATTCGGCCCAGCATAGCAAAAAATCAATATTAGCATTTCCAATTTTTTTGCTCAAATTCTCTAGCATGCAGACAAGTCAGATTGTTCTGTGTAGGAAACAAAGCCGAAGCTAAATGGTAAAATATCAGCATGAACAACTATCCTAGTATTTTATATATATATATATATATTTTTTTTTAAATAACCTGGGGGATTCAAACTTTTTGACTTAAGATATTCTGTTACTTTTATGTGAATGTGCCTCACATTTGTGCGACAATTGAATGAATTTATGTGATAAGAGGTATGAATATACTGAAATTGGAAGGGAAAAATCAAACAGCCTGAAGCAGTATCTGATGAACATGTACCAGCCAGCAATAAAGCATATGAGAAATTTGCTTCCTGCTTTCCACCCCCTCCAACAAGTGTACTCTTTTGTTCTGTTGGTTCCCATTCACGCATTTTTCTGAATCAAACAAATAAATCATTTTATTTTTTCAGTTGATCTCATATTTACTTGTTCTGCTTTAGCTGCTGCATTTTCAATGAATGTGAGTTCTTGTTTGATTTGATTATTATTATTATTATTTTGTTATTTGATTAAAAAATCATTTCAATTGATATGTCAATAAATTTTGCCTGTTTGGTTGAAAGATCATTTCACAGTCCTAATTGTTATTTACTTGCCTTGAGCAATATTCATATCTAATCTCCACCATACATTGTACTTAATGCATTTGGTATTAAATTGTTTTCCTTTATGGTATTTCTAATATTTTGTGCATAGCTTCTCCTTATATCTCCCCTTTTAAGTATGGGAGAACTCTGCTGGGAGATTGTATCCCATAAACACCGTCATTAAAATACTCACTTCATTGAATGAGATTGTTATACTTTTTAAGTGTAAACCAAAATAGGATCAAATGGGAATTTTGTCTGCAATTTATATGTAGCTGAAAGTCATGAGCTTAATTTTGTTTCTATTTGAGCCTTCTTGATACTTTGACAAATATTTGTGATCATCCTAAACTTTTACAATAAAAGTAACAAGCAATAGATGTGAGCTATTCTAGGACTTGTCAGAGCATATTATCTTACGAGAAGATGTCCTCCCAAAGCAGAAATGCAAAATGCTTTTGACCATAAAAAGGTGTCTATTCAGTTGAAACTTACTTTAATCTATCTATGCACTTCATGTTTAATCTATCTGTGCACTTCATGGCTTTCGCCTTGGTATCTACGAAGGATCCAATATTTGTGGGCAATATTGACTATAGGGACATGTATATGCATTGTTGCAGGTAAATGTTAGATGAGATATCTACGGTTAGTGATCATTCATTGCCTGATGCTTCTATTTTGTTAGTCCAGTACTCTTCCGTAGATTTACTTGTACTGTGCGGGTTTATTGCAGTTCAGTAGTAGTTAAAATCTACCTGAGATGGCTCATCGTAACTGTTCTTAGTTTTGATAGTTACCAGCCAGATTTTTCTTGTATAGTCTTGATGTTTCATGTAGTGGGCATCACAGGCTTTTTACAGACCATAATGTGTGGTGTATTTCTGAAAGGCAGTGGAGGTCAAATTCAAGAATTATCATTCTGCCTCAGGTCCACCACTTTCTCTTATTGTAATCAAGTGCTGGATAAAGCTGGCAAATTCACACTGGAGCCTTTCTATTAGTGGAAACAAATCCTGCTAAAGAAAGCCTGTAAGTTTTTTATATTCCACCAGATTAATGTGCTGTTGTTGGGAAGTAGCATGATAATTTTAAATTAATAGAAGTTTACAAGGCATTCCACTTTGATTATTATTATTTTTATTTTTTATGATTGATTATATTTAAGAGATGCTCCCAGAAGTTCTACTAGAAAACTAATTTTCTGCCGCAAAGTTGACGAGCTCTTTATGAGATCTGTTAAAATCATCCTCTTTCATTTGTTCCTGTTGGTCGGGCTACTATTGGTGATCTTTGTCCGAGATATTTTTTTTTAAAACACCCATTGAGCGTTTTGCGTTCTCCTATCCAGTAGTTCTCTGTAGAAGCAATACAAAAGTTAGTGGGGTGTTTCTCTATTGCTGATTATCTTAAGAGATTTTGCGGGGGAGGGAACATCCACGTATAATCTTTAAGCTTTTCTGAGGAGTGGATTGTCTAGTCTAATAAATAATGCAGATTTAATTATCGGGCCCCCGGAATCTTGGATGCTTTTTGTGGGGAAAACAATGCATACAAATTATTGGATATTGATACTAAGAAAAAAAAATTCTATCAGTCGAAGTATCTCGGTTGGCATTATATTGTGGTTGTTTTTAGAAAGAATGGTGGAGAAAATGTGCTCGTTTCAGAAAAGAATGCAGGAAGAAGTGGGGTTTTCACTTATTCTTTTAGTTTCAATATTTGTGCTTGTCAGACTCTGTAGACCCTACAAGAAATGATGAAATACTGAAAAATTGACGTTAGCATTGACGTTATAGTTTTGCATGCAGTAGTGTTTCTTCCTAATAATGCCCTAATCTATAAAACTAAGGTTTTTCTTTATGTGACACCTTAAAGTTTTGTGGGATTCATCATGCAGCTTCATGGGTATATGGATTAAAAATTGTTACTGAAAATTGCATCCATTAATCTCACGGTGTAAAACGAGTCGGAACCAGGATCTGAAATTAGAGTGGCAAAATAAGCAAAATAGTATATAATCTAGTTAGAAAAAGATTATATAAAAGGGGTTCAGAGACATGTTGATGTAAAGGACTAAAATTTTTTTTAGAAGAGAAGGGGCGCACGCGCAACTGCCTCTCCCAATACATGTAGTTCCGCCTTTGGGTGCAAAGATCAATATACCCCTTGCAGTGTCAGGGACCATAATTTAGGTAAATGATAATGTATTTTACAAAAAGTAGGTCTTAACTAGTATAGTTGATTAGTATATAGGGATGTAATAGGAATTCTCTATAAAAATTTCAAATTTAGGAATATGATAAATCTCTTAAGTAATTTTAGAGTTTGTTCTACAAAATTAGTTGTTTATTAACTTTTCATAAAAAGCTAAAAGCCGAATGTTATATAGGCTATCGAACATTATAAAAAGTAGCTTTTTAAGCATTAAAAGTTGACTATTACATAACTAATCGAACACTATAAAAAGCAGCTTTTAACGTTCTATAAACAGTTGCTGAACGCAATCTTAAACCTGCTTCAACCGTTAAAAATTACTTAAAAAACAAGGGAAAATTATTATTTCGTCCCTGAGATTTGTCATAATTATTTAAGTAGTCCTCGACATTTATATATATATTTATAACGTCCCTGAGGTTTGCCACCGTCATATTAATTGGTCCTTCCGTAAAAATCATAAAAAGCTAAAAGGCCCGAATGTTTATATAAGGCTATCGAACATATAAAAGTTAGCTTTTTAAGCATTAAACAGTTGACTATTACATCACTAATCGACACACTATAAAAAGGCAGCCTTTTAACCGTTCTATAAACAGTTGCTGAAATCGCAATCTTAAAACTTGCTTCAAACCGTTAAAAATTAACTTTAAAAAACAAGGGAAAATTATTGATTTTTCGTCCTGAGTATTTGTTCATAATTATTTAAAGTTATATCCCTCTTCGACAGTTTTATATAAAATTTAGGGAATAACGTCGCCTGAGGGTTTGCCACCTGTCAATATTATTATTTTTGGTCCTTGGACCGTAAAAAAATTTACACTTTTTTCGTTAATTTTTGAAAGAAGAAACGAAAAGACGAAATTATCCTTTGAAAAAATAATTATTTCGTCTCTGAGATTTGCCATAATTATTAAGTTGTCCCTGACATTTATACAAATATTTATAACGTCCTTGATGTTTACTTCCATCATATTAATTGGTCCTTCCATAAAAAAAAAATTAAACTTTTTCCATTAATTTTGAGTAAAAAAGACGAAATTATCCTTTATAAGTTTTCATTGACATTTTTGTCGATCCCCTTACTCTAAAATACCTAAAACTCAAAATTTCACTATCTTCCTCAATCCAACGAGGTCTTCATTGCCACCACTGTGTCTCTGTCAAGTATCATCTCCATAACCAGATCACCAATAAAACTAAAAGGGAAAATAATTATTTCGTCGCTGAGGTTTGCCATAATTATTTAAGTAGTCAAAAATTATTGTCGGCTGAGGCGTTTGCCAATAATTATTTAAGAGTCCTCCCATTTATATACAAATATTAATAACGTCCCTGAGGTTACTTTCCGTCATATGACTTGGTCCTTCATCCAAAAGAACACACTTTGTGCTGTTAATTTTTAATAACAATGACCAAACGTACCTTAAATCCTCTAATAAATGGAGAAGAGAGATAATGGATTGAAATGGGTGATGATGACTTGATTTGAGTTGGATGTGGGTTTAGTTGGTGGTGATCTGGTTATGAGATGATAGTTTTATTGAACACAAGTGGTTGGCAATGAGACCGCATTGAGTTTGAGAAAGATGATGCCAAATGGTGAGTTTAGGTATTTATAGGAATATTGAGATATTAATAATGTCAATGAAAACCTTATTAAGAGGAATAATTTCGTCTTTTCATCACGTCAAAATTAACTGGAAAAGATGTATTTTTAATGGAAAGACCAATTAATATGAACGGAAGTTAATTTTTAGGGACATTAAAAAGTATTTATGTATAAATATCGGGGACCACTAATTAATTAGGGAAAAAATCTCAGGGACAAAATAATATTTTCAGGGACGAAATAATTATTTTTTCAAAGGATAATTTTGTCTTTTCTTCTCAAAATTAACGGAAAAAATGTATTTTTTTTTTTACGGAATGACCAATTAATATGACACTGGCAAATCTCAGGAATGTTATAAATATATGTATAAAGGCCGGGGATTACTTAAATAATTATGACAAACATAGGGATGAAATAATAAGTTTCCCAAAAAAACAACTGTGTAAGACAGCCTAAAACTTGTTTGAACCTGATATCAAGTAGTCTAATAGTTTAGTGGAAACAGGCAAATGTTAGGTGCCTTCCAAAATAGATTTGATTTTGCTTTTTATCACACTTTGATTAGAGGTGACTATTTATTGATTTACCCTCTCGAAAATAAGTTTATCTTCAATTTCCAGTTCAGCAAATACATTGGTTAACTTGTTAAATAATATATTATAAATAAGTGTGATTGATGGGACCAGCTAATAGGTGCATATCCTGGCAGTCTTGCACCAAAATGGCTGTAAGGCGTAGAATCGATGACTCGTGGTGGACTGTCTGTATGCGCTTTTTAGTAATTGGATTTTGGAGATAAATTTATTTATTGGCATAATTGCAAGAGCACGCTTCAAGTGAATGGACAAATAATTATTTATTGGCATAATTGGAAGAAAATGTCCAATTGGGCTTCCAAGTAGACATCTGGAACCGGTTTCAGTTCGAGAACCAAACCGAAAATTATTGGTTCTAGTTTCAGTTTGGAACCGAACGGTTCCAATTTTGATTTAGAATCGAACAGTTCCGGTTTCAGTTTCTTAATGATTCCAAAACCGACTGTTCCGGTCGATTCTCCAATCGATTTTCCGGCGAATCGCATAATTATAAGATAAAAAGTAGAGATTTTTTTTTTCAAAATTTAAAATTTAAAAATTTGTAAAATAATTTCTGAAAAAAAATCACTTAAAAAATTAAAAAATGCTTGAATTTAATTTATTTTTTTTAAAAAAAGACTTGAACTTAATATATATTTTTTTTAAAAAAAAGTCTTCAAGCAAATTTATTTTTTATTTAAAAAAATTGAAACTTAATTTTTTTAAAAAAAAAAAAGGGCTTGAACTTAATTTTTTTAAGTTGTCTACATATCCTCTTAGGATTTAGAGGAATAAAAGCTCACGTAGTTTTTAAGTTGTCTACGTATCCTCTTAGGATTTAGAGGAATAAAAGCTCACACAGTTCTTACTTACCTTGCACCAATTTCACCTCTTTTACCTTAGTCACTATTTCCACCACTGATTGATGTTCTCGTTAAGGACCCATTGTAAATCTTCATTTTCTTTGAGATTTTTTTTGTGCTCTTATTTTGGCCTTACTCCAATCATTCATGCATGATTGTGCTTCTAGTGAATCGGATGTCATACGAGTTTGTGTTTCATTGAGTATGTTTCTTCCTTGACTAAAAGCTTGTTCAACCGCAACAGTGGAGACCGAAGCTGCTAAAACTTGTTTTACAATTAGAGAAAGTGTGGGAATGTATTGGCGTGACGACTCCACCAATAAAGCTGTTCATCCCAACAGTGGAAGAACCGAAGCCTAAATTAACTTGTGTTCAACCGCAACAGTGGAGACCGAAGCTGCTAAAACTTGTTTTACAATTAGAGAAAGTGTGGGAATGTATTGGCGTGACGACTCCACCAATCTAGAATTGGAAAGTTATTATCTGCAAAACTATCACTAAACTCGAAAGAAGTAGCAAAATAATTATCAAATTCAGAAAAAAAATCGGATTTCCTGGGTCTTTTTTGTTTTTATAGTAATATACTTTGAGCAACACCAATACTTACCCGTTCACTTGAGAATGATTGATTATTAAATTGAGAAGAATTAGAAGAAGTAGATGAACTAGAGTATTGAACAAATTCGCTATATAATTCTGTAATATTTTGTCTAACTTCATATAATACTATATTTATATTAATACTATCTTCTATATCAAGATTTAATAATTCATAATAAAGAGTCAAATATTCAGATAAAACTTCAATTTTACTACATATCGATCAAATACTCAAGCACAAGAGTAAAGTGGTTGTATTTTAAAAGTAAATAATCAATTTTTTTTATTAATAAGACACCAATTGTAATAAAAATCATTTCAATTTTGGTGTGCGACTAACAATATTAATGCATAAGCAAAAATATTTCTTCTGTCTATAGATAGCATGAATATTGTCGTTTCTCCAATCTTTCCTTGCCCCTTAGCAGAATATGATTTCCTCTACGTGCCTTATATGAAAATAATATGTAATTTGAAAAAATTGAATAAAAAAAATTAGAGAGAATAATTAGAATTGAAATTTGAGAATTAATTCACAATAATTTGGAAAATTGGAGATTGGACTTGAAGAACATATTTGCAATATTTTGGACAATAATTTTATGAAATGAAAATTAGAGAGTATTGTGAGATAGAAGAAGAATATAAAGTAAGAGATAGAGATAATTTTGCGTGAGGAGATTGTAAATAACAATGGAAAGTATTTATAAAAATTCAAAAATTAATTTTTTTTACAAATATCTTGGAACTAACCTGTCTATATAGTTGTTTTATAGTTGCTTGTTATGAGCTAATTGAATAAAAAAAAAAAAAAAAAAAAAAATTGCTGCCTGCTGGAACCTGTTAAAAACAAAATTCAAATATTCTTCGAACTGCTGGTTCGCGGTTCCAAAAATGGTAAAATTAGAACCAAACTGTTGGCCACCGGTTTTGATTCCGATGGACCGATTTTAATTTCTATCGGTTCGGATTCCAATTCAGACCTGTTTCGAACCACGGGTTTTGGTTATCGGAAATGTAATTTGGCCACCTCTACTTCCAAATGAATGGACAGAAATTATTTCTTGTATTCAATTTCCTCTTCTTCATTACAAATTAAAAGGAGAAAATGTAATTCGTATAAATGAATAACCTGGATAGATAATATCAATTGAGGTACAAAAAAACGTGAAAATGGTTTGTCATTCTTTTCTTTTCATGTCAGAATCAGATTTAACAGACACTGGCCATTGACGCGTCGACCTATAAGCAAAAGGTTGGTAAGAGCTGTATCACTGTAAAGAGAATGGCTTTAATTTAAGGTACCATCACATCCATACATATAATACTGTAAGTGGTGACCCCTCCATTACTGGGAAGCCAGAAATGGAGATCCATGGGTACAATTCCACTGTATCTTGGGTACACATGGCACTAATTAGGACACTGAATTATTTCTAAAACGAAAGGTTCTTGTAAAAAAGAGATCAACCCATATCTTAAATGCTTGTACTCGGTACAATACTCAATGATTTTGTTTACAGACTCTCTTTGGTGATGCGTCAGCTACGCTTCTTTTGTTTCGTTTGCTCTTTTCTTCCAATCCATTGCTTGTTAGTTTATTTCTAGATAAATTATTGTTATTATTGTATTAGAAAATAAGATATGCTATTATTGTATTAATAATATAATAATATTATTATTATAGTAAGAAGTTGTTGGAGTATGTGTGTAATCCCACATCAGATAAATATCACTAACTAGAAGGACATATAATGTGACGGGTGAACCAACCAAAATGGCTTAGGCCATTTTGTGTTAAAGGTAAGCTCAACTCATTATAAGCTCAATATTAAATATATAATTGAATTTGATTTGATTAATTGCTCATAGAGCTCAGATTTTCAACATGGTATCAGAGTCTGGGACTCGAACCTGCATGAACCTGCATGAGGGAAGTTCCCGTGTTGGGTTGTACCCTGATGCCACTTGAGGGGGGAGTGTTGGAGTATGTGTCTAATCCCACATTAATGTGAAGAGTGAACCAACTAAAATGGCTTAGGCCATTTTGTGTTAAAGGTAAGATAACTCATTATAAGCTCAATATTAAATGTATAATTGAATTTGATTTAATTAATTGCTCCTAAGTAAAATATAGATTTGCTATTATTGTATTAGTTACGGTATTGGTTAATCAAAGGTAAGATTAGGGTTTCAAAAATTGTAACGATTTAATGGATTTTACTTAAAAAAAAAAGTGGATAGAAATGGATGATGTGTCCAATAATAGAAGAAAACAACAACAATGGTCTACGACTATGAGGTCATTGTTTCAGGGTAATCTCATGATTCGGACTTAGAATTATTTGTACACAGTAAGGTCATTCACACAGCTTTTTTCTCTATTTTTGAGCAGAGATTTTAGTTTCCTTTGGAGTTCCTGAATGGAAATTTATGGTGCCATGTGAAATCGACGCATGGACTCCCTTTCCTGTCATTTTTGATTCGTTCTACTGTCGTTTCATGCCTTCACTTCTCCTAATATATCCTCCTATTGTCATCATGTCCTCGTTGGATTCATAAATTCATCAATTTTAGTTTATATTTATGGAAAATTTTGTCTATCCCCATCTAATTACTCGGAAAATTTTGGACATAAGAAAAAAAAAAAAACATCTTTTGAACGTATCATTTATCAATCTAAAAAAAAAAAAAAAAAAACACACCTCAACTTTAGAAGAACAATCTAGTGACATGTTAATTTAAAACTATATATACTGAATACTTACTTACAAAATTGCATCTATAAGACATGACCATATTCATTTTGTTGAATCTATATTTCATCTTGTTTGATATCTTTCTATCGCATAACATTAATATGTTACTCTTGTATTTCATAAGTCACTGCTCAGACATACTAAAAAGGCCAAATCATTGTTTTATACAATTGCTTAGCTCACAACCAAGTGGTGAGTATATTTGTGTTTTTAATTAACTAAAACTAACCAAAGTTTACAAAGTAAACCACACACTTAACTCTCTACCTCCACTACTATTTAAACAAATCAATCCACACATGCAATTTGCATTTCTATCTCATAATAACAAAACTCTTCATATCTATCTCCTTTTATCATCATAACCTAATTCCTCTCTTAATTGCAACTTTTAAATAATATGAAGACTTCAATTCTACTTCAGTTGTCTTTCCTACTCTTCTTTTTAGCAATAATAACCACATACGAAACTCAGTCATCTTTCCTACTCACTCTCTTCTTTATTCTGTTTTTCTCTTTATTCACTTTCGCTTTGAACTACTGGTTAATCCCTGGAGGGTTTGCATGGAGAAACCACTATTATCATCAAGAACTAGTTGGTCCATTTGGTTGGCCTTTACTAGGCTTTTTACCTCAAATGGGTTCACTTGCTCATCGCAAATTGGCTTCCATGGCTAACTCGTTAGGTGCAACTAAGCTTATGGCATTCAGTTTAGGCGCAACCAGAGTAGTCATTAGTAGCCATCCTGACACAGCTAAGGAAATCCTTTCTGGGTCTTGCTTTTCGGATCGTCCGATAAAAGAATCAGCTCGTTTGTTAATGTTTGAGAAAGCCATTGGTTTTGCTCCTTCGGGTGATTACTGGAGACATCTACGTAGAATTGCTGCAAATTACATGTTTTCTCCTCGGAGAATTTCTGGCTTAGAGCCAACAAGGCAGCGTTTGGCTGATAAAATGATAGCTGAAGTGAGAAAAGAAATGGATGAGAGAGGGACTGTTGTGTTGAGAGAGATATTACAGAAGGGTTCTTTAAGTAATGTGCTGGAGAGTGTTTTTGGGAGAAACTGTGTTTGTTTAGAAAAGGAAGAGTTATTAAGTTGCATGGTTAAAGAAGGATATGAATTAATTACAAAGTTTAATTTGGAGGATTATTTTCCTCTTAGGTTTTTAGACTTTTATGGTGTGAAAAGAAGGTGTTATAAGTTAGCTGGTCAGGTGAATAGTGTTGTGGGTGAAATAGTAAGAGAAAGGAAAAGAGATGGAAGCTTTAATAGTGGAAGTGACTTTCTTAGTGCCTTGCTATCTTTGCCAGAACAGGAGCAACTAAGTGAATCAGATATGGTGCCTGTTTTATGGGTAAGCTCTTTCATCCTCTTTCTTTCCTATTGTAGAAGGATTAAGAATTATCAGTTTAGGGCTGCTCTAAAAAATTTGCTTTAGGGCTGCAACTCGAACTCAGTGTCAGGAGCTCGATAGCAGGTTCGAGCTCGGCTCATTTAACTTAGCGAGCTCGAATTTGTACATTAACTTTTCATTTATGATGCACATAAACTCTCAATCATGAGTGTTTTTACATTTCGAAAACGTTTAACTTCTCCGCATGTCTGTTTGTTTCTTCGTGTAAAATATTCTTTTTCCTTATAAAATTATATCTAAAATATTCAAATTTCTCTATCTTTTTAATGGAATTTACAGGAAATGCTGTTCCGAGGAACGGACACAGTTGCCATTCTTCTTGAATGGATAATGGCTAGATTAGTTATGCACCAAGATATCCAAGCAAAGGCCCAAAAAGAACTCAACGCGTGCATTGGCAGCAACCGGCACGTGCAAGATTCGGACATCCCTAACCTCCCCTACCTCCAAGCTATAGTCAAAGAAGTACTAAGAATGCATCCTCCTGGCCCACTACTTTCCTGGGCCCGCCTCGCCATCCACGATGTTCACGTGGGAAAAATCTTAATCCCAGCTGGCACTACAGCGATGGTCAACATGTGGGCCATAACCCACGACCCATCAATTTGGAAAGACCCATGCGAGTTCAATCCAGACCGGTTCTTAAACGACGACATAGCGATAATGGGTTCGGATCTAAGACTCGCTCCGTTTGGGTCAGGCCGGAGAGTGTGTCCAGGCAAGGCACTCGGGTTAGCCACGGTGCAGTTATGGCTCGCGCGGCTTCTACACCAATACAAATGGCTACCGGCTAAACCGGTTGATCTTTCTGAATGCCTGAGGCTGTCAATGGAAATGAAATGGCCACTAGCTTGTCGGGTAGTTAATCGATGGAGCGAATGCGAAGCCATATAATGAAGAAACTACAAATAAATATTATATATAACTAGAAAGCTGCGATTGCCCAGAACCTCAACTGTAAATTGGATCAAGTGGTTAGAAGATGAGCATATCGTGTAGAACTCTGTTTAATTAACATAAAAGTTTGCAAAAAGCAAACCTTGTTTGTCTTTTTTTTTTTTTTGACTGAAAAAAAAAAAAAAAAAAACAAAAACGCAAGAGAGAGTTTGCGAAACTCATTAAGTGTGTAATAGCTAAGTTTCAAGAGCTTTTAAATGGAAAATGATAACTAGCTGTTTTTATTGTACATTCAAGTTCTTCACCTCTGCTCTCGTTTTGTGTTAGCCAAAGCCTTTTTTTTCTTTATCATATTTAAATTTTGAAGTGAATTTGTAAATGAGCTTTTTTATATTTGTACAAAATTTTTATTTTCATGGAGGATAATTTTTTATTAAATAAAGAGATGAACTTTGTATGATTCTGAAATGTAACCTTAATAACTAATGTGCTCGTAACACTAATTATATTTCACATACCAATAATTTGAATTTGAATCTCATATAAATAATGTATCGAGCAATTATATAATTAAATACTGAGTAACATGCTAACATATGTTTCTATTTGGAAAAAAAAGGCGAATGGTACGGAAAGGGATTAATTACACCTTTTGGTTATATAAAAAAAAAAAACATATGAATATAAAAAATTATGGATTAAATATCTAATGATACAACTACTTTAAAAAAGCACTGACAATAGTAAAAACACCTATAGCATTATTCACTTTCTCCATTACATCTTAACATTCCTTCACCATCAAGAAACATTATCAAAATTCCATTATTAGCATTGTCACTTTCATATTATCATGCAAGACAGACAACATAAATAACCCTGAACTATTTTGGCTTCATAAGGAAGAAAAAAGAAAACATACTAAGAAAGCGTACAATCGCTTTCCATAAAAGATATGTAATTTTTTTTTTTTTTTTTGAAAGAAATATGTAAATTTGTTTTAATCGTTTTCCTTAAAAGAAATGCTGATAAGTGTTGAGGACAAGAAGTTGTCTTCAAAGCTAATTAAAGTAACTTTTTAAGAGGCAATTATTTATTATTAAAATGTAAATATGGACCGATCAATTATGATAATTCAATATTATTAAAAGAATTGTAACCAAACGAGCCGAGTCTATCTTACTTAAGCTTTATTATAGAGCTCAAAACTTAATTCATTAAAATTATATTCGAGTTTAACATCAGTTTATTGCATTTAGTGAATGAATTTTTTTCAAACCTTGGCTCATTTACAGCCATATTGGTTTATTTAAGGGTGAGCATTCACTCAACTCGATCAATTTGAGTAACATTTTTAATTGAAATTTTTTTATTTAACCAAATTTAACCGAAATAATTTTTTAACCGAACCGTTTTGGCCAAATTAATTTTGATCATTAATCGACCGAATTTAACCAAAATTTTATGATTAATCGAAATAAAAATTAACTAAACTTATTAATCACTATTTAAATCAAAATAAAAATTAAAATATTTTTAATTTTTAATTTTATTATCTATTTAATCAAAATTGCGTAGTTTTGATAATCAGTTAATTTGATTAATTCAGTAAAATTAACTTTTAACTGAAACTTTAATTAATAATCAAAAATTTAATTCTTTTAACTGAATTTTTAATTAAATATTTATTCACGAGGTTGAATCAGTGAAATTAACCAAATTCACCTAATCGAATGAATAGGAAATCAAAATTCAAAAGCTTGCCTATCTTTTATTAAAGCTTGCCAACACGACTTTATTCTATTCTCGTCAAACTTTGGTGCTTTTAGATTTTTTTCTGTCTGTGTACGGATTGGTTGTAGCTTTATTATCCGTAATTGGTCTAAACAAGTAATGATTAAGAGTAACAGCACACCTTGTCCCTTCTTTTTTCTTGAATTAACTAAAGATCGTAGAACCTCCATGATGGCTTTAGGACAAGTCATTATAAGAATCTTTTACTTTCTTTTTTTGTTGATAAAGAAGACCAAAATGTATTGTCGTTTTAACCAAAGCATGTTCCTTAAACTCTGTACTTATTAATGATTAACATGTTTTATGATATTAACGCTAAAGTTATGGCTTTTAAAGATCCAAATCTCTATTGGCTTCTTTTTTTACATCCTTACAGCTATAAAGGCGAACGCCTTTAGTCTTTTTCTTTTTGAACACATAAATTAATTAAAAATTTGTAAATAATGCTCCACAAACGCTTCTTTCTCAAAGTGAAACGTCCTGACGTTTTCATCTGATTGGTCGTTTATTATTTATAAAAATATAGAGTTTTCTTTTACATGCTTGCTTTTAATTTGTGCAATATTGCACTAGGCTGCGGAATGTCGATGTTTTATTTGTTGACTCATTAATTAATTATTTAATTTGAATGTGATGTTTCAACCACATAATTAGTACTAAGCATAGGTTTAAGACTGTAAAATTTATTATTTTTCTAATGTGATGCTTGAGCTTTCTCGTCCACTCAATTAATCTAAGCTTTTCATGTATTATATTAATACATGCATGCTAATCATCTAGAGTTTCAGATTTTTTTTTTCTCAAACATTGCTAATTATATAATTTAATTTTTTGGTTGATATATAAATAACAAAATTATCTAATTAAATAAAACTTGAAAATTTTGCATATTTCATATATAAATTTATCCACTATATCTAAATTCAAAGATTATTGATAAATTAGCTAACTAGCTTTTTATATCCTTTTATTTTTCTTTATGGTTTTGGTATTTGAAAAAGGTGAAATTCTGAAATAAGAATTCGAGAGTTGAATATTCATTTAGAAAAGAAACAATAATCAAAATTTTACTCATTGTTTGGAACAAATGAATTCCACGAAATTTTGTAGAACTTATTTAAAAATCTATATTTTTCTGTTTAGAATATATATATATATATATAGTGTAGTCATGTTCAATTTTATGAAATGACTTTCTAAAATTGAAATATTATATATATATCTATAAGATTTCAATTTTAGAAAGTCATTTCATAATATAGATTTCAATTTTAGAAAGTCATTTCATAAAATTGAACATGACTACACTGGATCTTACAAAAATATATGGAATTTCTAAATGAATTTCACATACTAAACAATCCAACTTTTTATGATAAAATTACCATTATCTGTATATAAAGTCAAATTTTCACTTTTTTTAATTATTTTATCTTATCAAACTTGACCAAAACCTTTTAAAAATTTTATTTTTTTTAGAAACTTATTGTTATGTTTTTATTTTAATATTTCTCATCTTTTATTTTAATATTTTTTAGCATTTTTTTGTTATCGATGAGAGAGATTCAAATTAAATATCTGTTTAAATTAAATACAATAATTTTATTAATATTATTTTATTATATATATTTATTTTAATAAAAATATAAAAAATTATATAGCATAAGTTAAACATAGTTGATATACTATTTCAAGGATATTTTAGGAAATCAAACCAAATGAATTTTCAATTATAAATTGATTTCATACATGATTTTGTGGAATTCAATTGAATTGCATGTTTTAAATTAATCATACCAAATATTAATAATTCATGCATAAATGAATTCTAACGGATTCAATAATTATTTTTGAAAAACGTATCTTGGTTGCCCATTATAATATCCTTTCAAAATTAATTAAAATTTTAAAAGGTAATGATTATTACATTATAAACAAATATAATGGTAATTAAGTTAAATATTAATTTTCATTTTTCATTTTTCTTTTGTTTTCTTTAAACCAACCAAATATGACACACTTAAAATCTATTATTATTATTATTATTATTATTATTAAAACATAGATATTGTCTTATGTTTTTCTATATTTTGTCATTTTATACCTTGGATTAATGTCTTTTTCCATTCACCAAATGACCGAATGTGCAGAACTCCCAAACACGGTGTACAAGTTTCTAACTTTCTAATATCCTCACACGGGCTCAACTCCAAGTTACAGACCAGCCCATGCGAAAAACTCAGCAAAGGCCCAAAAGCCTTGCTTTCTTCTAGTTTGAAATAAATAAATAAATAAAGGCAAATCTAATCTAATCTCATGGGCCCAACTCCAAGGCTATAATTCAGCCCATTAATAAAAATACCTTCTTTATTTTTACTCGACAAACCCAGTAAGGGCCCAAAAGCCTTGATTGCATGCTAGTTTGAAAACAAAAATGCAAACATTGAACAAAGGCAAATATTTTATTTGCCAGAATAAACAAAATAAATAAATGAAATTGAAATATCTCACTTAAAATTTTCACATATGCCGATATATTATTAAGCAGAGAAATAAGTAAATAATTTCATCTATTAAAAACAGCAATGCTTGTACCAAAACCCATTTGTCACGTAAAATGCAATATGTTGTGATATTCTAAAATTCATGTGTGGGTTCTGTCTCACTATGAAAAAATTACTTTAATTTGGGGTCAATGTAGAAATATCATGTAAGTGTGTGCCTCTATGATAATTTCAGGAAGTATATGCACCAGGTAAATAAATTAAAAGACAAAATGAAACAGTTCATCATTGGATGGAAACCTGCAGGGCAAAAATATAATAAACAAAATACAAAATCTCTATCCACTACCTTTCGCATTGTAAATTTCCATTTTCTCCTACAATTCTGAACGACGTCGTTCTTCATGAGCGGAGACACGAATAGAGAGAAGGAATTCCTTTCTCACACTCAGGTTCCATAAAATAACATTCACGCGCGATTCTATTTGCACACTTTTCAAAATTTTGGGTTCGTGGTTCCTAGTTAGAGCGAGTATACAGTTTAGTCTACAGGCGCGACAAAAGAACTAATGATAAAATTTAAACAACATAGCTTTTTAAAAACCAAGATTAAATGGTTTTAAATATAAAGGATATATGATTATCCACACAGAAATTAATTTTCTCCTGATTTTATATTTATCGCCTCGACCCCTTTGTTCAGACAAAAATAATTTTCGATCCTTTTTCAGTTTCCCTCTCTTTTCGCTTCCTTTGGAGGGAAAAAGCCTCAAAACCATATTCCCTGTTTAAATCTAGGGTTTTAGTTAGTTCAAGTTCACTGTCGTCTTGTTTCTTTAATTTCTCAGCTTACTGGATATGTCATTCTTATTAATTTCACCAGCTGAGTTATTGTAACTTGAAGTTCTGATCTGCTCATGCTCGATTTTGCATCAGGCAAGCATTTCTTGAGCTTACGTTGCCTTACTTATCCTTAGTTCAAGCTTGCTGCTTTCTATTTGATGTAATGCTTATGTTCTTTCTTATTGTTGATTTTTTAGTTGTATTTTTTAAGATTTTAGATGCTTTTTTCTGTTTATAAATGGTTGATTCTGGACGGTATTAGACTCGGGTTTGAAGTTTTTTATGATGTGTTTTTTGATATTTGATGCTAAAATAGAAGTAGAAATCTAGGGTTTGAGCTTGGTTGTTCCTTACATTTATTACCTCCACTTGATTCCTCTACTGGCTCTGATCAGTGCAAACTTGTAAATTTTGGGGCTTATTTGAATAGTCTGTCTAAATTGGTATTTTTTCTTGCTATATCGGGTAAAACAACTTAGTGCTCGCTCATTTAGTTCTTATGAATTGGAATTTGTTGGGCTGAAAGAACTCAGTTTTGTGTACTTCAATTTGTTTGGAGAAGCTTAGGTTAGAAAGTTTGAAATTCAGAATTTGAACTGTTACTAGATAAAATTGTATAGGTCAAGAATTGGACTTGTAACCATTTATGAATGTAACTAGTCATCCAAAGTAAGCACAGATGTTGTAATGTTTACTCAAGTCTTTTTTTATTTTTTATGTTTGTCTGAAGTCCAAATCCTATGGTTTCAAATGCCTCATCACGGATACAGAAAAGAGCCTCATAAAAAAAATTTGTCTCAGTAAATATTTTAGGATCTTATTCCAATATTTTCCATGAGGAAAGAATACCCTTAAGTTTTCTGTAAAGATGGAATGCACATGATAGGGAGTGATACTGAATTGCAGATATTTTTCGGAAGCTCATGCTTTCTAGGTTCCAGTTTCAATCATCTCTTCGATCATTTAGTTGTAAGCATTGGCTTATCTCCGTTCTAGATAATTATTTCTTGCTATTATTGAACAGAGCAGAAATGGAACAATAGATTCATGTAGCCAGCCCAACTAGGTTGGAACTAAGGATTATTGTTGTTTTAATCATTAGGAACTCGTTCTATTCATTCTCTGCTTCTTTTTCTTTTCAAATGCTGTTAATGTATTTTGATTTGAATGTCTATTTTAGTTTCACTTTTTGAGTCAGCAGTTTCTTTTTCTTTATTTTATTTTGGAAATCAAAATTTCCCCTTCAGCTAGTATATTTAACAGTTATGGGGCTTCACAGACATGCTGATTTCACTCTACTGTCAGTAACCTGGTAATTCTTATATCATAGGGATTTATTGAGAAGGCTCAGTTTTATTCTTCGTTTTGCACTTTTATAAACCATGTATTGTATGCTAAGCCATAATCTGTAAAAAAATTATTGCCAATTAATTTTTTATGATTATTAATTTTTTTATGATTATTGACTGTTGTTTAATTTAATATTGAAATCATATAGGATACTCTGCTCAGTACGGTCTCCAATTTAGGATTGCTCTGCTGGTAGGGATAGCCTTCTGAAATTTGTAATATCCTTCCAGCAGAAATGCAAACCAAGAAAAGGGTTTCTGGTAGAAATTCTTCTAGAGAGCATGTCAGTCCAAGAATTTCAAGAACTCAGAAAAAGGCTCCTGATAATGTACAACCTTGTCAAAAAAAAGTCACAGAGCTCATTACATCTTCAGCACGAAAGCAAAGATGTGGTATGTTGCATTCTTCCTGGCTCTGTATATGTATAAACTTCACAATGACTCACACTTGCTCATTAAAATGATGGCACTTTTACTGCTAACATAGATAAACTGCTCTACAATTTTCTCATTCCAAGCTTGTTTCATCTTGTTTTATACTCAAACACATGATAGTACCAACACTAAACATTTTGCTTTGATGCCTGCTCGAGGTAAACATAAACTTCTGAACTATAATAAGAAAATAATGTGATATAGTTCTTCACAAAAAAATGTAATTTATACCATTAGCTGTTTATCCCTCAAGCTTATTCAAGTACTGGAACATATGTGTATATTCAAATTTCAATGCGACCTTTGTTTTTTCAATCTTTGGTTCTTAATTCTCAACAGCCTGTTCCTCCCCTCAAGCCCACAAGACACACACACACAAATTCCTTAATTGTTTACATTTGTACATGGATTATATTAATCAACTCATCATTGCTTTGTCCATTTATTTAGAAAACTAATTGTAATTAGTTCCTTGCAATTATGTAAATTGTATTGTTTGTTCATGAATATGTCAAGCTTTGTCCTCACGTTATCAGTTCTCACATTAAGGCTCCAAGGAGTTTCTAATATCATTGAAATGAGCTTTATGCATTTTGTTTTAAATTAAATGTTGAACTTTTTATTTGCTTAGCATGACTAGTTATGCTTCCAAAATATTCAGTAGGCAGTCTTCCAAGGAATAATGGGGAGCCTGTTGCAACTACGAAATTGAATAATGTAACCAGCTCAGAGCCCAATGACACATCCAATGGTGCTGCTTTATGTGATCTGGGGGATCGGGAGGTAATCATCTAGCTGTGGATGGAGTGCATTTTGTCTTAATGTCTTTGATGTTTCTTTGAGTTTTGAAATGCATTAGTAATGCATGATATGCCCTCTGCCCATGTTGTTACCATATTTCATAGGCAATGTTTAATGCGTAACCTCGATTAATATGTTATGCCAAAGGGACAAATGTAAGGACGGGAAAACTATTTGTATTATTAAATTAAGATTTTTCTGTATGATCGCTTAATTTGTATTGCAGGGTTGTGATGAGGAACCATGTATATTTTCTCCTGCTTTTCGCATATCAACAATTGCTGGAGGGGAAATTGCCAATGAAGGTAGCTCATAACTTTGATCATTTCTTAAACAGAGCTGTTATCTATGTGTGTATTTGTATAATATTTCTGGAATGTTGCTCTTCTGCTCATAATGTTTGTATATGTTGCTTGTTTAGTTAACTTCATCAAAGTGTTTCGGAGTGGGGACCAGAAATTACTTGAGGATTGTGGAACATACCGTTCAACAGTTGATATTCAAGATGGCCATGTTACTCGAGATGCTTTTGAATCTACTTCTGGAGAAGACGAGGAGACATGCCATAATGACATAGGAGTTAATACAAACACATCATCCACAATATTTTCTACTGATACAAATATTGTGAATTCTTCCAATGTAGATTCAGGAGGAGTTGGCCTTTCATCTGAAGTTTCAGCTATATATCTTGCTATGAAGAATTCAAAATTGGAGTGCATTGATGAGTATGATCAAGATTGCATGTCAACTAGGGAGGATGATTATGAGGAATTTGATGATTTTGACCCCTATTTATTCATAAAGAACCTGCCTGAGTTGTCATCAGTTGTCCCCACATTTCGGCCAATGTTGCTTCCTAGACAGACGCGTAGCTGCCCTTCTACCACTCTTGTTTTAGATTTAGATGGTAAGTCAGATATTGCAATAAGTTACACAAATATGGTGTGGCTCAAGCATGCTTATCATGTTTTGTTTTTTGTTTGTTGTTTATTCAGTTGTGCTGCTTGATCTAGATGTGCGTTCAAATCTTGAATGAACTCGTCATGCCATTTATTTTGCTCATCTTACCTTGGTTTCATTGCGTCCATGAAGAATATCGCAGAGCTCTTGCTTCTGCATTTTTCTAAACTTAAAATTTTTATTTATTCTTAATAGAAGATCATGTATTTATATTTACTCTCTTTTGTAATTGACAAGCATAAAAAATTTGATTACTGTGTTAGTATTTGCAGTTTCTTGGATTGTAATTTCCAATAACTGATGCAATGTAAGAATCTGATACAAACATAAGAGATGATGTGAAGATCAGTTGAATTTTCCAATTTTTACATATGACCTGCCTATTCAATATTGACGTATTGGTGGAAAGTGTCAATCATAGAAATTGAATTGTTCTTTTTCTCATTTTGATCTCAGGATCAAGATCTGATGTCTGGTTCCATGTTCTTATGATATTGAATTGGCAGTTTTCATTTTATCTTTTGCTTATCCAATTGTAACATGCATGTTTTACCAGTAATATTCCTTTTCATATCTATTAATACCTTGAAATGTCAAAATTTAATTGAAATGTTGAACTGGCAGAGACTCTGGTGCACTCCACACTAGAACCTTGTGATGATGTAGACTTCACGTTTCCTGTGAACTTTAACCTCCAGGAGCATACAGTCTATGTTCGGTGTCGTCCTTACCTCAAAGATTTTATGGAGAAAGTTTCCAGTCTTTTTGAGATCATTATATTTACAGCTAGTCAAAGTATTTATGCGGAGCAACTTCTAAATGTGCTTGATCCAAAGAGGAAAATATTCCGCCACCGTGTTTACCGCGAATCATGTGTTTTTGTTGAGGGGAACTACCTCAAAGATCTCTCAGTTCTTGGCCGTGATTTATCTCGTGTTATTATAATTGACAACTCTCCTCAGGTACACTAAAGAATTCCTCTGTTATAGTGATTTTCTGCATTTGTCTCCTTTCATTAGGAGCATTCAAGAAACTATCACTGGTGTCAGTATTTGATTTGGTCTAATTGCATTCTAATTATAGGTTGACAGTGCTAGCCATACATTGATGTAGTGATTGGTGTCCATGTTTAAATGAACAGTGTCACCCACTTTTTGGGATGGGATTGTCATCAGTATCTCTGAATTGTTGGAAAGCACTGTAATAACTAGTAACAATAACCATGAATTTGGTTTTACTGTCCATAATTATCTGTTAGATGTCATTACGAACTGTGTTTGCATTAAAAAAATGACAAATTTTTTTGTCTTTTGTAATTGCAAGGATTCTGGAATTTTGTGTAGTTTTTCGAGCTAATATTCCCAAAAGTTTGATGGCTTTATTTTGTTCTCAGGCATTTGGTTTCCAAGTGGACAATGGTATTCCTATTGATAGCTGGTTTGATGATCGTTCAGATCAAGAGTTGCTTTTAATACTTCCATTTTTGGAGAGCTTAGTAGGGGTTGAAGATGTTAGGCCATTGATTGCTAAAAAATACAATCTTAGGGAGAAAATTGCTGCAGCTGCTTATCCTCCTATAAATTCGAATTTGGGAGATCCTTTGGAAAGGTGAGCTTCAATGTGAATTCCAAGTTTCTAATGAGGCTGTCCTATGTTATTAAACAATTTAATTTGAGGAAAATCCAATTCTCTTTGTTGAGAAATCCCCTGGAATACTTAAAATTTCAAATTCAAGTGTGATTCTAACCAGATAGAATGAATGTGTTGATTGTTGTAATTGTGCTTGAGTTGGAACCTTCCTGTGAGGAAGATGGTTCATTATAGTTGATACAATTCAAGTTAGCTGGAATAAAGATATTCTCTGGTTTAATACACATGTACTGTGAAAGGCTGTTATCTTACATGGAACTACCACAATTTGAAACAACAATTTTCATGAGAATTTGCAAATGAATTCTGTTTTTTTGTACTCGATGGTGGTAAAGTTGTAAATGGCTATAAAATGCCAATGTGTGATGGAGCGAGAGCGGTTATATGTGCTGTGTGCAAATACTGGACATTGGCTTAGTTTTTGTGCGGGGTACCCATGTCTTTTTTGGTCGATGGATATTCTGGACTTCAAAGGTAATCGATGAATCAAGCCAAATCAACTCGGTTTGGTTTAAATTCTTAAGCAAGAATGATGCAATTAGAACTGGATTGCTTATACAACTAAAACTCCTTGAAATCGGATCCTGGTTGGTCCTGTATTTATGCTTAAGCCAAAAAGTTTCCTATATCTATATGAAATTAAATTTTGTGAAGTCCACGATTTTTTTCTTTAAAAAAAAAAAAATGCTGAAAAGATACATCATAAACCAAACAAAACAGGACTACAAAAGGAACAAAAAAAGCCGGGATTGGAAATTAAAATTGAAAAAGAAAATTGAGGAATATGCTTTGGAAGGATGAAATCCTTCAATACTGATAAAAAGAGAAGAAGCCGTACATTTGCAATCTATGGATTCAGAAACCAAATTGAGCATATTCAAGCATTTTACCAGTCACCAAAACCATAGCATTCGTGGGTTTCAGGATTCTATACCCAAACCCAATGCACCACTAACACTGTTATAAGCAATTGCTCGACCCAATGGGCCTATGGCTCCGTGGTGCCAATATCCAGTCATCCCATCATTTTCTATGAAATGACAAAAATATGCGGTACTATTCATTTATTCTCCATTCTCCTTGCGGGAGTTAACCACGGTACTCTCTTGCGAACCATGGTTAACTCCCCAACGGTCTTTAAATACCTTCAAATTCCCTCCTCTTTGGCGCCACTCTCTCCAATTTTCTATTTCGATTCAAATTTTCGAAGCCAAACACTCTTAGCTCTCTCTCTCTAGGATTCTCAGTTTTCCTTGGAAACTCCACAACAATGGTGGGCAGATTTTTAGTTTATTTTCAAGCTTTTTTTCCTTTCTCTAATAGTTTTTCCGTTCCAACTCTTCTTAGTCTTATGGATTTCCGTTTCAGGTTGTTGCACAGAAAGTTAAGGAAGCGGAGATCACCGAGCAGGATTCACTTCTTCTGGTATTGACGATTAACTATGCTGTTCATTTTAAAATTTTTAGTTATAATTTCGATCTGAAACTTGTGAGCTCCCTTTGGCTAAAATTTTTAAACATTACCTGATTTTGGTAAATTTTGCTTTTCACTCATCGTATGATTCTTCAGATACATTTGTTTTTTCTTTATCGAATTTTTAAGCACTTGTTGGAAGTTTCTTTTCTGTTAAAAAGGTAAATTCTCCAATCAAACATGCACTAGAAATGCTCGTTAGGTAAAATTCCAAAACATTTTTTATTTGACCTCGCTTGAGTTTTTTGGACTGATTTCAGAAAATCTGGATATAGAACAGTATAATGTCCCGAAATTTCTACTTATATATGATATTTTGAGCTCAATGTCGTGTGAGATCATGGATCTGGTTAATTAATTTTAAACAATTTCATAATCATAAATTCATGCCTTGCGTTGAATATTTGGCGATTTTTAGCACAAATTCTAATACCTGCAGATTTGCGCTAAAAATTTTCGAAGTAGTAGAAATTTATTTGATAAGATCTCTCTGTTCATGTTTTTTGTTTGTTATAATTTGCTTTAAGTTTGTTTGCGGTTAATCTGTTAAATCTGGAGTCGACAATGCTCTAATTTTAACAATCATCAATAATCACTTGAAATCGACTCTGTAATGCTATTCTGTTAAGTCTAAGTTGATCTTCTGTTGTTTCTATTTATTGTTCTTTTGAATAGACAAGGAACCTGCTCCGTATTGCCATATTCAATATTAGTTACATCAGAGGCCTCTTTCCAGAGAAGTATTTCAATGATAAATCTGTTCCTGCTTTAGGTGCACTTTTTCTGCTGTCATTTTCTTTTTTAATTTCACAATTATATGAGATGTTGATTTTTTTTTTAATATATATTTCAAATTATGATATCAACAGAGATGAAGATTAAGAAATTGATGCCTATGGATGCGGAGTCTCGTAGACTGATTGATTGGATGGAAAAAGGCATGTGGTTTCTGGATGATAATGTTATTCACTGCCTTTCTATCAGATCTAGTCAATTTTATTTAATTGAATTTAACAGTATTATCAACCTTCATTTTAGGTGTCTACGATGCATTGCAGAAAAAATACTTGAAGACACTTTTATTCTGTGTGTGTGAGAAAATAGAAGGCCCAATGATTGAGGAGTATTCATGTAAGTATGATATCTAACTAATGACGCTGTGCATGTGGCAAAATTGTGAATGGAAGGATAATGTTTAGCAAAGATGTTGTTGTCATGGTCTAAGCAGTAGACTATTATAATTTGGCAATTTCTGAAAGACACTGATTGTCAACTAGAAATTACTTGGATTGGTAATTAAGTATATTTGGTTTTATTTCTTTTTTTGGAAAAAATTTTAGTATTATGTGTTATTTTGCAGTTTCCTTCGGCTATTCTAGTTCTGATAGTCAAGAGGTTTCAATGAATATCAGTCGCACTGGAAACAAGAAACAGGGAGGCACATTCAAGTGTAACTCCACAACAGAAATTACTCCCAACCAGATGAGGTGATAGCAACCACATTCCCTTTTTATTCTGAAGTTTATGTTCTAAACTGTTTGCTTTTTTTGATTCGTGGCACAACGTTATAATTCAGGAGTTCTGCATGTAAAATGATCCGTACATTGGTTCAATTGATGAGGACTCTGGATAGGATGCCTGAAGAGGTAAATCCATTAGAACTAAATAATGTATTGTCTACTGTCTGACACTGCAAGCTGCTTGCTTTTTGGACATGCAAAGTTTAACTAGAAGATATGGGACAATGCACATGTATACTGATTGCTAGAAATCTGATTTTTCTCTTTTTTATTTCAGCGCACTATACTGATGAAACTCCTCTACTATGATGATGTGACGGTATGTCAAATTAAATTAACTGCATTCTTAAAATAATTTATATGCCATTGCACCAAAAAATTGTTCTTGCATTTCCTAATGTTTCTAACTCAAGCATCATGGTCATTTATTAGATTCTACTTTTTTTGCCATCTATAGAAATTTTGGTGTTTTCAAACATCTAGGATGCCGATATGATTGTGACAAAATTTTGAGCTGCTTAAGGCTTGTGATGCATGTGAAGTTCATGAAAATTTCTCTTTTTGCATACGAGAGAAGGGTTGGGTGGAGAAACTGAGAAGTCAGAATAGTTTTCACTTTCCATTTACCTTGAACATGAGAAAAGAATATTATGCAATTTTTTGACCTTGCAGCCAGCAGATTATGAGCCTCCATTCTTCAGAGGCTGTACAGAAGAGGAAGCCCATAACCCATGGACTAAAAGCCCTCTCAAAATGGAGGTTGGGAATGTTAACAGCAAGCATTTTGTACTTAGTCTCAAGGTAGGGGCTGAAACTTGTTGGTTAATGTCTAGAATTCAGATCAAGGCTTGTGTTTCTGATCAGTTTTTCGTTAACTGGTAACTTTTATAGGTAAAGAGTGTGCTTGATCCTTGTGAGGATGAAAATGATGATATGGAAGAAAATGAAGCTAGCCTAGGAGCTGATTCACTACAGAAGGATGATTCTTCTGAATCTGACAGTGAGGTGAAGTTACTTTATTCCTTTAATTTTCTGCTTTAGCTTCTGCTTGAGGATTCGATTGAGCTTGAATGATGAGATTGGACAATGATATATAATACAATAATCTAACTTATGAATACTAACCTTTTCCTTTCTACATTTGTCGTGAAATCAGATTAACCAATCACAAGAAGATCGATATATAGTCGCACCAGTGGGTAATCACATGAACTCTTTCCACTGTTACTTATACTCAAGTTATCTTGTTGTATTTGGAGAGATTGATACTAAGTAATCCTACTTATCTTGACAGATAAGGAACGACCAGAGGAAGGCAATAGCATGGTTTGTGAAGGTAAAATTTCAATTTGCATAGAAGACTTAGAACGGTGTTCACGTTATAAAGGGGATTAGCCACATAAACACATGGCCTTTTCAAAACTAAAACTCAAAAATTCAACCTAAAATTTAATAAGTTGGTCTCTTGAGATTTGACTACATTTCCTTTTTCGTTTTTCTTTTTGGTTGAGAATAATTTCATTGGCTTGCCAGGTGTTGGATTTATCACTGGGCAGGGATACTATTTGGTTAATTATCTGGTATATGTTGTGCAGATGATACTCAGGATCCAGAGGAGGATGAACAACAGTTGAATCGGGTGAAGGACTGGATCACTGGTCATCACCTTGACACTGTTGGACTTAATGATGTTCTCTCCAATTTCCCTGATATCTCAGTGGTAAGAGGTTTTCTTCTTTTCTTCTGTAAATGTTCCTTTTATATGGTGGACAGAAAAGGAAAATGTAATTATGTACACCTAGTTGATTGGGATTTTCACAATTGGCTGTTGACGTTCGCTTATTAATGCAGGCTTTGACTGAAGGTAATTGGAGCTATTGATAATTCTTAAAGCTTAAATAGGAAAGTGAATTGCTGCAGTTTTTATTTTCTAAAATTTTCTTAGCATGTTATTCTTTAATTTTGGTTCCTGTTCATTGGATTTTCAGAAATTATGGACAAGCTTGTCAAAGAGGGGGTCTTATCAAAAACTGCGGCAGATACTTACACCAAAAACAAGCAAAAGGTTCTATTTCTGTTCTATTGGTTCACCTTCATTTCCCAATCGATCTCTTTTGTTCATAGTCCTTTTCTTTTGTGACGGAACACAATACTAGAAATCGAACTTTGAGTTCACCTTGGTGAAAGAGGAATTGGATGGCCAAGTAATCCCAAACAGTAACAAAGCTCTGCAGGTCGATGATCACATGTACATGAAGGTCAGTTTTCCTATGTTGCTGATTAGGTTTGAACTGTGAAGCTCTAAACTCATCATTTATCTTATCAGAGCAACAGAGCACCTTTGCCTGTTAACTCTTAGCAATGATCTGTGGTCTGTCCAGGTCAATTTGAGACTAATCCTCCTTCCTTGGTTGACCCTTCTTTAGAATCACTATCCATAAAATGTTGCATTATGTTGACAAGAGTTATAGTGTTACTACTTGAACTCAGAAGTCAGCAAATTTTCTGACAGTATTGCATTTAACATTAGCTGTCAAATGAAGTCCTTTAACTCTGAATGTGCACTGAAAATCAGTTGATTTTAATTCAAATCTATAATTATTGCAATTTTATTCAATATTTTTTGAGTCTCCAAATTTATAAGATTTGCAATTTGTCAAAGAACTCAATATAATCAACAAAATTTGAGACAAAGTCTACATGAGCGCATTAAAGAACTGACAACTGACTTTTACTTTCTACAATTTCAGGCTTTATACCATGCTCTTCCAATGAATTATGTAACAGTTACAAAGCTTCAGAGCATGCTAGATGGAGAGGCAAATCAGACCACTGTGCGCAAACTAATTGATAAAATGACCCGAGAAGGTTACCTAGAAGCCAAAGGCAACCGCAGGCTAGGTATGTTGGCAAAACATAGGCTCTCCATTTTAATAATTGGACGATCCAACTGCGGTGAATTTAATATTCTTCTTTCACAGGCAAGCGTGTTATACATTCAATTCATACTGAGAAAAAGCTTATGGAAGTGAAGAAAGTCTTGAACAATGATGCTATGGTGATAGATATGATACTCAACCTGTTCATATTTAGTTGCAGGAATTCGTTTTTCTAATTGTTTTTGCATTTTGATCAGGACGTTGATAATAACGAACAAAATATCAAGTCCAACCATTTAGAATTCCAAAAAATAGGTATTTGCCCCAAAATTTTTTTAGAATATCGTTTTGACTTCGTACAATACTGTTCCTTGTTCTCCCAACTCCAACTGAATTTTTTTTTTTCTTTAATTATCAGGGAATGACTATCGGGATGCCTCAACATGTGGTGTCCTTCACTCAATTGGATCAGATCTTACACGCATGAGGGTAAGATCTGACATTAATCATAATGGATCCATCAGGAGTGAGCAGACTATCTCAAGGACAAAGGAAAACGGCAACACTCCCACAAGCAGAGCTGAGGTTACTACATTTTTGGACAACTAATCCTAATAGAACTGTTCTACAGGCGACTAATGATTTACTGTTGGCACGTACAGCCAGTTATGTCAAGAGAAAGTTACGCTCGAGGAAATGAGAATGGCAGAGCAAATGGGAACTCTAATTATTGTGATGAGGCAGATGCAGTTATCTGCAGCATATCCACCCAAGAAAAAAGGACCAGGAAAACAAGCTCTGTAAGCCTTAAATTCCTTACCAATATCTATAGTCCATCACCTATATCTAGAGCCTCCATATTTTCACAATTCATATGGGTTTGGCCTCCTCTTCCTTTTCAGGTTAAGGAGCCTATTATTCAATACATGAAACGGCAGAGATCTCAAGCCTTTTGAAAGACTTTTGTGGAGTCCAATATCCTCCAAATTCCTTTCGTTTTAATTAGAAGGTAACCATGTCATTTGCCGTTTAGATATACACGCCCTAGAAATGCTGACAGGATAATGGATAGCGATTTTCGTGTATAGAAAAGGAAACTTAAATCAAATAGGCCATTACTGCCTTCCTTTTGTTATCTACGTACTTGAATGATTATCCAGTCAATGTTAACCATGGCTGGTTTTCCTAGGTTATGCTGTTTGCCATAGCTTAATACGTGGGGACAAGGGATATAAACTAAAATTGTTTTCCTTTTCATTATTATATCATTCTAGCTCTTAGCACTTTGGTCTCTACCATATTATTATTCTAATCTTATCCTTAGTAGTGGCAAGTTTTAGAGCCCATGGATTAGCGTTTATTATATCTATTATTTTCCACCAAGCACCTAGGATTTAATTTTTTGACGCCATGATTCTTCACAAATGTCATTTTCGTATGCGAGCTTCCAATGGACTTGCCTCATCATATAGGAAGTTATAATATATCCAGAAAGGTAATATCAAATCTAGAATCGAGATAGTTTAGTCGCTGGATTATTTAGGATGTTGACCCCCTATCTGTCTCTGTGCAAAAATCCAATATGAACATAATAATTAAGCTGGAATCAGTATCTAATTAATTAATTAATATTTAAATGCACACTTCACTAATTACTGGGATACAAAAAAATTTTCCAAGTGAGTAATAATTTCAAAGAAGAGTGTCCTGACGTAGTTTAGTGCAACCATTTACATGAGAAAATACATTTCAAAGAAGAGTGCCCTGACGTAATAATTTCGCTTCATTTAATTATTATAGATATTATTTTTAGAAACATATAAATTTAATGATTTAAAAATAACATAAAAATTTTATCTAAGTTTTTAAATACAAATGAACAGTATTACTGCCTTGGAAGAGATTATTAAGGGTTGAATATGAAATTTTATAATGGATCGACTTGCCGGTATAATGGAAGGAAGAATTGAGTGGAATATGTACAGTTAATGTTATATAATTAAAAATTAAAATGCAGTTCATCCTTTTAATGTATCTAAACTAAATACATTTTCTATCTTTTTTTTCCCTCTCGTTTCTCACTCTCCCAAACATAACAAGATTGTCCTAATTAGTATTCTAAAGTAATCCCATATTTATATTAAAAATGGCACAATTTGATTTGATTTTTTTTTTTTTTAATTTTATCTATCACTTTAAAAATTAATGAAATATTAATTATTTCCTTCCATTTCTCTTATTTTTTTGATGTTTCACCAAGCATAGATAAATTACTTACAGTATTGAAAAATAAAGAGAATTAATTACAATTTTGTTCTTGAAATGGTTCGATGATTTCTTTAATTTTATACAATTTAAAAATTATATCACTTCTAATAAAACGATACAATTTAAAATCATATTCTTTCGAACGGACAGGAGGGAAAAACCGCCACACTTGAAACATATGATATTTTTAAAATAGGGATAAATATACATTGTAAAGATATAGATATACATTTTCAATGGCTTTGATTAATCATCTTTCTTGAAAAATCGGTAATAAACAGATTCATCTAATTTGCAAATTGTTTTTTTAAGAAATAGGTAGGGTAGGGATTACTTTATTTATTTTTTAGATTTTGTTTTTTTAAATATTTTATCTTTTTTAGAAAAGAGATATAAAATAATATAAATTTTAAAAATGAAAAAAAGATGAATTAAATATATATATTTATGCTGGTATTATTTATCGGGTAAAATGATCCATTTTTAATAATTCAGTACATCATTTTTAATCCTTTAACTACTGAATTAAAATAAAAAATTTCATTCAAACACTAAAATAGAAAAAAACAAAAAAATTTGAAGACATTTGATAATGTCTTTAAACGGACTTTTCGTTTTAGCTTTCTTTTTCCTTTTACTGCCAATGTTGCCCTTTCTTCAAAAGATCACAGCGAAGCTCAACTCTATCAAAAGGCTTTTAGCCTATTATAGTCTTATACTAAAGCCAGAAAAGCTTTTACCATATTTCCACAGCCAAAATGCCACGTGTTGTTCTTGAAGCCTCTACATTCTCCTAGATTAACAGTCTATATGGTCCCACTCTATAGATTCTCCAATTTCACCGATTTAATTCTGATCCAATCGGGACCCACCCAATACTAATGAGATCACCTTTCCACCGTCCGATCATTTCAATGGCTTAGATTCATTTGGTGCTTCTTTACACTACACTTCCCATTCTTCTTTTATATAAAACGCACACTGCTATTAGAATAATTGAAATTTCAGTTACAAGCAACAAGAAGAAGCTAAGAAGAAACACCGAGCAGAATAAAAGGTTTGGAATCTTCGTTTCCTTTCTTGCTTTAATCTGTTTTTTGATCTGTTTGTGGAGCTAACCGTCGATCGGTTTTGATGTTAAAGATGGAGGGCGAGAAGAAGACAAATTCGGGACCAGAATTGAGACGCTTAGGGTTCGTAAGGATTGCTGCTATTCAGACTTTGGTGTATGTTTCGAATTTATACAATTACGCCAAGCAGAACTCTGGGCCTTTGAGATCTACGGTTGGTACTGTGGAAGGTGCTGTTACCGCCGTAGTTGGCCCAGTCTACCGGAAATTCAAGAACGTGCCTGATGATCTTCTTGTGTTTCTTGATAAGAAGGTAAGTATTATATGGTAGTTCTTTGTTTGGATCATTGTCTTGTTTGATTTCTATTTTTTCTTTTAATTATTGACAAGATTGATTGGATCAATCGTTCTGTTTTTGAATCTTCAGCTTATGCTATAATTTTGCTTAGTTTGTTGGTGTTAAAATTTAATGCGTCTTTTAGCTGCTAAAATGTAATCCTTTATAGGCTTGAGGTATTTCGTGTGGTTTGGTGATAGATATCAGATGATAGTTGTCGCTTGACAATTTTTTTACCGCTTTATAATTGGCAACTTCTTTAACTCTAAATATTACTTTCAATGAGCTGAATTTTGAGTTGGAATTGCATCTCTGTTACTCTGTTAGCGTTGAAGCTTTGAGCTTTTCCTGTAAATTACATATAAATTCCTTTATGAGCAATCATTCATTTTGATTTGAATTAAGCCTATACGGAAAAAGAACTGCCATTTTTGTTCTTTCAATAGCCTTGCGCACATGAAGCAGAACTAATCTGCCATTTGGCTGCTGCAGGTAGATGAAGGCACACAAAAGTTCGATAAGCATGCTCCACCAGCTGCTAAGCGAGCTGTGAGTCAAGCCCAGAGTTTGATACAGGTAGCTTCGCAGAAGGTTCAAGAGCTTGTGCATGAGGCTAGTGTTGGAGGACCACGAGCTGCTGTGCATTATGCAGCTACAGAGTCTAAGCACTTGGTCTTGAACCAATCTGTGAAGGCATGGACTAAGGTCAACCAGTTTCCCGTCATTCATAAAGTTGCAGATGTGGCCGTTCCCCCAGCTGCTTATTTATCAGAGAAGTACAACCATGTTGTTAAGGACTTAAGCCAGAAAGGGTATACGGTTTTTGGTTATCTGCCTTTGGTTCCAATTGATGAGATAGCCAAGGTATTTAAACAAGATGAAGCAGAGAAGAAAGGAAATGCAACTGGACATAAATCTGATTCATCAGATTCAGATTAGAAGATTGCATTTTAAATCTGATATTGTTTGCTTATTCTAGTGTAGTGGTTTCTGAAAATATAGTAGGACTTGTGGGTCTGAGAAGAAATGCTAAGAGATGGCAAGTGTGTAAATCTCTTACTTGTGATTATGAATGTTGGATGGTTTGTAAATTCTGCCTTGTACTTTATGGATATTTGTCCTTGATGGATACTTCTTGAAGTTTCTTATCATATTCAACTAGTATTGGGAAGTTTGTTATTGAAAAAGTTCAATTATTGTTAGGTTCATTGTCCTTAAATTTGAAACCAAGAATATAACTTTGGAGCTTTATCATCATCCGCTACTTCACATATTGTCAAACGCGTAACTATTTAAGCTAATTCGAAACTGCTTGAATAATAATTTGTTCACATTTTATTGTAAAATGAAGATAAAAGGTTAAGACCTAGGAGAAAGCTACTAAAAGATTTGAGCTAGCTGTTGGCAAGGTATGGCTGACTTGACTCATTGAGCTTTTTGTATGCTATAGAAGGCTCCATAGAGTTGGATATTTATGGAATACAATTTCAAAACGTGTAAATCAACATTTGAATCTCTTAGGAATTGTATGCTAATTACAGAGAAAGAGTGAGGTCAGACGAGGAAGATGATCAACATTTAACAAACACAGATTCCATGAGAGAGCTCCATGAACAATTATTCAACATCAACTTGTCTCAAATCTTTTATGATTATTATAAACTATCAAATGATATTGCTGGAGACAAATTACAAAAGTTCAACAGTACAAAAGCATAAAATCCATTCTTCGTTCTCCTTCCTTCCATTAAGAAAGCTCCTTATAAATATGTTTTTTGCCACTGAGTTCTCTGCATCAGTGAAACATAAGTCCGAATTAATCTGAGTGGACTAAACAAATAAGCAGACTCCATATCATTTTTCTTCATTAACCTTGCATAAAATAGTGAGTTCATTTATATGGGAAAAGTTCTATTTCACCAATGATATCTTCAATTATTAGCATATCTAATGAAGTCATATGGGATAATGGCATGCAAAACTACAGGTATAAAATGTCCAAGCCAGTTGCTTCTCATGGAATGGGTAATTAATACGAGGATTTGTGCACAAACTTGTGAAGAAAAATAGACATAAATGCACATATGAATCTGACTCATCATGAAGTTTACAATGACAAATATTTCAAAATTATACTTAGAAATGCTTAATAGCTTCTGACAAGGACCAAATTCATAAAAGTTTTCTGCTTCAATTCCATTCAAACCATTTAACTCCAGTAATGAAACTGACATTCCACTTAGAACTCTTCAAAAATGACTAGTCCTCTGAAGCTAATATCCTAGACGTTTGAGGTGATCAGATGATCAATAGTCAATGCAATACCAGAGAGGCTACAAGCCAGAGATCAATTAAAATATAAACCACAGAATTGCTTCAAATGGATCTTTAATTCTTTATAGATCATACTCAATAACAATTATATATGCACCACACAAACACTTCAAGCATAACATTGCCTCGTCAAAATTACTGATAATTTATGAATAATAAAACAAACAAACAAACCAACAAAGAACACTGCATTTCTTAAATTAATTTCATTGCACCTTCCAAGCAACTTCATACTCAGCATAAATCACTTCATACTGATAGTTTATGAATAACAAAACAAACAATCAAACGAAAGAATTAAATTAGTTTCATTGCACCTTCCTAGCAACTTCACACTCAGAGAATCACTTTAGGAATAACATTACCTCATCAAAATTACTGAAATTTTATAAATAATGAAAAAAAAAACAATCAAACGAAAGAACACTGCATTCCACAAATTGATTCCAATACAGCTTCCTAGCAATTTCACACTCACATAATCATGCAATCGACAAATTCATCAAAGACTCAAGAGTAACAATTTAACTCTAAATGCTTGAAATTATTCAACATATTAACAAAATCTCATTGAAACAAATAAAGACAAGAACCAAACAACCCAAAACTCCAGCGCATACAAAGATAATCCGGAAAAAAAAAAAAAAAAAAATCAAACGAAAGAATTTCAATTAGTTTCAATTGCACCTTCTAGCAGACTTCACACATCAGGAGGAATCACTTTAGGAATAGACATTACGTTCATCAAGATATTACTGGAAATTGTTATAAATAATGAAAAGAAAAAAAAAAACAATCAAACGAAAGAAACACTGGCATTCCACAAATTTGGATTCCAATACAGCTTCGCTAGCAATTCACACTCACATAATCAATTGCAGATCGAACAAATTCATATCAAAGACTCAAGAGTCAAACAATTTAAAGCTCTAATAGTGCTTGAAATTATTCAACAAGTATTAACAAAGATCTCATTGAAACAAATAAAGACAAGAACCAAACAACCCAAACTCAGCGCAATACCAAAGATAATCGGAAAAAAAAAATAAAAATAAATTATTCAATGAACTTGGATAAAATAAATTTTAATGCGCAAATTTCCTATGAAAAAAAAAAAAAAAAAAAATCTTTATTCAATGAATGGATAAATAAAGTAATGGCAAATTTCTATTCAATAATAACACCAACCTTCATGTTCATTTACGGGAGTCATAGCTATCTTGAAGGAGGTCATCATAGGGGTCCCTTCGGCCAGGCACCTGACTAATCTGAGCATCCCAAGCGAGCTGTGAATTATGGCGCTCAAATGTCCAAAATCCATAAGGACGGAGAGGGTAACTCCACATTTCCTTTGTTTTCTGGCATCGATCTTTCATTGCATACACATGTTCCCTAAATTTGCGATCCCTCTCCTTTGGATCCTCCATTAATCTCAAAATCAAATTCTCAGCGAATTCCATGATAAATCCCATCTTTACTTGAAAAAAAAAAAACCCTAGAATTTCAAAGCAAATAAATTAAAATCTTACTGAAACCCTAGAAAAAGTGCAAGAGATTAGATCGATTCGATGAATTCAAATCAAAATGGACAAAATCACTTAGATATGATAGAACTGAACGCACCTAATCAGAGATTCAAATTCGCGAATGACAGAAGCGCTTTCGGCTTTAGCTGCTAGACTCTTCTTTTGCAATGGCAAATTAACAAGAAGGACAACTAGATGAAGATGATGGAAGGAGCTGGAGACGAGAAATGGGCCGAAGCTAAGGCCTTTTACATTCCATCCTTCATGTTTCCCTTGCTATAATAAGCTCCTAATTGTATCATATCTATTTTGTACTATTTTACTTTTTCTTTTTTTTTTTTTAATTTCTCCTCACTTTAACCTAGACGGTATTCAGGTAAAACTTTTTTATAGTTGAAAACAAAATATCTTTTTGATACATAAATTTTGAAGTTTTTAACCATATAGAGAAAATTTATCTACAAATACGGTCTATTTGTAATTATCTAACTGTCTGATGATTAATTAAAAATATGATTAATTAAAAATATAATTACCCATTGACTTGATTGGCACAGTAACTCTAGTATCTTGTACAGATCAAGAGAAAAAGAAAAAAGAAGAGGCAGCGCTTATAAGATTCTTATTTTTATTCTTTTTGCAAATTGGTCATGAGATTCCAATTACTTTTAGCTTTTTTTTTTTTTTTTTTTTTTTTTTGCAAATTGGGTCATGAGATCCCAATTACCTTTTAGCTTTTTTTTTTTTTTTTTTTTTTCAATTTCATTTCCCAAATAACTTTGAAAATTCACCTACTTTGTCGAAATGAAAAGAGGCATTGGACTTTTTTTTTTTTTTTTTTTTTTTCAATTTCCATTTCCATAACTTGAAAATTAACCTATTTGTCGAAATGAAAAGAGGCATTGGACTCTGAAAATAGTGATGTAGGATGTGGCAATGAATTTTCCACATTACGCCATCGAATTATTATTTTGAATGACACAGATAACTGATTTAAATTAAATTCCTTTAAATCAAATTCTTCAATATTGTTATATTTCTTTTTAGTCTAATTCTTTTGAAAGAAAATGAATTTTGGAGAAAAGAAACCTAAACTAAATAATAATAATAATAATAATAAATGATAATGATATGAACAAGGAGAAATTGTAAACAGAGGCTTAAGCTAGAAACAAACTGTAAACAAAAAGAAATTAAATTTCCTTAATTACCAGTACAGATAGTACTGAATGTGAATTGGCAGTACAGAATCAAAAAAAGCAGTGGAAAAGTATTTGTGGATCAGCTCTCTGCACTCTGCAGACAGTTGCTTTCAAGTTTCAACCACAAACTGCAATCCCCAACTAATGGCATTAAATGGGCTGGGCCTGGACCACCTATTTATTTAGTTACCCAACTTTCATTTTCCTAGGCTAATGTCATAATCCCATAACGTTTTTTTTAGACAATAACGTTTAGTATTATTAAAATATTAAATACTAATAAAAAAATTGACGGTAACTAAGATAGTTAAAATAACTATATTTGGGCACATGACCTAAGTGAAATGACAATAATAATAATAATAATAATAATAATAATAATAGTAGGGAGAAAAACATTGAGATTGGCAAAATTAGCTTAAAAAATGAAATTGTGAATGAAGATATCTCTAAGGATTTTATTTATTTATTTTTTTTAAAGTAAAAATAAGTGCACATCCACCATAGGATGTTGCCTCTTTATGGGAATATTTTTTATGTGTTGTATATTATTTGCCCTTTTGTGAACAGGGCATAAAGCTAATAGTAGCACAAAAACACCACACAGTGGATCCACTAGCAGAAAAATGGATATCTCTCCCACTAGTTGCATTTCTTTTTTATCTTTTCTTCTTTCAAGTTTTAATTTTGTTGGTCATAGCATTTGATGGCTTTTCTACTTTTTTGACCACCACACAGAAAAAAAAAAAAAAAAAAAGTTGAAAATTGCTATAATTATTAATCTAACCCATGAAGGGAAGTGCTCCTAAGATAAATTTTAGGAGTTAAATTTGACTTTCTTTAACATCTATTAATATAAAATTCCTTATCTTTACCTCAAAGCTAAGCCATTTCTTTAGCAAATAAACAACAAATGGGATTATATATTTTGCATGTGGTTGTTTGCCTATTTACCTAATTTTTCCTTTTTTAATCTCTCTTTTAAGACACATATCAAACATGTTGCTCTTAAATCTTCATCCCATCATAGGGTAGGCTACCCTTTGTATCCTTCGTTGCTAGGTCAAAATAGTTCACCTATACCCACGTTATTCACAATAAATGGCATAAATAATCAAGAAATTTTAAAAAAATATATGGAAAACAAGGTTAAAAATTGGCGGAATTTGCACTTTTTTTTTTATAACTTACCGAAATTAAGTTGACTCTATAGTACACAAAAGTGAGGAATAAAGAGAAGTTTAAATTAAAAAAAAAAAAAAAAAAATTCTTGCCACACGGCCCTAGCCCAGGGCACCACCATCGAAATGCAGCCGTTTAAGGACATATGCCCTAAGCCCCTGCCCTTTTTTACTTTTCTTAGGATCCTAACACCTCATTCCCTAATCCACCACCTACAATTTAAATTAAAGGAACAAAAATAGTTAACAAAAAAAATAAAAAAGAAAAAAGTACCCTTGATATCTCCGATATACCCTCTGTACAAACAAGAGGAACAAAACTTCTGTGCTATTCAACGACCATATAGTAAAAGTTAAATTTTCATTTCCCGTTTACGAGCCGTTAAAACTCACAGGACTCTGTCGTTTCCGTCAGTCTCCGTCACTGTTATCTTTAACGTCATTCGCTGCCAATGATGGCGTTTTGGTTCCCCTCCCCACCAGCCTCAACATCGCCACCCTCACCTTCCTCGTCCACCCATCGTTCCACCGGGGCACACTCTTCCTTATGTCTCAACTTCCAATCAAGTGCTTGGCACGCGCGTGAGCAGTAATTCACAGCTCCACAAACGGAACACCTTCGAAACTCGTGTTTTCTAGTCTCGGGTCGTCCACAACCCACGTGAGAACATAACCGTAGCCCTGAACCCGGCGTACCGCCCCGAGAAGCAAACCAATCAGCCATGAACCGGCTCGCCGGGTGTGCTTCGGGAGCCGGAACATTACAACCGAAATCGCTCAACAAAGGACAACCAGGGCCACTCGCGAGCCTGTGGTTAGGGTGGGCGTGTGGATTCCAAGTAAGCCAAGCACGAGTGTTTAATCCAGAATTAGGGTTAGAAAGCACAGCGGCTAATTCCCGAGCGTTAGCTTGGACCAAAAATCGCCGTCCTTCGGCCACGTTTTGCCGGACGCCGTAACCGTCCTGTAGGCAGTGACCAAGCTCCCGAAGGGCGTCGATATGGCCCAGAAAGGCAGCTCGGGCGCACAGAGCCACTCCCGCTCGCAGGTCCTTGTCGTTTTTGGAGCCACCACTGCCATTGAACTGTATAACCGCAAGAGAATATAGTGCCGGCGCGTGCGAACTAATCGCCGCCTTTGCCATTAAAGAAGCCCCACTCCCTCGATTTTGCAAACAGTAGAACCGAATCTGCAAAAAACCAAAATCAACACCAATTTAGCTTTTTCCATTATCATCATGTTTATAAAAAAAAAAAAAAAATTCTTTTTGAACTTCTTGTCCAGAGAAAAATTATAATAGATAGAATAAAATGAAGAAACATATAATTACCATGCCAAGAGTATAACAAGCTTCAACATTTCCGGCGTCGGCACACAGTTTCAAGAATCGGTGAGCGGAATCCGACCAGTTTTTTGCTATTATAGCAAAGGTTTTTTGAGAAGCTTTAGATAGTACCAGAGAATGAAGGCCTAACCCATTTAATCTCTTGCATCTGTTACCATTTAAAAATAAAATAGAGTTAAAATACAATATCTCAAACAATCGTTTCATTTCTTCATTTGCACGTTCAAAATCAAAAACTTTAATTTATTCAACCCTAATTCTAAACCAATAATGGAATTTTTATTTCCATTAAAGGAAAAAGGAAAATCCGAAACAGAAGGGAATTATAGAAGAGGAACGAGGAGAAGATGATATACGTTATCAAAACGTTGATGAAATCGGACGGACAGGAGGCAGAAGAGCTAATTTTGCAGAGAATACTCAAAACAAGATCATCAGGTAAAGTATCAAACAAGTCAGTTTCTCCGGCAATCTCCGGCGATAACCTTTGCCTTTTCCGGCAAACCATTTTTTCTCCGGTGGTGGTGTCTCCACCCTTTCTTCTCTTCACTAACCTATTATCTAAACCAACTTCTCTTGTTCTAGGATAGCAAAGGCCTCTCCTTGTTCTCATTTCTGTACAACTCTCTCTATATGGTTTGTTTTTGTCTCTCTTTCTTGAGAGATAAAGAGAGAAAAAGCGAAGCGAGACCTTATATAAAAGAGAGAAGCAAAGAGACCAACAATAACAACGACAGAGCCGAATTGATTAAAATCTAATTAATTAATTAAAAAAAAAAACACCACCCCCCCTGGGGTAGAGAACAGAACTGAGCCATGTTTAATTACACTCTTCGCCCTCGTATTGTCGTTTTCACGGTCAAACGGCATTGACCCAGATCCGTCCGTTCGTCGTCGTCGTCGATTTTACTGTTCTTTTCTCTTTTCTTTTTAAACTTTTTACTGTGGAAAGTCATCCTTTCTCTCGTAGCTTTTTAAGTAATGCTTGGTATTCTAATAATACATCTGGGTCTGGGGTTTCTGTTTTGAAAAAACGGTTAAATTCAATCAAAGTAAAACAGTAACTAACTTCTGTTATATTTTCTCTATTCAAATTTATCTACGATTAAAACTAACAAACGCGATCTAGTCAGGCGTGTAATGCAACGCTTGTAAGCAGCTCAGTTTTTTATTTGAATTTTGTTGGTGAGTGGAGAACACGCGAGGGAGTTTCAGAATGGGAGAAATAGGTCTGTGTTAACAAATTTCAGGTAGCGAAGTTTGGGCGTTCTTCAATGACCGAAACCATATGAAAGGTCAAAGGAATGAATCAGGACTAACAGGGTTCAGTTACTCTTCTTTGTTTCTATTACTACTTGCCTATTTATGATTTTTTTTTTTTTTATATCCTCCCTTTTTTACTCTCTTGCTTCATTTATTTTTAAATTTTATTTATTTATTTTCCATTTTACTCTTGCTAGCTTACTAGTAACTAGCACTCTTAAAAATTGTGATTTGAATGGTAAATGTAAGACGGTACAAGAGAAAGTATTGTGATTTGAATTTTTAAAAATTGGCTTGACCCTAAATTTAAAACAAACAATAGATTGCATGTCCAAAAGGAAGGTCAGAACTCAGAACATAGAACAAACAAAACTACTGTGTGTGTGTTTTTTTTTTTTTTTAAATAATAAACTAACTCCTAATTTAGTTTGACTGAAGTTTTAGATATTCGTTTAAAAATATTTAGTGGAGACAGATGCTTAATTTCCACGTCCTCGTACTGCATTTTATTATTTTACACAAACTAAGTATTGGTCCCAACTTTTTTTAAAGGATTGTTCTTTTTTATTGTGTCAAATATGCTGGAAGAACAAATTCTATAAGCGTTACGATGTCTGCAATATTATTCTTTGGATAGAATTAACTCTGTTTGATACTTTATTTTTCATACAATTTCTATGTATTATTCTATTAATCCAATTACTACAAGGAAAACAAATTAAATATTCATCTTTTTAATTGTCTATATTATTAGATTATATTCTATTAAATTTTTAATTTATTTCATTTTTCGGTACAAAAAATTAAATTTACATACATTAAATTAAAATATATATAATCTCACATTAATTGTAATTAACTATATTAATGTTAATTTTAAATTCAATTTCCGACTATATTTCGAAGATTTAGAACACTAAAATCAAATTATTTTTATTACCCAATACACTTACATAAGAATATTGACATTTAGAGCTGCATTAATATTAAAATCCTTTTTATTTCATAATTTAAGTAAAATTTAACACATATATGGTAATAATTAAATGGTAATAAAATTTGCATAATAAAAAAAAATTGTATAACATTGTGAATAAAATCTTAGAAATAAATAATTTTGTAATCTAATGATAAATATAAAATTATCTATAAAACGTAAGGATATTATATTTTTTACATATGAAAATTAAAATGAGTTCTATCTATAAAAATAAATTTAATAATACCAAAGCAAGAGTAAAATTACCAGAAAGGATCTTTCGTTCCGTTTTGTAGTTATCCATTGATTTTATTGGCAGAGGTCAAAGTCAATGGCAGAATCATAGTTCATGGCTGGTTAAATGGGAATTAAATTAACAACATAATTGATTAATTAACATAATGTAAGTTAATTTGTTACGGCAAAATGGAGATACTCCGTAGCAACGGAGGTGGAGGGTTATACTTATAGAAAAGAAAGCACCGGAATACTTTTGGTTGGGGTCCACTAGACCCGTTTATTATGAGTCAACTTTAGAGATCTCAGTGGCCCCACTGACTCACTCAGATCATGAGATGACTTTCGCACAGTAAAAAGTAAATCGTTTTCACACTATTTTTCTCTTTGGAGCTATCGGTTAAAAAATTATTCGCCGCAGCTCTTGTTTCATCTCTCTTATCCTTTTATTTTTGTTTTCATCGCTGGTTTTGAATTATTTGTTAACTGGGTTTTTGATGCAGGAATTTATAAGCTTGTCTTTTATTTTGAATTATTTATACATGTAAGACTTCCGTTTTTATTTATAAAATTTAATTAAAGCATGTGTAAATTAATATATCTAATAGCATGAAATAATATTAATTTTTAGAAAATACTTACCACATGACTCGATTTCAATACGAAATATTTCCGAACATTAATTTTGAGCTCCTTGAAATTTATATTATACGTGAGATTTAAATATAGATTTATTACAAAATAAATAAAAACATTATCATTTAGCCAAACTACCAAGTGGCAAAAATAACATAAAGTTGATAGCAATTGAAGGTGAGAAAGTTAAACGATTTTGCTTATTTTATTTTTTCTTTTTTTATTTTGAATAACAAGTCAACAGCTCTTTTAAACAATTTCGGCTCTTCCTTTCCCTTTTGACAAATAATAAAAGGCATTTTTAAAAAAATTTATAGGAATTAAACAAAAGTTAAATAGGTTATTAGGTTTTTGTGATGGCGTAAGGAACGTAAAAACGTCGGCCTGGTGTCACGTCGCCGTAAAATCAACAATTCCCGTCACATCAAACGGTGACGTTGGAAATATATATAATATTTGAGTGTTTAATTTGTTCATAATTCTGCATAAAAAAATATTTATTGATTATTTTATTGGATAACAACGGGCACTTTTCACAAACGCACCTCACCGTTAAAGTTGCGAGCCGTCAATAATCACGACCCTTGTAAATAATTTCTCATGTTAAAAATTATATGTTAAAACGAATTTATTTATCAATTTAAGAATTAAAATTTTAAATTTATTAAATAAGTCATGGGCAATCCAAGGTAGAAGGCCATAATATTTTTGTTCCTTACTTAAGATCATAATATTTTTATTTTTTTCATTTTTTTTTTAAGAAAAAAAAAAAAGGAAGAAAGAAAACTAGTAACGTAATTGTAAATCAATGGCTTTTATAAAGTTAAGGTGTATGGGCCTTTTCCAACACAAGCGTGGATTCTTCAAAGAGGGAAAAAAAATGTCATTGTTGATTGGTGGTGACTCACTGACTTTGAAGCACAGTGAGATTATCACAGCTCCATTAGTTTGAGAGGGCTAGGTAGTGAAAGGTGTGGATAAGTTGAGGAATGACGTGGATCTCAAGGAGTGATGTCGACCATTCATGTCATGCAAGTGGGGACCCACCTGGCTCTCCGAAGGCAAAAATTTTGTACAAAGTGGGACCCTTTTTATTAAACAAAAAAAAATTTAACGCTAAGGTGGGGACATGTGTCCCCCTCGCCAATCAGCAGTATGGCCCCCGTAATCATCGTAGCCGATTCACTTAGCAAATATTTGGTACCGAAATTTCGCGATTTACTTGTGTAAGTTGTAAGCATGAAAATGTGCTTCCTTTTCAATTTTGATTGCTCTCCAATCGCAGAAAGTGAAAAAGATTTGTTTTTACCTTTTACTATTCTACTTCACTGTTGCGTTTTTACTGTATCCATATTTTTATTGAGTGGTTGCATATTTGCCATATAATTAACCGCATGAAAGAGATTCCTTTAGTTTTTTTACCTTTTTTTTTAACACAAGAAATATATTCATTTCCCTAATAATTAATAAAAAATAATAGATTATCGAAAATATAATTTTTAAGATAAATATATTGTTTGATATTTTAATATGCTATATAAAGAAATTAATTAGCTAAAAATTCACCGATGAATTAGATAATAAAAAATAATTAAAGAAATTAATATCAATTTTGGCCGGTAATATAATAATTTAAAAAAAATAATCTGACATTAACTAATACCATTTCAATTATTGATTTGCCTATAATGATATTATAATATATATTTATATTTCTATTATTGGGGTTGATTGCATTTAAGTGATGAACGTGACTGGTTGAGTTAAGCTCCGGTAGTTGGTTCCTTAACTTAAAAGAAGGGTAGTTTATTGCTTAATTAATTAATTAATTAATTTTTAAAAGTGTAATTTTCTCGAACCAGTCAAAGACGTACTTCAACTACATTCCTCCATTTTTCTTCAATCTTCTAGTTTTTCTATCTGTGTTTATATGTTTTCAAATCCAATTTTCTACTTGTTTGATGGGATACGTTTTTTGTCAAGGGTTTTGACTATTTCTCAGTAATTTTTCGTTCTATGCAAATCAGTCACTTCACTCTCTCTCCCTATAATTGAGATAAGGTGCTTAATATTCAAAAATCATAGAATTAGTTTGTGATTAGATTGTTTTAATCACAATCTAAGCATTATCTCTTTTTTTGCTATTCTCCCCATATTTTGTCTCTCCATTGATAATTCCATGCTCGAAGCTTCTATATCCTGTATTTAAATCACTTTTCTAATATGAATATAATTACCTTTCAATAGTCATGTTGAAAGATATATAAATAAAAAATTTTTTTGAAAATTATAAATAAATAATAAAAAAATTTTTGAATACCCTTCTGTTGAAAATATAATTAATATATAATTTTCTGATCTTTTTAATACAAGTTTATATATCATAAAATAATTAAGTTCAAAAAAAAATAGAAAATGGTTATTTAATATTTTTTTTCTTTTTTTTTTTTTTTGAAGTTTGAATACCCTTCTGTTGAAAATATAATTAATTATAATTTTTCTGATCTTTTAATACCAAGTTTATATATCATTATAAATAATTAAGTTCAAAAAAAAATAGAAATGGTTATTTAATAATTTTTTTCTTTTTTTTTTTTTTTTT